TAAATTCTCCATACGATATTGGACTGCGGAGGTGACGATGTCCGCCATGACATAGCCTCCATATCATGGTAAGGACTTGGCAACTAAGCCTGTTACTCGTCGAGGCGCCCAGGTATCGACGAGGCAACCGTTCTAATACAGTCGGTACCCTGACTGCAAACCTTGGAATACTGATGGGCACGGTTTACGTAACACCCCAGCATTAGGGAGTCCGTTGCGGTGGACCAGGCCGTCGACTGGGTAGTTTAGGGGCGCCAGTGTCGCCTCGTCGAGTCCAGGGATCACAGGCACTCGGATATTTGGTCCGAGACTCTCCCCCTAGAATCCGCTGAGCTGTCCGCGACTGCTTATTTAATTCGCAGCTGCCCGATATATCTACCGGGCGTTCCACTATCCGCAACCCGTGGACGCGTCCGATAGCACTCAGCTATGCTTCCGTGAACGGCGGAGGGTAGTTTTGCCTAAAATTGCCACCATACTAGACCTCCATAAGTTAGTATTGGCCTAACAAATAATTCATATAAAAATTTGATTATATGTGGCCTAAGTCCCAAGTTCTTCCCTATAGAGTTTCTACAAGAATAGAGTGCGATTAAGCCTCTCTTCGCTTGCTCCTCGATATTCATTTACCAATTTAATTTTCGGTAAAGGACATTATCGAGGTACTTAGCTTCCGTTGACAGGCTTACCCTAACTCCACCCAGCATAAGTAGCGAAAAATCTGGTATTTTCCGCTTCCTTGTAAAAAGTACGAGCTCATTTTTAGAAAGTTTCACAAAAGCTCCCTGCATGAGATCTGTAACAGTTTGCAGGAATTTTCCCGCAATCAGCAGAAGCCACTACTTTTGTTCCGTTATATTCCAGATTTTTTAGTATATATCGTTTATCACCAGAAGCCAGACAGAACCCCTTCTTGTGGGGTACCCCTGGTAATCGATTTTCTGACAGAGCACTCCCAGATACTTGAGTTGATGATCCTCCTACTGTCCTTTCAATTAGGATTGGTGGTAAACAAAGTTTTGTAAGGGAGCCACCAATTGATTTAAGTGTGACATAGTTGAAGGCCCCTTCTATATCGAGAAAGGCTGTCAAAGTAAAACACGAATCATTCAGGTTCTTCTCCAAAAAACCAACGACCCAGGATTCTGTGTAGTTGTCGAGAAAGCTCACGATTGCATTTGTGTCGACATTTTTAAATCTCAATTAGAAAGTTTTGGGATAAACGGCTGGATTATCCCATGGATTGCAGGCTTCCTCCCCAGGTTGCTGGCGTTGTAGTCGTCAATGGTGGCCTGGATGAAGGGAGCGCATTAAGTCCACTCCCCTTTAATGCATACATAATCCCTTCTCATAGGATTCAATCAGATGACTGTATTTTATTCCAATAGGCGGATGATTTCTTTATGCTTTGAGGCCGCCAGAGCTCATCTGTATGCCAAACGCTGTAATGGCAGTTTCCTTCGTTTCATCGTAAGCAAAACGTCAGTTGTTCACTTTAATAGACGATTCCGTCAGCTACATCTTAGGCAGGAAGAGACTAAGATTGAACTGGTCATAAAACATAAATATCTGGGATATTATGTTGCATCAAACAATTCTGCAAAGGAAAACATCCTCTGTACCGTGGCTGATGTTGAAAGGAAAAATAAATTCCACAATATTTTAGGTGGATGCAAGAAAGGTGTTGACCCACGCAAATCTCTACAACTTTTTAGGGCAGGCGTTAGGTCTAAAGTAGAGTATGCCTCAGCATTAAAACGCCCGATTCAGAGATATTCTTTAAAGGGTTCGCGTAACCTCTCCTGTGGGAAACAGCACTAGTAAAATTTTTGTTAATGACGATATATAAAGGGCATAGTTTCTAAAAAATCAGATGCAAATGTTTAATGAAAAGTCAGAACAATTTAAAAGTAGGGACTTCGAAATTATTTTTTCAGATTTCTCAGTCTTCCACAATTTTATTGGTTCGGCATTTATTTACGAAGGCCCTGCTATAATGTTTGCATTGTTATACCCTCCACCTTGAAAAGGAGGGTATGTTAACTTTGTCATTCCGTTTGTAACATCAGTAAATATTCGTCGTAGACCCCATAGACCTGTCTGTCTGCCCGTCTGTCTGTTGAAATCACGACACAGCCCACATTATTTAACGTAGAGCTTCAAAATTTGTGCCTAGGGTGGTTGGTATTGAAAATGGGATATATCGGTCCATGTTTTGGTAGAACCCCCATATAATGATACCCCTTGATACTCGGTATTTTGATGATTTTCTCCACATTTTTTTCATGGATTTGTCTAAAAATTTGTATTTGTAGGTCATAATTTTCCTATAGCCCACATATAACGATACCTACCGATATTAGGTATTTTGATCATCATAGTCACCTTTACACACGAAACTATTTCAAATTTGGTATTTAAACAGATTTAATAAATGACAATCCTTAAAGTATAATATTGTCTATAAAGGTTCCCATTTTTGTATGGCTCCCATATAAAGGGCTCATCCCCTTTTTTTTTTTTTTTTTTTGAAACGTTTAACATCATCATCTTGTTTCACAATACAATGGTCTCCTGAATATCAGCTGACCTTATTGGTATAATGAAGACATACTGAAATCCCTAAAATAGCCATTCTATGTGATTGTCTTAGTGGTCTTAAATCAATTAAAAATCACCGTAAGGGAAACTTCATTGTAGGCGGAATTAAAGAATTGTCATTAAATTTCTTGTGGGAAATAGAGGTGCATCACTTCCCGGCTATACTTGCAATTTTTTCAATAATTCTGACAGGAAGCGGGCATAGCCTCAGAGGTGTATTTCTATAGTTTTACGAAGCTGTTCTACCTCCTTACTGTACCATGCAGAAGTGTCACAAACCACGCCTTCTGCAATTCGACTCATGAAAGAGTGAATTCTGCGCCATCCTCGTTATGTGAAACATGTAACGTTGAAGAGAATATAGATCATATTCTATTCACACCAGCTTATTGGAAAGTCAAGACCCACCGAAGATTAAAAAAACGAGAAAGAGATACTTCCTGCCATTACTGATTTTCAATCAATATTACTTTATGAATTACCTGTCACAAAAATAAATAAAAAATGAGGCATAGAAGTGGAAATTGTGAAAAATATTTTGTTTCAAAGAACGAAAGAAAAAGTAATGAACACAATACTAAAAAATACGACGGAGAAAAGTTCTAAGAAGCTTCGGACCCCTTGTCTTAGCCCAGTACAGTGTGAGCATTTTAATAACAAGATTATTTTAAATTTGTAAATAAATTCCTGTGCTTACCCGAGTGCATAAAAGGGTGCGAGTACATAAAAAGCTTGAAGTCATGGCTAGGCATATTAATGTCAAATAATAGTGGAAAACGACGGGGGGATTTTAGTGCGGCTCTGTAATTTCTTTATGAAATGTAACAAAATATGCCTAGCCATGACTTCAAGCATCTTATGTAATTGTATATTTAAGAAGATAAAGTCGTGCTATCATATGTTTACATTTTTTTTCAAAATTATTCATTTGACTACATCTTATTGTCAATACATAGAAATCAGAGATGTGAAGCTGTTGCATAAAAATATATTTTTTGAGTTTTTTTTTTTTGTTTTGTTTTTTATTTTTGCTTCATGGTGGAAGAATACAGGTAGATGCATCAACGCTTGAGAACATTCGTACTTCAAAGTTGTTAAAATGTTTTTCAAAAATATGTATATTGTTATAAGTTTTCTTATACGACATCAATCGTAGGTTGTTGTCATATGTGTTTTTCAAAAATTATAACGAATTTGAATAATATTTCATTCAAAAATTTCATTTTTAAACTTGGTTTGACAATTCATTGACCCAGTAGCTGTGTCAATGCGACTACCAACCATAGCTTCAATTTTTCATTCGTAAGGCCAAATTATTTAGTTTTCACAAATGAATTATTCTTTTTTTATTCTCTTTCTCCTTCTTCGTCATGGTTGCCAGGTACCGGAAGTACAATCGACCCATGAATTATTTTTGTTGGAAGAATAAACTGGTTGTCAAGAATAAATGATGTGGTAACACTTTGTTAACAATTGGCTTCGTCAATTGAGAAACAAGTAAAAACATTGTATTCGGTCAGGCCGAACTTTAAATACCACAAAACATTTTTATGTGGCGGAGGTAGAGCCCTTATGTGGGGAACCTTTGAAGACAATTTTATACCACAAAGATTTTTATCTAGTGCGAGTCTAAAATACCTAATTTAAAAAAATCAGTGGGTAACTGTGACTTAGATTTTAAAAATAACGAATATCAATGGGTACCGTTATATGGAAACAGTGGACCAATATGGACAATGCATTGACCCGGTTGTAGAACTCATTATGAACTGCAAATATGTTAGAAAATGTGGCTTAAATCGTCAAAATACAAACTTCATTTAAATATGTACTCTCCGATAGGAAAACTTCCTTTTATCTTTTAACGTAAAAATTCTGAATTCATATTGCCATATTTTATATTGATTACATAGCAATAACAACAAATTGTATATATTATATAAATTTACCATATCTCTAAAAATATATAATAAATTAATCTTCTATAGTATAAATACGCTATATTATTATGGTAGAGTCAAACCAGCTGGGTTTTGCTGCAAGCTTTTATTAATTGTACTATGGGTAGATAAAATAATTGTTTATTCACCTTGACGAGAGTCTGCACGGAAAGAAACTTATGTTCCAGTGAAGTAACATAAATACCTTTTTTTGTTCGGGGGTAAAATGTAAAAAAGCGATTTTGTGAAAAACTTTCTAACCTCAAATTGTATTGAAAAGTTTTAAACTAAACTTAAAATATAGCTTTTTTAAAATCCGTTCATTTCAAAATTATTTTCAAAATATTCAAATGCAGTTGTAACTTAAATAAACATTCGTGTGTACTCAACTTAAGATTATTTTACGCTCCCTCATGTTCTCTCTCAGCTGGTTTTTACTTTATTTGGTTTCGTTTAGTAAAAAATCGACTAACACGTCCCTACATCGAAAGACCGGCGATAGGAGTGAGTCCATAAGATTCATTTTGGGTGCAAAATGTATTTAAGTTCTTCCAGAATCAGATTATTTTCCAGCCTCAAATATTTATCGCACAGGCGCTATGAAAGCAGCAAAGCTCCCTCAACTGGAACCAAAGTCGACGAGTCGACAGATTCAACTGTTCAATCTAAACTGTTACAAAATATGCTGGAGCCCGATGGGGTAGTAAGACCAAAAATAGATCCCAAAGAAACGTCCATAATACTTTTTCCCGGCCAAGGTACACAATATGTTGGAATGGCAAGCAAATTGATTCGGTTTCCAGAGGCAAGGCGAATTTTTGAATTGGCAAATGAAGTGCTAGGTTATGACTTGCTGAAACTGTGCCTCGAAGGACCGGTAGAAAAGCTAAACCGTACTGAACATGCCCAGCATGCAGTGATGGTATCTTCATTAGCTGCTCTGGAGCAATTGAAAGAAGAACGACCCAAGGCAATAGATACGTGTGTGGCAACAGCTGGCTTCAGTTTAGGCGAGATAACAGCGCTGGTATTTGCAGGTGTATTACCGTTTGATAAAGCCCTGAAATTGGTTCAAATTCGTGCCAATGCTATGCAAGTAGCTTGCGATCGTGTGGCTGGCGGTATGGCTATGGTTCTCTATGCACCGGATACGGAAATCGGGGCCGCTTGCGCAAAAGCTGTTCAATGGTGTGTTGACAAAGGCATTGAAAATCCCTACTGTGGCGTGGCCAATTACATGTTCCCTCACTGTAAAGTTCTGGCGGGCAATATCGAAGCTATAGAGTTCTTGGAGAAAAATGCCAAAGCATTAAAAATAAGACGTATTAAACGTTTGCCTGTCAGTGGTGCTTTCCATACACCACTGATGGAAGACGCCATAGAACCCTTTGCGAAAGCTTTAAAGAAAATACCGTTGGAGGAACCAATTATACGAGTTTACTCCAATGTGGACGGCAAACCTTACAAACATGTGCCGCACATATTGAAACAGCTACCCAAACAGGTAATCAAATTCAGACATTTCTATTTATTTTATTTTAAAGCTATTTTTCTTATTCAGATTGTTAAGCCTGTTAAGTGGGAACAGACAATGCATCAAATGTATGAACGTCAACAAGGTCTTGATTTCCCTCGGACATTTGAATGTGGACCAGGCAAAGGTTTAGTTCAAATTTTAGAAAAAGTTAATGCTAAAGCTGCCAACACAGCATTGAGTATAGAAGCTTGAACACATCTGTGCATTGTTTTTTGTTAATACTTGTAATGTGAAATAAAGATTTATATTTGTTACTTAACCTCAAACATATTTTCCTTCATTCTTTAGAAGGTGCTGACTACACTCATCATTAAGTTATATCCTGTGACAACTTGAATCCGAACAAAATGACAATCATAAAGTTTGTGAGCGCAATCGATATATTGGGAGGCATTCGAACTTACGGATAACCTGATATTTCCCTCAAGAAAATTACTTTGCCTTTGAGAAGGAAGCGAGATAGACCCATAGTTACTTTTGAGGATCTTCATAGAATCACTTTCTGAGTCGATTTATGCATATCAGTCCGTCTGTCCGTCCGTCTATTTATTCTTGTGAACAAAATGCTGGTTCCATTTATTATCCGATTGAGATGGAATTTTCCAAACAATATTTGTTTGGCTCAAGGACGAACCATATCGATAATCGAATCAGATTTAGATATAGCTTCCATATATATCTCCAACCTATTTCGGGTTAATTGTGCACCAAATGGCCAATATAAGTCCAAATGACCTGAATTTTGGCACATCCAACCTAATTCAGTCTAGAAGCAAGTATATCGAATTCGGAAAAAATAGGTTCATAGATAGCTATAGCTCCCATATATAGGTTTCATCAGATTTTGGCGAGTTAGGTCCGTAGTTACTTTTAGGATCTTCATAGAATCACTCTCTGGGTCGATTTATGCATTTCTGTCCGTCTGTCCATGTATTCTTGTGAACAAAATACAGGTCGCATTTATTATTCGATTGAGATGAAATTTTCCAAACAATATTTATTTGGCCCAAGGACGAACCCTATTGAATTTGATATTAATCGGATCAGATTTAGATATAGCTCCCGTATATCTTCAACCGATTTCGGGTTAATTGTGCACCAAATGGCCAATACAATTCCAAATGACCTGAATTTTGGCACATCCAACCGAATTAAGTCCAGAAGCAAGTACATCAAATTTGGAGAAAATCGGTTCTGATATAGCTTTAGCTCCCATACACACGTTTCATCCGATAATATCTATTCACATTCGTAATATCTATTCGACGGAAATACCTTTGCCAAATTTGATCGAGATCGGCTAACATTTGGATATAGCTCCTAAACATCCTTAATTTCAGGTTTATTGTGGCTAATATCAGCCCGAATGGAGTGAATTTCGGGACGTACGTCTCCAATTTGTGGAACTCGGCTCCGATATATATTTTTTACTATAATCCTTCTCATGCACTCTATAGCAATGGTATTTGGTATAAAAGATTAAAATGTTTCCGTCAAATTTAGTGAAAATCGATTCAAAATTGGATATGCCTCCCATGTACAGGGTGAGATTAAAAAAACTGCAACAAAGCCAAACGCCATAATTTTTGTTTTAATTTTTTGAATGAAAGCAAAAAAATGTCGGAAATAGCATCAAATTTTAGAATAATTTTAGATTTGTTCGAATTGGTCTTCTTAGGCATGAATTACGACCTTCAAACGGCCAATGAAACCGTCACACGCTGCCCGAATGTTATTCTGCGGTATTTTGGTTCGTTTCCGGTGAAGCGCTTGCTTGAGGTGATCAACACATTGGTATTTTTTAGTGCCAACCTTGCTTTCCAAAATACTCCAAACACAATAGTCCAAAGGATTGGTATCCGGAGATTTTGGTGGAAATTGTGCGCTGGAAATGAAGCGAAGTACCTCATTTTGTAACCATTCTTAGTTGGCTTGGATGGTGCTGAGTCCTGTTGGAATGTCCAAGATCTGCGGACAAAATGTTTGCATGCCCAAGGCTTTAATACACCCTCCAGAATATTTTCGCGATAATATTCGACATTTATTCTGATGTCACGGTCGTTTTCGGCAGTTCACCACTTTCGGCTAAGCGAAGCCGCTCTTCAGCTCTTTTGAGTCTATTTTCCTTCCGTTGCGGTGTATATTCTTGCACTTGTTGAAATTTCAATAGCCTTACCCCGAGCTCATTTTTCAATATTTGCCGAATGGAATATTGCGAAATGTTCTTCTCACGATCCATTTTTCGATTGATCAAGTCGCTTCCTTACTTTTCGAACCATTTCTGCTGATGTTGCTGTTTTCTTCCTTCCACTTCCTTGACGTCGGGCTACGCTACCAGTTTCACGGTATCGACCGATGGTACAAGACACAACGTATTTACTAACATTTAAACACTGGAGTGCTCTAACAATAGCCACTTGTGGTTTTCCAGCCAAATATAAAGAAATCGCACTATCACGCTCAAATTCCATAACGAATAACTTTTTTTCTGGAAAATTCTCACCAAAATATTTTTGTACGCTTGTAAACAATATAATGAGCTGCCACTGCCTTTTTAACTGCTGTCGGACTTTTCATCTCACCCTGTATTATTTCCCCTGGTGTTATGATCTACTTCAAATAAGTTCTTTTGTTACGGGAGCTCTACTAAATATGCAAAGTCGTGTAGGGTATCATATAGTCGGCCCCTCCTGACTTTTGACTTTTCCTTACCGCTTCAAATTGAATTTTCATTTATGAAGTATTCACAGTATTATTTTCCCCCTTAGGCGCCAATGTTAACAATTTCCAATAACAAGACGACACATAATTTCAAAATGCAAACTATATTATTTGTTGATCTTAATTTCAAGTCAAAACAAAAACATCTGTTTATAGCACATAATCTCTTTTATGAAAGAAATGTAAATTATAATGGTGATTGATTTGCATTACAATTCATAAGTTTTTTTTTTTACAAAAAATATGTAATTATCTTAGCACATAAATTATCGTTTTATTTTTATAGATGTCTAGCTCTTCTCATCACGTGTACGCATACGGAAAACAAATGCGGCTCCTTTGTTTTTTCGGAAATTTTCATAGGGATCGTTCATATTAACACCGACACCCTGAAAGAAGGAGCAGCGACATGCAGGTTTCGTTGACTAATTAAAGGGCAAGTACTTACTTTGTATAAATCTTTACGATCTCTGACTTCTCCCCCAGAAATTGGTTGATCAATGCCTTGATTTTTCGTACCGAGACCGGTACCAGCGCCTGACCAGCCCATTTTCATTAGCATTTGATGTCCTTTATTTGATTCGTCAATGAATTCATTGGGTTTTGCAAAATTACTTCCTCTAAAAGATTGAAGCGTGAATAAAGGAAAATTATCAATTGATATGAATGACTTACAAAAAGCTAGGAGGGGTTACTGAACGTTCGCGTTCACGTCTTATGTTTCGATCGTTTTCCCTGTCACGATCTCGTTCCCTTTCTCTATCCCGTGGCGGAGATCGTCGAGGTGAACGACTTCTTCTGTTGTAACGGTTATTTCGTCCTCCTCTGTCATTGCGATTGGGGGTGGCACGTACTGGAGAACGAGAACGTGATCTTGAACGCGTTCGTGATTTACGAGGCGATGCAGAACGACTGCGACTTTTTGATCTATAATAATTTGTTTCTTTTTAATTTTTCAATTATCATAATATATTTAAAATTACCTATAGCATCGTTTGTTTGTCTTTTTTGGCTTTGGTTTTTCCAAGACAATAGGACTAGGAGAGCGTGATCTGTCTCTGACTCCATTTTTAATATCCTCCTCCTTTTGTTTGCGCGCAGCGTTTTTAACCTTGTAATATTCATACAGACCCAATTTCTCCCAACCCTCACTGCAAAATAAGAAAATATAAGTCATAACATTGTTTCAGTTGTAATGCCTTTGAACTTGCACTTACTTGTCTCTTGGTCTGTCATGCGTGGGCAATGAATAGAAAGCTGCCAAAGCATTTGTCAATCTTTCGGTTTGTGGAGCCGGTGGTGGTAAACGTATATCCTCGGGATCTAAGGGCTTATAGGTATAGTCCTCCAAACGTATAAGCGGCACCATAAGTCCAGCCGGTAAATCATAATATGCTGCTGATGGTTTTGGATCCTCCTCAGGTTCCTTCAATGATGGCTTCTCGTCAGCTGGACCCATGGCATGTGACGTTACTGTTTGATTATCGAAAGCATTTGTTGGCTGCTGCTGTTGTTGTACCATTTGCAAAGCGGCAGCAACATTACGTAGGTCCACATTTAAATTGGAGACGTTGTTCAGAATTTCTCCAGGATTGAGAGCATTTGGTGCAGCGGTTAACATTGTTTGGCTTTGCGGAATGTTGCTACTGATTTGAGCGAATTGATTTTGTTGCAAAAGAGGTGGAATTTGTTGGCTATTTGATCCCAATCCTGATCCAGTCGGTCCAGGATTGGCAAATCCTGGTGGTGGTTTTGATAAATCCGGAATAAAGAAACTATTACTAGCGGCTGGGGCATTTGAAAAGCACTGAGCATTGTTCGAATTCAAATGTGCTTGTGAGTTGCCATATGGATCTGGTTCACTTACAGAAGGCATTACAAGTTTTTGACCCATTAAGGAGGGTATATTGTTCGCCTGTGTTTGCTGTTGTTGATTTTGCTGATTTCCCGCCTGAAGCATACCCGTATTTGGCAAAACACTTGCTAACATTTGCTGTTCCATTTGTTGTTTTTGTTGTTCTAATTGTGTGATTTGTTGTGCAGCATGTTGTATAAACATTTGATGTTGTTTTTTATAGCTGAAAGCAAAAATACGAAATTAATACAAATGCCGATTTGAATAAAATGTCTCCAAGGGAGATGTCGTTTATTTTCGAATAGCATACTTATCCATTTGCGCTTTCATAGCCTGAGTAAATTTGCTTGTCGTTTCATGATGTAAATTTTGCAAATTTGTTTTGTACTCTTGCATGGAGGAATCCGGTGACTGTAACTTCGATATAACACAAGCATCAAAGAATTTCGCCTTGGATTCCCACAACGATAAGAGTTTTGTTAGTTTGGCTCGTTGATCGGTATTGGCAACTGTAAAAAATGCATGAGAACAAAAAAGTGTGAGGCGAATTCGCATGACTTGTAGGAGGAAAGGACACTTACTCAAATCGGCACTGCAGAACATTGGAATAACCACATTCTCCAAGCTATTTTTCAAGTCATTGGCATTTTTCCGAACACTGCAATATATATTCATATTTTATTAATGGCGCTCGTTTAAGAAATACTGAAACATTTTACGCTTGATATTATATATTTACAGCGTGAGATGAAAAAACTGCAACCAACTTCAGACTGCTGTCATTTCTAAGCCACTCGTCCGACAGCTGTAAAAATTATTCCAGTTTACAAGCGTACAAAATCATGTTGGTGAGAATTTTCCAGAAAAAAAGTTATTTGTGATGGAATTCAAGCGTGATAGTGTTATTTCTTTATATTTGGCTGGAAAACCAGGAGTGGCTATCGTTAGAGCACTCCAGCATTTAAATGCGAATAAATCTTTTGTGTCTCGTACCATCGCTCGTTACCGTGATACCAGTAGCGTAGCCAGACGTCAAGGTAGTGGACGGAAGAAAAAAGCAACATCAGCAGAAAAGGTTCGAAAAGTAAATAAGCGACTTGATCGAAACCCGCGTCGCAGTGGCCGAAAAATAGCTCGTGAGCTGAACATATCGCAATATTCCATTCGGCAAATATTGAAAAATGAGCTCGGGGTAAAGCCATTGAAATTCCAAAAAGTGCAAGAACTTACACCACAACAGAAAGAAAATAGACTCAAAAGAGCTAAAGAGTTGCTTCGCTTGGCCGAAAGTGGTGAACTGCCGATTTTGGTTTTCTCCGATGAGAAAACATTCGTTGACCAGCAGTTTGCAAACAAACAAAATGATCGTGTTTACTTGCCAAAGAGGTCAGCTGAAAATGTGCACCTTCGGTTGGCCACCAGAACTCAAGCGCCGGCCATGGTGATGGTGTGGGCCGCCATAATAGTTACAAAATGAGGTTTCTCGCTTCATTTCCAGCGCACAATGGCCACCAAAATCTCCGGATACCAATCCGTTGAACTATTGTGTCTGGAGTATTTTGGAAAGCAAGGTTGGCACTAAAAAATACAAAAATATTGATCACCTCAAGCAAGCGCTTCGCCGGGAATGGGCCAAAATGTCGCAGAGCAACATTCGGGCAGCGTGTGACGGTTTCATTGGCCGTTTGAAGGTCATAATTCATGCCAAAGGTGACCAATTCGAACAAATCTAAATTTCTTTAAAAATGCTATGCTATTTCCGACATTTCTGGCTTCCATTTATTAAAATTTAAAAAAAATGTAAAAATTATGGCGTTTGACTTTGTTGCAGTTTTTTTATCTCACCCTGTATTTATTGATTTAATATATATTTAAAACTTCCGCGAAGTAAAATAACTTTGACATACAGCAAATTTGTACCCAATGAAGTAGATGTGGTATTCTTTTTAATGTAAATTTATAAATGTGGACAATTTAGTTTTTTCAAAACTCCAAAATATTCGAAATTTATTTAAAAAACGACCTGTTTCCGCCAGTTTTTTCAATTAATGAAATATTTTAAACGATATTTTGGCTCCACAGTTACAAATTTTAAGTGTAAATACAACAATTGACAAAAACAAAATGTATACTTACCAATGGTGCAATATATCATTAATTAAATATATAAGATGCAATTTTTGCTGAAATGTTGAACCATCTGCCAAAGCCCTAAAAATAAATTAACAAAGGATATTTTGTTGTTGTTGTTCTTTGTCTTGCTCTGTTCGCTCGTCTGCTTCCAGAGTTGTAGGCGTTGAACAATAATCTAAAAAATATTATTAGTCAGTCTTCTGTGTGAGTCGGAGTAAACGTAATTGTTCGTAATTTTGGTTTCAGTTCAAATGTCCGTAAATAGAAATACTACAACTCATTATGGATGCGATTGGTTGGGAAAGCACTTCAGCGATACTTTGTCATCATCAACAACAATAAACCAAAGTCCTTCACCATGTACATCGAACGAACACATAGTAGAAATGCTAGCGTTTATATATGCAAATAGCCATTGACCGGACAACCATATCTGCTGCACCGGCCGGTTGGACTCATAACAATAACATATATAGTTATTCAACAGTAGTAAATAGTATATGGTAATAAATATAATTAAAAATTAGTTTCAAATCAAACTTATAAGTAACACGCATACTTCTTTAAAAGATACTGTAAAACGACATTGTTTTTAGCGCTGTCGGATGAATGCTGTAATATCCAGTTTTTGCCTAAAATTGCAACATTTAAAAATATTACTTCATTTGCCAACCAACAGAAAATATTATATAAGTAAATATAGATATTTCAACAATAAAAAATATTTGCAAGTTATCGTCTACTAAAGAGTTTAGAATCGAACAAAATATTATGATTTTAGGTTTACTTTGTTATATTTACCTTGGGAAATACTGTCCTTGGTACATGCATCAATAATGGGCTGCAATATGCCATCAAATTCTTTTAGGGATATATTTTGCTCCTCTGCTTGCTTTTCCAATTGTTTATTTTGGGCCTCCTCTATCGCTTCTTCAATTTGCTTCTTTTGCTGTGTCACCAGTGCCTAAATATGTCCCATTGTGTTTGGTTTCAATATTTTTTGTTTTTTTTTTTCGAAAATTCAGTTTCATATTTGATAGGGGATTGCAACAGAATATTTTGCACAGACACATAGTTTGTTTTATGCGAATGCATTTTTAACAGTTTTGTATGTGTTTTATTGTAGCGGATATTATGGATTTTTAGTTTTGGGATTTTTCGAGTTTGTTTTTAATAAAAAATATACAAGGTAAAGTAAAATTTTAAATGTAGAGATTTTGTAATGCATTTTATAATATATAAAATATAGAAATAATATAGATTAAGATCAATAATTAAAACAAGATTCCCCAAGATGTGAAGTTTTATCCCAATCTTTGAAATTTTGAAAACAAAAACTGATAATGAGAGTGAAATTACCGTGTACTTTAATTTCATTATCGATGGAACAAAACCAATACAAATCATTGTTCATTTACTTCAATTGTGAAGGTTCACAAATGTTCATATGGATTTTTTTTACAAGAACAGTAGAATAACCTAAAAAACTGCAACCAACTTCAGACTGCTGTAATTTCTAAGCCACTTGTCCGACAGCTGTTTAAATTATTGCAGTGGCAGCTCAGCTCATTGTTTACAAGCATACAAAAGCATTTTGGTGAGAATTTTCCAGAAAAAATGTTATTCGTGATGGAATTCAAGCGTGATAGTGTGATTTCTTTATATTTAGAGCACTCCTGCATTTAAATGTGAATACATCTTTTGTGTCTCGTACCATCGTTCGTTACCGTAATACTGGTAGCTTAGCCCGACGTCATGAAGTGGACGAAAGAAAACAGCAACATCCGCAGGAATGATTCGAAAAGTAAAGAAGCAACGTGATTGAAACCCGCGTCGCAGTGGCCGAAAAATGGCTCGTGAGCTGAACATATCGCAATATTCCATTCGGCCAAAATTAAAAAATTAACTCGGGGTAAAGCCATTGAAATTCCAAAAAGTGCAAGAACTTACACCGCATCAGAAAGAAAATAGACTCAAAAGAGCTAAAGAGTTGCTTCGCTTGGCCGAAAGTGGTGAACTGCCCAATTTGGGTTTCTCCGATGAGAAAACATCCGTTGTCCAGCAGTTTGTAACCAAACAAAATGATCGTGTTTATTTGCCAAAGAAGTCAGCTAAAAATGTCCACCTTCTGTTGGCCATCAGAAATCAAGCGCCGGCCATGGTGATGGTGTGGGCCGCCATAACAGCCCATAGTCGCTCTCCGCTCGCATTAATCGACCGTGGCATCAGAATAAATGCCGAATATTTTCGCGAAAATGGTTACAAAAAGATGTTCTTCGCTTCATTTCTAGCGTACAATAGCGACGAAAATCTCCGGATACCTATCAGTTGGACTATAGTGTCTGGAGTATTTTGGAAAGCAAGGTTGGCACTAAAAAATACCAAAGTGTCGATCACCTCAAGCAAGCGCTTTGCCGGAAATGGGCCAAAATACCGCAGAGCAACATTCGGGCAGCGTGTGACAGTTTCATTGGCCGTTTGAAGGATATAATTCGTGCCAAAGTTGACCAATCGAACAAATCTAAACTTATTCTAAAATTTGATGCTATTTCCGACATTTTTTGCTTTCATTCAATAAAATTAAAAAAAAAAAAATTTAAAAATTATGGCGTTTGACTTTGTTGCATTTTTTTATCTCACCCTGTATGTGCAATGCTGAATTGAAGTCGACACAAAGCAGATTGTTGCAGATTCATAAAATGTAACAAACTCAAAATGTCTGCACTCGGAAGTCGGTTGCATAATATTTCGTGCGACAAGAGACATTGTTCGGTAATATATTGTTCGATCTAATATATTTGAAAATGTCATAGGTTCGCACCTTCAGAAATTCCAAAAAATACATATCGTATTTGTTGTATTTTCGCAGTATTATATATTGGGTATAATAATGCAATTATTTAATTCAGAAAGCTGCTTAACTAAGCCCATGAAAAACTGCTTAACTAAGCCCATGAAAAATGCTTTTAAGTTGGATGTGTCAAGCAGATTATAAAAACAATTACCGCGGAAAATGTCTCTGTTGTAAGAGAAACAAAAAGCAAACATTGTTGGAGGCAATGGTAATGAAGACCTTTAAAAAGAAAAGTATCAAGATTTCATATTCGAACGAATTCCAAATGCCAGTGAAATCGGTTGAAGAACGCAATCTTCAAAGTACCATCCAATGGGCGTTACTGTTATATGGGAGGTGCACCAAAATGTGCACCTACATAGACAATTTTGCGAGTATCAAATGCCAACTTTGTGGCTAAAATCATGAAACTTTTAAATATTGGGAGAGTTAGTCTTATATGGGTGTTATAGAAAAACGGATACAGATATAAGCAGTGGTTATGCCACAGTACCCATTACGGACATAAAATTCTGAATATAGGCAGGTAATGAATATGGGGACTGCTATACGAAAGGTGGAATGACACGGCCCATTTACGAAGGTAAAATACACTATGTGCTAAACCGACTTGGAATTTTTCGCTGATCAAGAATATATATACTTCGTATTTATTTCAAGGAGTTACAAAGAGAATGACAAAGTTAAGATACCCTCCATAGTATGCTAGAGAACTCGAACTCAAATTTCGGGAATAGTACAATAGTTATAGTAAATAGGAATTAAAAAACACAAACAAAACAAAAACTCCATTTAACTTACGAAATCCTCGCAATCAATTAGCTAGAAAGTTATATACAAAAATAAGCCCATGAAGAAAAAATAACAAGCTTAAGCTGTGAATACATAAAGCGCTTATTTGGCTGGCTTAAGTCATCGGCTGACTTCTTCGGAAATGAACAAAGGAGACTAGGCCAAAATCGAACTAGGTCAACCTAAAACTCCTTTGTTCATCTATGAAGAAGCCAGCCGATGACTTAAACCATCCAAATATGCTCTTTATGTATTTCTAGCCTTAATTTTGGTAGTAACACCCAAAGACAAAAAAGCTCAATCCCTCCCTGTTTATGCGGTATAAATCCGTTTAAACACAGTAATATACCAAATTTCGTAACTGGAAATCTTTCAAATAAACGCGAAAACGCAAAGAACACATCCCCAAATCGAACCAAATACAAATGTTTGTACCTATCTCTTCTTTAAGCAAAAGATGTAATCACGTTGAAAATGGAATCTATAAAATATGGATATGGAAAAAAATTTACCGTGTGTTGTGCAGTTAAATTTGCTTCGGATTGACGAATTTGCTCGCGCAGTGTATTCTGTTGCATATTAATCGCTTCTATTTGTGCAGTTATTGTCATAGCCAAAGTTTGTTGATTGCCACCAACATTTGTGGAAGTGGGTGGTTGCGATTGTTGTCGTTGGTGTTGCTGTGCAGATTGCTGTTGAGGATGCTGTTGCGACTGCATTCCAACATTCATTTGTCCCGATGACGGTGGTGCGTTATTCCATAGCTGATGGTTTGGAGGTGGTTGATTCATGGCAAAGTTGTTTCCATCCATAATTTGGCCACTGCCTTGCTGATGTAACATATTTGGCGGTGGTCCTTGTGTAAAATGTGATGATTGCTGCTGTTGATTTGGATATTGTTGTGAATGCATCATACCTCCAGCATTTTGTCCTTGTTGCTTTAAAACTGAAATATATTTTACAAAGTGTAAGAAATTAATTGCCGGTTAATAGAATAAACTTTTGTTGTTGCTTACAAATTTGTTCAGCTTGAACACGATATTGGTAATACGCCGCAAATTCTCCACCATACAAAAATTCAAATTTTGGATTATTCTGCTGCTTTTGTTTGGTTATCATTTCGAATTCTGGGCCATTCCTTGCAACAAACTCGGCCAACTTGTCTATAATATTGCGAAGGCTCGCATCTTTAAAGGAAGAAAAAATTATGAGTATCAGTCATTTGGTCGGTATGAGAGACCGATAAGTTTCGTCACAGCTATTATTTTCTGATTATTACCTCTGGGTGGTGGAGGTCCTTCCATTCTAGTTGATATTCCTATATGTTCTCAATTAATTCTTAGATTATCTTCTTTTTGTACAAAATTCTAGTTTCACCCAAAACATGTCACGAATTTTATTGCAGTTGTCAAAAGAAATATACTTTTTCTTCAGGACGCCATATTTATGCGGTGACGTTTAGGGACAGCGAATAAACACAATTCAACATTTAAGTGGTGGCGGCGTTAGTGACGCCGACAAAATAATTACTATTGTTGAATGAAAAATTATTCGAATTTGCAAAAATTGTTAAAATATGCACATCATAACATCCTCCGATTGGTAATTGTGACATGTACAAATCTACATATTTTTGAAGAAACATTTAACAATTTTCCCAACCGTCTTCCTGTATTTTTCTACCATGCTAAGTGCATATCTACCATGGTAGAATGAAATCAAGGTAGGGCAGAACTACCATATGATTCATTTTTTTTTTTTTTTCATTTTCTTGGCTTAACATCATGGTAGAAGAATATAGGTAGATGCATCAACGCTTGGGAACATTGATATGTCAAAATTTTTTAAATGTTTATCAAAAATAAGTAATTTTTCAAATGTTTTCCTATACGATGCAATTCGGAGTTTGTTAAAACGCGCATTCTTGAACAATTTTTACAAATTTCAATAATTTTTCATTCAACATTTTCAATTCCAAAATCAGTTTGACAGTTCATTGTGTGTGTCGATCCGACTACCTGTATTCTTCTGCCATGGCTTAAAATGTTAATTTTATTTATGTATGCGTGAGTATTATTTTCAATTTATGGAAATTTTTTAAAAAATATTCAAATTCAGGTGATTTTAAAATGCTTATTTCAACGTATGCAAGGAAAAAATTAAAAATTTTCGTAGCGAAATAAATCTGTAGAGATGTATAGTACATGTTTTTAAAAAGAAATTATGACCTTTCAATCAGTTCTCTCGTTTTTTCATTATTTATTCAAAATCAATGGAACACTTTGCAAATGTTGTTCCTTTGTTGTGTGTAATGTGTAAATTTAATTTGCAATAACAATTTATACATAAAATATTATTTATTAAAAATAATATGTATTTTCTTAAATTTTTTTTATTTTTAAATACACTCGGATAATAACGTGACAGCACAATATGAAATATATTCCGTCTAATGGTACCTTAAACATATTTGACATTGTTCTTTCATTGTTTATAAAAAGGGTTCTATAACTTGCGAACCGGTTAAAATAGCAATTGCGAACCCTATTTTTGCCAGACCGGCGCAATAACGAATGTAAACAATGTGTTGACGTTTACATTTTAAGTGACGTTCATCTTAAGGTGATTCTTGAATCTGATCTGTGATATAAAATCTGCAAGATATGTGGTAATTTTTTGAAGAGGAATACATGCACAATGAGTAACCCCAACGTAATTCAAATAAGCGGACAACATTCCAATGGCAATGGAACGCAGCAACGAAAATCTTCTATTGACGACCCTCCGGAAATGAGAATATTATGTTTTGAATTAACACATTACAATAAGACGACTCAGTTTCTCCTAAGCTGTGCAGGAGTTTTTGTTCTTTATTTATTATATGGCTATTTGCAAGAATTAATATTCACGGAGGAGGAATTCAAATCTTATGGATGGTTCCTAACACTAATTCAATTTGGCTATTACATATGTTTTGGAGTTGTAGAACGCAACGTAGAAGCAAGACGAAGTGGGATGCCAGCTATGCAACGAAAAATACCAATGAAAACTTATGTCATTCTTGCCACCTTAACTTTGGGTACAATGGGTCTTTCGAACTCCAGTTTGGGTTATCTCAATTATCCCACCCAGGTTATATTCAAGTGCTGTAAATTGATACCAGTTATGATTGGTAGTATTCTTATACAAGGAAAACGCTATGGTCCCCTGGATTTCGCAGCAGCTTTAGCAATGTGTATTGGTTTGGCATGGTTTACTTTGGCCGATTCGCAAGTATCACCAAATTTCAATCTGTTTGGAGTTGCGATGATATCAGGCGCATTGCTGTGTGATGCTGCCATTGGTAATGTCCAGGAAAAAGCAATGAGAGAACATAAAGCAGCCAGCAGTGAAATTGTATTGTATTCATATGGCTTGGGGTTTATTTATTTGTTTGTTATCATGATGATTACGGGCAACTTTTTTAGTGACTTCGCCTTCTGTTTACAGGTGAGCAGAAATTACCGATACAAGTTGTAATTCCAAGAATAAGTTGTATCCCTCATTTTCAGCATTCAAAAGAAGCTTTCTTCTATGGATTTTTGTTTAGTCTTTCCGGATACCTTGGGATCCACTTTGTACTTGCATTGGTAAAGAGTAGTGGGGCACCAGTAGCAGCAACAGTTACAACTGCCCGCAAAGCAGTTACGATTGCCATTTCTTTTGTTTTCTTTAGCAAGCCATTTACAATACAGTAAGTTAATGTCGTTCTCTTCCAACTATGAGACCTATCCTAAAACATTATTTTTATTACAGATATGTTTGGTCAGGTTTGATTGTAGTTTTGGGAATTTACCTAAACGTCTACAGCAAGAAAAATAAGTTGACTCTTAACGATATTAAACATAAAATTAAACATATTACCTTCAATGGACGTACGTCAATATCACGGAAATATTTAGTAGAAGTTTAACTATGTTAAATAAACATTACAACTCAATATTATACCAAATTATATATTATATTTTTAGAATAGAAAATTTTATTTCTAAGTACCTACACATATATTTTAAATAAAAGGACATGCTAAGATAAGATATATCGACACATATTATGCATACTCATAATTGTTTTCTTTTTTAACTTGTATCGAACTCTATGACACGCTTGATCATTTCCTGTCTCTCTTTAGCTGAAACTACCTGCCCAACCATGCGATCCAAAAAGTTTTGCTGATGTTTTATAATAAATTTATTACATTGCATTATAGTAGCTCCTGTATAGATGGTATTAAATTTAGCTGGGACATCGCCAACCTAAAATAACACAAAAACAATGGAAATTCTAAAAATTGTTATAATTGAATTTCAAATAGCATTCTCTCGATCTAAATATCGCATAGGCAAAACTTTCTTGCCAATAACTCAACACTTACACTTGTCATTAGCGGCAATATACTCGTAACAAATTTATAGGAATGATGAGAACACCGCAATATTGCTATTTTGGTTCTGTCATTACAATATTTAACACGAAAGCCATGTTCCAGCAGACCGACACCATACACACCATAATACTTCTCTACATGGTTCAATATACACTTGGCAAGAACCTGTTCCTTTACGTAGAGCGAGCTAAGGCTTGTGTTCTTTGGAGCAATCCGTACTACGATGTATCTACATTATTTAATAGGCAGATGAAGATAAGTCTTTTTCAGATATTTAACAAACAAATTACAAATTTATTTACCTATTTTTAACACGCACCATTATTTTTGTGAATGATTTGTTTACATGTGGGGACACAACTTAATTAAATGGCGTTCCGGCATAATCGGCTTTTTTTTTGGCTGTTTCAGGCTTTCCAATCAGCTGTTCCAATTCATGCTAATATCGCGTTTATATATAAAATATTTATGTGGGTCACAGTGATCGGTCACAGCAAATTTAACGTATCTTCTCTAAAGAAAGATTTATTGTCAGGGTTAACCATGGGGTTAACCCAGACGCATGGTACAATAAGGAGGTAGAACGGCTTTGTAAAATTACAAGGCTTAAGTTGAGTTTAGGGGCTATGATTGACCTGAAATTTTGACCTGATTACGGCAAGGTAATTTTTTGTGGGGGAATATCCAGTTACCCGGTTATTCTACCCGGAAGTTCGGATACAAAATTCGGGTTTTATCCGGTTGTACACAACTGAAATGTACAAAATGGGTATTATTTGAAAGCTTGTGGAAATGCCTTTCTGAAATGGACCCATTATGGGGTATTATACTGCCTACTACATTGTAGCCTACACTCTGGCCTTTCCAAAAGGTGCTATAGGTATTGATATCTCTTGTAGTTCCGAAGATATTAGTGTTGTAAAACATGAAATTGGGATTTCCTCCACTAATATGTATCTTACCTTTATAGCTTTGTAGTTCCGAAGATATATTATATTTAAAAAACTATGGATCGCGTAGCCGGTATTTGACATTCCCTAGAGGAGGAAATCTCAAGCCCCGGTCGAAGGCCGGGATCGCGTAGCCGTACTCCGCTTTTTTATAGCCGACATATAACGGTACCTCCCAAAATTCGGTATTTTGATGATTTTGCCACATTTTCCACAGATTTGGCTAAAAATTGGTATTTGTTGGTCATGATGGGTTCTAGCTCCGGTGGCGAAACATTGTTTGTATAGGTTCACGATTTGGTACAGTTATTGTACCATGCTCACATGCTAGAAGAATATTGGCAGATTCGTTAACGTTTTGGAACATTGTCAAGTCAAAAAATTTAAAATGTTTTTTTTTTTTTTAAATATAAGTAGATTTATATATGTTTGTTTTATTATACGACATCGATGGGAGGTTATTATAACATGCGTTTTCAACAATTTTTACAAATTTTTCAGTCAAAAATTTCAATTCCAAAATTGGTTTGACAGTGTATTGACCCAGCAGTTACGTCCATGAATCTACCTGTATTCTACCATGGAACATTTTTTAATTTTGTTGAGTTCATCGGTGACTTTCTTTCCACTGTTATTCTAAACAAGACGTATTTTTGTTTTGGTTTCATAATTTATTGGCCATTTTATTTTCACTCAATGTTCTTAATAACGTAATTGACTTGTAAGCTCATCAAACTAACTATTTTAATGGAAATTGATTGATTTTAGTTTCTTTGGAATAGAAACTACAATTCAGGGAGAAAAGGCCTTCATGAGACATCTTGGAAGATGCAATCTACATCGCTGGATAAAAAACTGCAGGGATTTCAGCTTATAGCTCAAGAGAAATTGCAGGCAATTCTCTGTTCCATTCCTGGCAAAAAAGACTTAATAATCGAACCCAATCTGATTAAACCTCTTGAACATATTTGTGCAGCATCATGGCTAAAGTAAGTGCTACACTATTGCAATAATTTTGTTGATTTAAAACTTTCTTTCATTTCTAAGATTGAAGGGCGTACAACGCATTTTCAAGCTGGATGCCAACAATGCGATTACTCGTTCCTCTGATCAAGTGCAGTTGTATATGATGCGCAGTGACCTGACAACATTTTATCGTGTTATTGAACAAATAAAATTAATCAGGAGCACAGAAATGCACGGATCTGATGATACAAGTTTCAAATATTATCATATAATTTGTGTTCCTTCATGTTTTGGATATTTCGTTCAGCTCTTGGAACATGAAGGCCTTTATGGCGTAGTTAGCCTACATAGATTCAGCTGGGATTTCATTCACTTGGACGAAGGCTTGTTAACTATGGAAGTGCCAAATGTAAGTAGGCAGTAAGGCCTCTAGTTTTCCTCCAGAGATATAATTAGGACATTTTTAAGCAAGGATTTGCCGTTAAGTTATCGGAACACGTTAAAAAATTTAATGACATAAATTGAAGAGGAGGATTTTGTCCACATTTAATTTAAACAGGACGGCGCTAAGTGCCAAATAGTCGAAGCTACCCTCGATTTTCAAAAATAATTATTTGTCGGACCCTTTATATCATTTCCGTTTTTTATTTATTCAGACATCGCTCATATAAATTCATCCGATGCGAAACTCGATTCACATTTTAATAATTATTTTACATTGTCTTTTTTTAGGTCTTTTCCACAGCTTTTATGCTATCAGATTGTTCTCTAATACCCGCAATAAGTCGCAGTTTACGGGTTCTACAAATCCTATGTGGACGTCCTGAAATCATCATGACCTACGGCGTACATTCGCAAAACATTTTAAATATGTTAAATAATTTGGGACCATTTCCAAAAAGAGCAAATGATAATAATGAATCCGATTTCTCGGCCATGTTAATAATAGATCGTGACAAAGACTTTGCATCGCCCTTATTGACCCCTGCAACATATTCCGGTCTACTATTGGAGATCTTTAAAAGTAATGCTGGAATGCTTGAATTAGAGTTAAACAAAAACAAAATTTTACAAGAGAAATTATCAATATTTTCCGTGCCATCTAAAAAAGACAAAGACAAGGCATCGAATAAAAACGACACAAAAAATACTAAAACATCAGTAATACGTTTGAGTGGCGTGCATGATGAAATTTATGCGGAAAATCGGTACAGACATTTTGCGGCAGCAAGCAGTCAAATTCGTCAGCAAGCCAAAGCGATGAGCATGGAGCTGCAAAAACTTAACAACATGAAATTGGATGAAATGCACGATTATGTTAACCGTAAACTGCCAAAAATTACCGAAATGAAAACTAAATTATTGAGGCACTTAAATGCCAGTGAAAAAGTCATTGAAATGCTTGGTTCCAATTATCGACGGGTTCAGGCTCTAGAAGAAGACATTCTAAACAATGTATCACGTAAGAAAATTCTGGGTGACATTGATGAACTTTTAACAACAGATGGACACAAATACAATACTTTGCGAATGCTATGCCTATTACATGTGTGTGCTGGCATAACATCCGATGAACTTTCACAATTCATTAGAAATTACTGTAACTACTTTGGGTTGAAATATTTAGTGGTATTTCAAAACCTAGCTCAAATTGGATTGCTACCAGTGCCAGGAGAAGAGACTGTAAACATATTGTCTACTCCACTGAATAAAAAGGCAACAAAACTTCTTTCCAATATTCCTCTTAATATTCCTAAATTTCAGCAAACGCAATTTCAAGCCAATGCAAATCGCTTAAAACTCATGGTCTCAACGGCTGGAGCCGAAGAATTGGACAATGTATCAATGGCTTCGTCATCATCTGCTTCGATTTCAACTACTGCATCGACTTCAAACACAACGGCATGTCCTAGTTATGTATTCAATCGGCTGTATATACCACTTGTGGCCCAATTATGTTCATTTCTATTGAAATCATCCAATATCGATGATTTGGTTACAAAACTGTCTATGATTGAGCAAATTCAAATTAATAGCCAGTCATTGAAATCTTATGGTCAGAGTGTTAAACAAGGTAATGCAAAGGATTTGCCGTTGAAAAATCGAAACATATTTGTATATGTGGTGGGAGGCATTACATATGCTGAAATTGCTGCTTGTGACCTTATATCGAAAATAACAGAATCTCAGGTGTTCGTTGCATCAGATTGTATATTATCAGGTAGTGATCTGATAGCGGGAGCATTTAATGGAACTGTGTAAAATACACGAAGACCAAGGGACAAATGCGCAAATTTATGTTTCACAAACAAGTTTTTGACAATTTTTTTAGCCGATTGATATTATCATGTTATTGTTCTTGTCATGGATATTATATACATACAGTTGTGAAAAGATGTTTATAATTTTTTAAAAAATAAAAGGAAATATTTTTGTATTATTTATATTTTGCATACAAAAAGTGTTTTTTTATTTACAGGGTGAGATAAAAAACTGCAAAAAAGTCAAACGCCATAATTTTTACATTTTTTTAAATTTTATTGAATTAAAGCAAAAAATGTCCTAAATAGCATCGAATTTTAGAATAAGTTTAGATTTGTTCGAATTGGTCATCTTTGGCACGAATTTTGGCAGTACTTTGCCTCATTCCCGGCGAAGTGCTTGCTTGAGGTTATCGACACTTTGGTATTTTTGCTTTCCAAAATACTCCAGACACAATAGTCCAACGTATTGCTATCCGGAGATTTTGGTGGCCATTGTGCGCTGGAAATGTAGCGAGGAACCTCATTGTGTTACCATTCTTGGGTGGGGCGTACTAAGTGCGATGGTGCTGAGTCCTGTTGGAATGTCCAAGGTCTGCGGCCAAAATGTTTGCGTGCCCAAAGCTTTAATACGCCCTCCAGAATATTTTCGTGATAATATTCGGATAACCGAATGTGCACATTTTCAGCTGACCTCTTTGGCAAGTAAACACGATCATTTTGTTTGTTTACAAACTGCTGGACAATGAATGTTTTCTCAACGGAGTTCACCACTTTCGGCCAAGCGAAGCAACTTATTAGCTCTTTTGAGTCTATTTTCTTTCTGTTGCGGTGTAAGTTCTTGCACTTTTTGGAATACCAATGGCTTTACCCCGTGCTCATTTTTCAATATTTGCCGAATGGAATATTGCGATATGTTCAGCTCACGAGCCATTTCGATCAAGTCGCTTCTTTACTTTTCGAATCATTTCTGCTGATGTTGCTGTATTATTTCGTCCACTTCCTTGACAACCGAAGTACATTAAGGCAATCGTATTGTTTGTGTGCTTCGGGCAATTAAATTTGTACAAATTTTGTACCAAACAATTGACACAAGTAAAAAAGTAGTAAGCTCTGCCGGCCGAACTTTTGATACCATGATACAAAGTCAAAATGAGGAGCTATATCAGCACTTTTTATACCCTTCATCGAAATAACGGTTTTATACCCTAGGTCTCTTTGGACCGAATTGCGCAGCTGTATTTGATCAATGGCTTCACGAATATTGTCTTTTAAAGCATCAATTGTCTCGGACTTGTCGGCGTAACACTTATATTTGACGGCACCCCAGCAAGAATAGTCAAACAGTGTCAAATCGCAGCTTCGAGGTGACTAACCGAACTCTGCTCTGGGGCTGATAATGCTATCTTTAAAAACTGATCGTAAAACATCGACTGTAGCTTTGGCTGTGTGGCACGTAGGGCCGTCCTGTTAAAACTGAACATTGGCCATATCCTCCACTGTAATTTTTGTAAACAAAAATTCGTTGAACGTGGGGCAATAACGTAACGGCTACTCCTTGTTCTTTTTCGAAGAAAAATAGCTCAATTATGACTCTGGACCAAAATTCGCACCAAACAGCGACTAGTTTTGGGTAAATCGGCTTTTCAATGTATGCCCCCAAAAATTTTTCGTTATTAACATGCAAAGGTAATACGCTTCCCTTCTTCCAAAATGCGTATACCATGATGTTTTGTTTTAAACTGAACAAGAAAATGTGTAATAAGATGACTTTGAGCGATCTTAAATACTAAATCGCTCAAAGATTATATGTAAGCTAAAATTATAAACAGATTTTCACTAAATTTTTCTAATGTAACTTCTAGTATTTATTTGCTTCGTATGCTCCATTTCATCCACTTTATTTGGTAAAATATTACAAATATGGTACATAATAAACATGAATTCGGATGGAATTATGTACGGCATCTTTATCCGAAACTGAACCGATTACCGCAAATTTCACTTGGATTGGATCTTGGCCCTACATTTTTGATCTGATGGACTTGATACTTGATCTGATGGACCACATAGGAAGGGATTCTATAAAGAGTATCAAAAGTAACTATGTACCTATCTCGACGTTTTAGCATCTTACAAATAAATGCAACATCACACATGAACATTTGCTGCAGTATTTGTATTCCAAAACATCGCAGACTTGATCTCAGACTTGAGTTCAGAATTATGGTAGAGGTTTCCATCCCGACGTATGTCACATTTTCTAACAACTAGAAAACATTGGTATGAAAAATATTCAGTTTGCAAACATAAGGCATTATTCGAAATCTAATTAGAATTATTGATCGACCCTCGAGCGTTTAAGCGCGAACTCTTTTCATAGAGAACAACCAAATGTTGTTTGTTCAAGTTTCAGAGGGTATCTTTAAAAAAGGGAGAGTAAAAATAACTCAAAACACGCCAATTTCAAATCACAATAATCAAAAAAAAAAAAAAAAATGAACGAGATACGCATTCATCTAAAACACATTTAAACATTTAAATACCTACTTGACTTTGAACCAATAACAAAGTGTGGGATAAGTGTACAATCGCTGGCCGAGGGCTCAGTGCAATAAACACAAGCAAGAGGTACGAACAATTCCCCTCCAATTAGTACGGGCAATTAGAAAAGAAAAAGTTGATGAACCTCTATGCGGCGTAACCGTTTACAACGCTGATAAGATAACAATTCAAGAAGAGCAGTCAGTTCTAACATTTGTTGCCTCTCACGAATGTAAATCTTTGCCCATATTAATTGTTTCAGCCCAAGTTTAAATTGCATTTGCAAGCAAAGGTGATACGATTCTCGAACGGGCGATCAGTTTACGAAAACCATTTGGCATTGATTGTCAAGTATTCAAAAGTACGCGCACGCTAAACCATAACAACATGCCGAAAATTTATTTTGTTGGAGTCGATGTTGGCACGTCATCAGCTCGAGCTGCACTGATAACATCTGATGGCAAAGTTATAAAGCAAGCTGCACGAAATATACGCATTTGGAATCCAGAACATGAACATTTTGAGCAATCGTCCGATGATATATGGAATGCTGTGTGCTATTGTGTTAAGGTATGTGTCAGACAGGTTTATGACGATGTGGTGGTGGGCACGTTAACGGATTTTAGCGGAGAGCCAAAGAGATTGAGAATAACATTGATATAAATATTCAACTGTTAGTTATTTTTATCTCATTTTCTTAATGGTATCCATTAATAACTATATTTAGGGTTGGCCAATAAAGAATAAAAATGTTAGCAAAATTACGTAAAAAGTATTTAAACTGCTACATGCTTTTGCAAAAACTAAATCGACATATTCATTGAATTACATAAGTGAGTACGGTATATATTTATTCAAATAATTCTTCATTGTAATTATTTCGCTATATAAAATACGCTATGTCCAAATATATATTCAAGCCAACCAAGTAAAAACAAGGAAATTTTTGTAAGAAAGATTAAATTATTTCAAAAGTAGTCTTTTCCAGTTATAAACATTCATAATTTTTTTTTAATCGTTTTTATTGTCATCATAAAAAACAAATATCAGTTCTGTCAAGTATTCAAGTCTAGTTGTGAAAAACGTCGAAAGCGTAGTCAGGTATAAGGTAGGCCCTCCACCTTAAAAAGGAGGGTATACTAACTTTGTCATTCCGTTTGTAAGATCCGTAAATATTCGTCGTAGACCCCATAAAGTATATATATTCATGATCAGCATAAAATTCTAAGTAGATTTAACGATGTCCGTCAGTTTGTCTGTCTGTCAGTTGAAATCTCGATACAGCCCACATGATTTGACGTAGAGCTTCAAAATTTGGCAGAACAATTGATATTATGTCTAGGATGATTGGTATTGAAAATTAGATATATTGGTCTACGTTTTGGTATAGCCGCCATATAACGATACCTCCCGATATTCGGTATTTCGATGATTTTAGCGACATTATTCACCGGAATTGTTTCAAATTTGGTATTTGAAATTCGTAATGTATACTACAGCCTTTAACAGAAAATTGTCAGTGCAGTTCCACGTCTTCGTATAGACCTCATATAACGGTACCTCCCGATATTATTCGGTATTTTGGTGACTTTAGCGACATTATTCACCGGAATTGTTTCAAATTTGGTATTTGAAGTGCGCAACGGATACTACAGCCTGTGACAGAAAATTGTCTGCGAAGGTCCACATATCTGTATAGCCCCATATAACGATAACTCCCGCTGTTTAGTATTCTGATGATTTTAGCGACATTGTTCACCGGAATTTTTCAAATTTGATATTTGAAGCTCGTAATGGATGCTACAGCTTATGCCAGAAAATTGTCTGTCCACGTCTTCAAATAGCCCCTATTTAACGGTACCTCCCGATATTCGGTATTTCGATGATTTTAGGGATATTGTTCACCGGAATTGTTTCAGGTTTGGTATTTGAAATTCGCAACGGATACTACAGCCTGTGACAGAAAATAGTCTGTGCAGGTCCACGTTTTATAACCCCATGGTACCTCCCTATATTCGGTATTTTGATGATTTTAGCTACATTATTTTCAAGTTTAAGATTTTAACAGAATTGTTAAAGGATTTTTTTTATTTTTTTTGAAAATTGCCAAATTTGTTCCAAATGGTGGAGGGTATTCAAGGTTCAGGCTGGTCGAACTTACAGCTTTTTTACTTGTTATCTGAAAAATAATTAAATAAGTAAATTATTGTCGGAATTTTGTAGAATTTGTATTTTTGCATCGGCCACAATGCAGCTGTTATTCGATTATTTAATGGTTAAAATATTTCTGGTTGCTTTTCCTGCAGAAATTGTCCAGCAGCATTTTTCCGAGAGTGTGAAGCAATTTGTCAGCAATAAAAAGAAATGAAGCAACAAATAAAATAACAAAGTTAAAAAGTATCAGTCGGCTTAGCCGGCGTATGTATACCCTCGGCCAACGTTCGATTATTTAAATATATTTTGACTTGTATTATTAATAATCAAATTGTTGGCCCTCTATTAACGAAACTATGTTAATAACGAAAAATTTTTGGGGGCATACATTGAAAAGCCGATTTACCCAAAACTAGTCGCTGTTTGGTGCGAATTTTGGTCCAGAGTCATAATTGAGCTATTTTTCTTCGAAAAAGAACAACGAGTAGCCGTTACGTTATTGCCCCACGTATATTGGTCTACGTTTTGGTATAGCCGCCATATAACGATACCTCCCGATATTCGGTATTTCGATGATTTTAGCGACATTATTCACCGGAATTGTTTCAAATTTGGTATTTGAAATTCGTAATGTATACTACAGCCTTTAACAGAAAATTGTCAGTGCAGTTCCACGTCTTCGTATAGACCTCATATAACGGTACCTCCCGATATTATTCGGTATTTTGGTGACTTTAGCGACATTATTCACCGGAATTGTTTCAAATTTGGTATTTGAAGTGCGCAACGGATACTACAGCCTGTGACAGAAAATTGTCTGCGAAGGTCCACATATCTGTATAGCCCCATATAACGATAACTCCCGCTGTTTAGTATTCTGATGATTTTAGCGACATTGTTCACCGGAATTTTTCAAATTTGATATTTGAAGCTCGTAATGGATGCTACAGCTTATGCTAGAAAATTGTCTGTCCACGTCTTCAAATAGCCCCTATTTAACGGTACCTCCCGATATTCGGTATTTCGATGATTTTAGAGATATTGTTCACCGGAATTGTTTCAGGTTTGGTATTTGAAATTCGCAACGGATACTACAGCCTGTGACAGAAAATAGTCTGTGCAGGTCCACGTTTTATAACCCCATGGTACCTCCCTATATTCGGTATTTTGATGATTTTAGCTACATTATTTTCAAGTTTAAGATTTTAACAGAATTGTTAAAGGATTTTTTTTATTTTTTTTTGAAAATTGCCAAATTTGTTCCAAATGGTGGAGGGTATTCAAGGTTCAGGCTGGTCGAACTTACAGCTTTTTTACTTGTTATCTGAAAAATAATTAAATAAGTAAATTATTGTCGGAATTTTGTAGAATTTGTATTTTTGCATCGGCCACAATGCAGCTGTTATTCGATTATTTAATGGTTAAAATATTTCTGGTTGCTTTTCCTGCAGAAATTGTCCAGCAGCATTTTTCCGAGAGTGTGAAGCAATTTGTCAGCAATAAAAAGAAATGAAGCAACAAATAAAATAACAAAGTTAAAAAGTATCAGTCGGCTTAGCCGGCGTATGTATACCCTCGGCCAACGTTCGATTATTTAAATATATTTTGACTTGTATTATTAATAATCAAATTGTTGGCCCTCTATTCCGAAGGAATGGGTCAATATTGTCCATTTCGTATCGGAGCCAAATATATGATATAAATATTGCGACGTGCCAGGTTTGGAATATATATGGGTTACATTCTTCACTTTATATGAGATATGTGATAATTTTTTAGAAAATGTTAAAATGTACGTGTGCAGATATAGTCGACCGAAGTATTCCATTTTCATACCTCTCCTAATACTTCATCTGGTATGGACAACATTACAAGAAAATCGAACATTTATATCCAATCTTATGCGAACTCATAAATTCCGGTTGAGAGAAATATTTAGTTGTAAAGAATTGACTAACTTGTTTCACAAATTATGGCAGATAAAAGTATTGACAATAGTGGCCCTTTGTGTGTGAAATACCAGAAGGGGTTCGCAGATATATATCATCTTCACAACAGATCATGTGCAAAAATGTTTTGAAATTTGAAGAGAGTTTGATGCTTATTTCCCTTTTTTTGAGCGTTTTGTTTTTCAATTCTTGAAATCTATGTAGGGGAGGTACCAGAAGAAATGGTCCGATCTCTACCATCTTTATAAAAGATCTTGTGTTGGTGGAAATATTGAGATGTATTAAATCTGAATGGAATCGGATATTAATTTCGCGTTTTATGAGCTTCATAGACATTCAAAATTTTGACCCCTTGTAGGGGAGATACCAGAAGGAGTGGACCGATATATTCCATATTCAGACTAGATCTTGGGTTAATAAAAATAATGTAATATGTGTACATTGAAGAGAACTGGATGCCTATTTCGGATCGTTTTATTTATTCAAAACTTTGACCCTTAGTGGGGGGGGGGTACCAGAAGGAATAAACCGATCTCTACCATCTTTATAACAAATGTGTGTTTATAGAAATATTGAGATGTGCCAAGTCTGAATGGAATCGGATGCTAATTTCGTATTTTATAAGCTTCATGGACATTCAAAATTTTGACCCTTTGTGGGGAAGCTATCATAAGGAGTGGTTTAATAACAATATAAGCAACTTGAAGACTTCACATCACATATTTTGCGACACATCGTAAAGGAATGCCAGATCCGAACTCGAATCCTGCTGCCGTTTTTGCTAATTGCATACCATATTACATTTGACGGATCAAATGCGATAGTCTTATACTACATATAGGACATCCAATTTCAGATAATTTAGAAGAAATATTATATCATTTACATGCATATGATACATTTCTTAACTTAATTAATTTAACAATCTTTTTTATATTTAGAACGTTACCAGCGACGTTGCCAAAGAAGAGGTGGTATCGATTTCATTTGATGCCACGTGTTCTCTGGTGATTTTAGGAGAAAATGGCGAACCTCTCTCCGCCAGTAAAACTCTAAATCCTGAACAGAACGTTATTTTATGGATGGACCATAGAGCCCACAAAGAAGCTGATCATATTAATGCTACAAAACATGATATATTGAAATATGTTGGCGGTCAAGTATCCGTAGAAATGGAATTACCTAAATTATTATGGCTTAAAAATAATTGTTATCTATCGACATGGTCGAAAATATGGAGGGCATTTGATTTGCCTGACTTTTTAACATGGCGTAGTACAGGTTGCGATACAAGATCACTATGTTCAGTTGTCTGTAAATGGAATTATGATGCCGAGAATATGCAGTGGAATCGAGATTTTTTCCAACAAATCGGCCTGGATGATCTACTAAATAATGATGCTGAAATAATTGGTAGCATTGTTAAAGAGCCCGGAACTCCAGTTGGAAATGGCTTGAGTGAAAAAGCTGCGAAGGAATTGAATCTATTGCCGGGTACTGTGGTGGGTACATCACTTATAGATGCACATGCTGGCGCTTTGGGAATGTTCGGTTGCCGTTCGAAAGAATACAATTGTGAGTTGCAGGGTAAATTGGCATTGATTTGTGGCACATCTACGTGTCATATGAGTTTAACGAGAGATCCGTGCTTGGCCAGGGGCATTTGGGGACCCTACCGTAGTGCTATCATAGCGGATTATTATTTGAACGAAGGCGGTCAGAGTGCAGCTGGTTTACTATTGGATCATGTCATCAAAACCCATCCTCAATATATGCACATAAAAATGAAATTGAGCGAAAATGAGTGAGTACTAAAGAAATTTATGTCAATATAATTTTTCGTTTTGGCGTGTGATTTTATTTATCTTAAAAGTTAAAAAAATGTATTTCACAGTTCGGACTAAAATTCTTTTCAGTTCTGTCTAATACACCAGACCAAATACCAAATAAATGCTTTGTTCCAGGATCTGTAAGAATGTGAAAATGTTACTATGATTACCCATTTTTTCTTTATGATATCCAAAAAATGCAAAATTAGTAGATCCTTGCACTTTCTGGAACAGAGCAAATATCAGTTTCATTTCACTAACTTCTATTACTCGTTTTATTTCAAACATACTAATAAAGAACGAAATACGTGGATATGGTGGTTCTTTCGCTAAACTAAACCCCGTAGGACATTGCTGGGTTCATCGTGACTAATATGTCCAATAGCTTATTATGACGACTTTACAGGGTTGCCGATTGAGTAAACTATTGTTAAAGTTATCCCTGCCTTCTTTTCACTATAAATTGGTATGTTCCAGAACCTGCAAGAATCTAGAAGTTTTGCATTTTTTTCGATTCCCAAGAAGTGAAGTGTGGGAGATACCACGCCCCTTCTAATTTCTAAAAAAATATAGCCGAAGTAAACAATTGAATGTTCTGTGAAAATTTCAGAAAAATCGATTCTCAAGTGGTAATGGTTTTTAGACAAATACTCACCTATTTGGACTTTAAACTCATATTCATATTCATGAATTTTTATTTAATTATAACGATTTGCAATTTTTTTTCAGACACATATACACTTATCTCAATCGCAGATTGAAACAGATTGCAAAGGAAAAGGGATTGGATGATCCATGTTATCTAACAAAAGACATTCATGTTTGGCCAGATTTTCGTGGCAATCGTTCACCTATAGCAGATCCAAATTTAAGAGGAATGGTTAGTATATATATTTTTTAGTATAGTACAATATTAAACAAAACTTTAGATTACAGGCCTCAACATGAATGTGGATGAAGATGCCCTAGCCATTTTATACTTAGCTTTTGTGCAAGCCTTGGCCGTAAGTATTTCCTAATAAAACCTACTATATATCCTGATGTGCTTCTCTTTCAGTATGGTACCCGGCATATTATTGACAATCTACTCAAGCATAATCGTGTCCCCTTTCAAACCCTATTGTTTTGCGGCGGACTAGCCAAGAATGCGCTGTATGTTCAAAATCATGCAGATATTTGCCAACTGCCAGCACTTATACCAGATGAACAGGAAATGGTTTTGGTCGGATCAGCAATGTTGGGTGCTTGTGCTGCCAATGTGTATGACGGATTAGAAGCAGCATCTGCCGCTATGGGCGGAAATGGCAAAATGTTAATTCCCCAATTTTCGACCAAAGAATATCACGAGCGTAAATACCATGTATTTTTAGAAATGTTAAACGACCAACGGAAATACAGAGATCTTATGATGTGATTGCGGGCTCGAAATGAATTTATTTTGCATTTATTCGGTTTTTTTTTAAAGAAGAACATATACATATTTATACGTAGTTTATACCTTACATTGTTTGTACGTAGATTCTACTACTATAGTTAATTTTGTAATTTGTCTATATACAATTGATATTTTAAATAAATTGAGAATTAATAATATTAAACATTTTGGGCGATTTCGTTTTTAAGCTGTATGAAATTACATTTTTAAGATATAAAAGCTGCAGCCCGGGTATTAATTTTTCCACGGCAAACAGGGCACGTCATTTTTATCTTTTCCGAACAGTCTTCACAAATGCAGACATGACCACAGGGAAGAATAATAACCTGAAAAATTATGATATTTGTTAATCTTTTTATAATAGAAAAACTTAGACCAAATATCCTGTTGTTACTAAGGTATTATATATTACCAACAAAAACCACATTTATTTTATATTGTCAGCTGTAGAACCAATAGTCGATTTTGGAATTTTGATCGATCCAAAATTACATTTTTGTAGTGATGTAATTACAATTTTGAAATTTACAATTTTTTAAATTTATCAAAAGATAGGATAAATAATTTTCCCGATACCTATACATTTAAACAGTTATATACGCCGAATATGGTTATGTTATATGGGATCCTCAATATGCGATATATTCAGAGTCAAAAACTAATAAACATTTTGTTTTGTCTTTGACTTTTCAGAGTCAAAAATAATGATCATTTGGTTTTGTCTTCACACACAAGCAGGTTAATATTAATTAGATTTCCTAATAAAAATACTAAAAATATTCATAAAAATCTTCCAGATACACTAAATAGCGGGTGAGATTATTAGCCTCCATTCTCTCACAAAAGTTGTAACACTAACCTCCTTTGGATTAATGTTGCATACAACGCACAATTGATCCTGCGTTAAATGTGCTGGCCTAGATTTTGCACGTCGTTCTTTCCTTTCTTTCTCCAGAGTTTCACGAATGCGTCTTTCGTCACGTTCTTGTTTCTTTTTTAGATAAATCTTCCGGCCAACAACACCTATTAGGACAGCGCCAATTGTGCCGCATACTAAAATTTTAAATAGCATGGAATTTTTGGCTTCTTCGAACTTTTTAATTAATGTCGATTTTGTGGCTGTAGTGAGAAAAAGAGGTCCTAATGGTGACGGCTGTAAGCGTAATGTTTTACCATCTGCTTCCAGCTCACCGATGGCAGTTATAAAACTACCATCTCGAAGAACTTCTTCAGTCGTTTGCAGCCCCTTTTGCCGTACGCCCGAAAAGAAACCAAATATATGATCGAAAAATGACAAGGATGATGGCTCATAATTATCATATACAACATCCATGTCTAAAACAGCAGCCGAGAGTGCGTCAACGATTTCGACGCCAGCATCGTTGTTGCGCAATTCGAAGGGCATTTCATTGGAGGCAACATGTATGAGTTTCCGTTGCTCAGACCAAAAGCCAGCAAATCCACGCGCCACACGATGTTCACTATAAAATAATGCATTAATAACCATCGATTTCAAATATGTAATTCCAATATCTCACTTTAGCTTTATGACCTGTAGTACCCCAGTCACAGAAGGTGACATTACACTTCGCATGGGAACACCAATTGGTGTAACAATGCCTCTTATAACGGCATAAGGCACCTTGCTGTCGTTCTGTTTTGCAACATAATCCTTCAAGTCTTTGTCTATGCTTAATTGGGGTGCACCCTATGAAGGAGAGTTACAAAAATATTTGTTAATGACGGTAGATGGTTGATTTTATTTTTCTCAGTTTTCTTACCTTTAGCAGCTGCACATTTTTCTTATAACTAATATATTCCTTAACACAAAGACCTAATATGAGTAAATCTACTCCCAGTGCTACTCCTTCGTGGATAAATTCCATTTTTTATTTAAAATATCTTAAAATTACAAAACGAGACCAAAAAATTTCCAACAACAACTTTAAAGACAGCTGGGGTTTGTTTACTTGGATAAAGAATGTGACAGTAAGAGTTGCCAAACTTACAGGAAATAATATTAGTATAATGTTGTTCTATAAAGAGAGCGTTTTTGACAATTGATTTATTAAAAGGAATTAATCAGTAATAGGTAAGTATGATAACTTTTTTAATAAAAACTACTTACAAATATAATTAATTTTAGAAATCTTTGATTCGCGGTAGAGGACACATTCATCTCTGCATTTTCTGTAATTTATCTTGTCAAATTTCCCTGACTAGAAAGTATGTTCCCATCTCTGATTTGTGTTTGTACAATGGATTTAGAAATAGACATTTTTACAATGAAATGTTGTCAAATGAATAATTTTGAAAAAAAAAAAAAATAAACATATGATTGCATGACTTTATCTTCTTAATTCTACCATTGTGCAGGACATATCCAAAATCGTTTTGGGCATACCCATTACTATTATGTCCGTAATGGTGGTTATGTCCAAGGAAAAAAACCGTCATAAACCCCAGAAACTAGCGGACATAGCCCCCTTAATAATGGGTATGTCCACAGACTTTCTCTTCTGGGTATGTCCGACACCGGTTAACGCGAACCCAAGTTTACTACATTTAATAATTTTTGTAAGTAGTCCCGACAGCAAACGGTCATACTCCCCACTTAATTATATGCATGGTAGAATTTTTAAGGTAAAGTCATGCAATTATATGTATGTTTACAAGTTTAAAAAAAATCATTTGACAACATCTCTTGTCAAAATGTATATTTATAAATTCATTGTATGCCCAGAAATCAGAGATGGGATCATGCTTTTGTTCAGTGAAATTTGACAAGATAAATTACAGAAAATGCAGAGAAGGCAAGTTTTGTTTGAAATGACTTATGCCATGTTTACGTTAGAACTTTTTGTAGGGTTAACCTACTTTGAGAGGATTTATTTGAAGTAAAAGTAATGGATATGACAATTTAAATCCAAATCCAGTGGGTTAACCCTCATATATATAAACGTACTATTACGTTCTTATAGTACGTTTCGTTGCAAAGGGTTTAGAAAACCCAGTCGGTTTAAGTTGTCAAATCCATTGTGTATACCTCAAATAAATCTTCACAATGAAGGTTAACCCGGAAAAAAGTTCTAACGTAAACATGCCTTTAATTTTACCATGATTACGATCAAAAAAAGGTCATAACCCCCATAATTTAATAGGGATTGTGTCTGGGCGCCGGTTTTGGATTTTTCATTTTAAATAAAAGTGTAAATGGGGGTGGCGGAAATATCAGCCTAATCCGCCAAAGGATGCCATAAACAGCCAAATTTTACATATGTATCTACATATCTCGCCGAGCTGGGTCGATTTAGCTATGTGTGTCCGAATGTCCATTTTTATTTGTAATCAAGTCACAATTATGACGCAAAACTCACGAAGTTTTTTGTTGAGTCAGAGCTAGCGTCAGAAAAAAACATATAGGGCTTGAATAGGACCAACAAGAGAATTTTCAGATTTTGTAGTCTTTGTAATTATATACCAATTCGAGCCTAATTTTGCGTAGAGTTAGAGTTTAGAACAGAAGGGTTGACATGGATCTTACCTTTTGTGTGAAATATCCATTTTAAAACACAATATTTTACTTTGTTTAAATTTTGTGAATGAACGATTGATAATTATTGATTGTCTACTTTAGCATTTCGTTTTGTTTGTGTGTTGGCGTACAAAAACCAAAATTCTATTTGTCTGTCATTTGCCTTGCAATTTGAAGAAAAACAGCTTGCTGAGCAGGCTATTAATTAATAAATTTTTCCAGAATTTTTTTTCAGTAACATCAACTGTTAAAATTGCTTTCTGTTTACTTGACTTTTGGGTTATCGAAATACATTTACATTTAAGACAATAAATAATTATTTCTCAGATTATTTCAAATTATTTCTCAGATTATTTCGAATTATTTCTCAGATTATATTGTATTATATTTACCACTAATATTACAATATAAAAGTTGTCTATTTGATTTTGGTTTCTCAACAGTTTAAAAGTGTAACACAAGAAGAAAATATTTCAAATTAAAAAAGACTGAATCTAAAAATTTACTATCTACGTAAATGTTGGCAACTCTACCCTATAACACGTTTGTTTTTATTTCTATACAATCCTCTAAAGGAGTAGATCAAGGTGGTTCATCTATTAACCATAAAGGAAAAATCGGTTATAGTAGTAAAAGCTTTTACATTCTTGCAGTTCTGGAACATACCAATAATAGAAAATAGTTCATCATATTACCACCCAACATTTTTAAGAGTATTCCAGTATTGCTGACTGCTGAAATATGGCCGAGACCGAAACTACCACCAAACATCCTAAACTTGGCGGCTATGAATTCTTTCATAAAATACTCAAATCTCCAAAGTTTGTGGTGGCTCCAATGGTTGATCAAAGTGAATTGGCATGGCGTATGATGTGCAGGAAGTATAAAGCAGATCTGTGTTATTCCCCCATGTTCCATAGTAATTTATTTGCCAATGATCTGAAATATCGTAAAGATGCTTTGCAGACATGTCCAGAAGATCGACCGCTTATTATACAGTTCTGCGGCAATGACCCATCTACTTTATTAGAAGCAGCATTGTTGGCTCAGGATTACTGCGACGCAGTTGACATTAATCTGGGTTGTCCGCAAGCCATAGCTAAACGTGGCCATTATGGCGCTTTCCTACAAGAGGAATGGGAATTGTTGGAAGAGATCGTAAGAACGTTGCATGAAAATCTTAAGGTTCCAGTTACATGTAAAATCCGCATATTCGAAGACAGGGAGAAAACCATACGATACGCACAAATGCTAGAAAAAGCGGGTTGTCAGTTACTAACGGTGCATGGTCGAACCAGAGAACAAAAAGGACCCTTAACCGGAGTGGCTGATTGGTCTTATATTCGTGAGGTCAGGGAAAATATTAAAATTCCCATGTTCGCTAACGGTAACATATTGGGTGTCGAAGATATTTACAGATGCATTGAGGAAACTGGGGTGGATGGCGTAATGACAGCTGAAGGTAACCTACATAATCCTGCAATATTTACCGGCATGCAAGTCAAATCGTGGGAAATGGCTGACGAATACTTAAACTATGCCGAAAAATATCCCTGCCCTATTTCCTTTATTCGGGGACACTGTTTTAAACTGTTTCATCATTTGATGAATTTGAGGCCTAACAGTGAATTGCGCGAGGAACTTGCTGTAGCGAATAGTATAGACAAATTTCGCGATGTTGTAAAAAAAGTGCAATCCAAATACGAGCCCTATCATGAAGGTGCTCAGCTGTATAAAGAAGAAGAAGTAGATCCCAGCGTAGTTCAAGAAGAATTATTCTACAATTTAGCTCTTCCGCCGTGGTTATGCCAACCATACATTAGAGTTCCACCTGAAATGCATAAACAAATTCTAGCAGAAAAAGCGCGCCGTGCTGAAGATCCTAATCGTGAGAAACGACAATACTTTGATAATGATGGCCAGGAGATATCACGAAAACGCATGAAGAAGCTCAGACGACGTATGCGTCGACCCAATAAACCAGAAGGACGCCACGAACGCAACTTGGAAAATTGTAGCGATTGTACAAATCCGATGGGTTCGAAATGTGAGTTTCAACTTTGTCGTATTTGTTGTCGAGAGAAATGCTATAGTCAGGACATGGATTGTCGTGGTCATGGTATTTTAATAAAATCAAGAAGAGCAAAGGCAAAGTTATTTGAAGAATCTAAAAATGATTCGGGTGTTGCTGAAGAGGCCGAAGAAGAATCCGATAAAAGTACAAAAGATGATGATAATGATACGAATGAAGAAATGGAAAAAGTAATTTGCGAGGATACGAACAAATCAGCACAATCATTGATCAGATGATCCTCGCATATGAGTCAAAGTTTAAAGAGCAATACGAGTATATCTAGCTAAATACATAGGATTTTTTATGTACGTTTAAGAACTGATATATTGTGTTTATAGAAACAGAAATAAATAAATTTTATGGACAATAATTGTCAACATTGTCTTCTTTATAAACGAGAGCAGGATGCAATTTATTGTCCTACTTCTATTAATTTTATTGCCCTACTTCTATTAATTTAATAATATAAAATTATGTATATTTCCATTTATTTACTCTATTTTACAAATTTACATAAAGTTTCATTCTTATTTTATATACAAATGACGTTTTTTGCAGTTAAAGCATAATATTTCTCACATGAAGGATCCTCTACCTTACGTGACAAAGATTTCCTTTTTTAAGAAAGGTAGAATGACATCATATTTATAAAGAATTTTTATATTAGGTTATTTACTTTGGTTACCGATTTCAATACTAAATTTTTCTGCAAAATCGAACTTTAAATTGCCAAAAAATATGATCTGAGCAATATACATATGTACGTACATGTTATTTTATCTTTTTCATGTATTGTTAAAACTTATATATTTAATAAAGATATACAAAAATACTACTCGTAATTATGGTAAATTAGAAATTTAAATTTTAGATTGAACGACTTTAGATGCTTCGTTGTCATGTTTTTGTAAAAATCCAATTATTTTTTGTGCCACTGGTTTTGCATTGTTCAGATGCAAATGATGTGTTCCCATAGGATACATATAACTCTCAAAGTTTTTATTGTTGGCCAACATATATTCATCGAGCTCACTAGCTTTGGCGCTAGGATTTGTGGACTCTCCACCTTTGATTACTAAATAAGGTATTGTTTTCTTGCAAATGCGTTTTGCCATTTCTAAAGCCATTCCAGTGTTGGGATTAAATTCTAGCAAATATTTCACACGACCGTCTCTTGAAAAATAATACTTGTCTGGATATAGCTCCGATTTTGAGATGTTTCGTTCTAAAATAAATTTGCAATTTTCCAACTCGACTGACTTTTGGGAACCCTCATAAAGAAGAGTTTCACATTGTTTGAATGTATAACTTGGTGGTTCTGAACTTTCAGAAGCATTTAAAAGTCGTTCATTATCGCTGAGGGCCTTTTCAGTCACATGTGCCAATAATGTTGGCACGACGCTTGTTGGCCAATACACATTTTTAATTATATCCAAACTTATGACCATATCAACACGATCCGGACAAAATGCAGCAAAATGAAAACAAACCGAACCGCCCATCGAGTGACCCATTAAGCTGACTTTTTCCCATTTATAGGTTTGCATTACACGTAAAATTACGCGAACATATTCAATATTGTGGTAAAGAATTCCCGCAGGCAAATGACTGGAATGTCCGTGGCCGGGTAAATCAATGCATAGTAGGCTGCGATATGGAGCTATTAGTGGCGCCAATTTGGCAAATGTCCCGCAGTTATCTTGCCAACCGTGCAAAGCTAAAATAGGCCTTTCATTTTGGTCACCATACCAACGTCCTGAAATATAACCCCATGGAACTTGTATTCGAACCTCGCTGAACTGCAATTATAGAAAAATAAGATTAAAGAAAATACGTTAATATTATCTATATTCAAAGATAAGAAAGCATCGATAAGAGATTATTCGATTATTTTTGTATTTCTTTGAAACAAAGTTCGACTCAATTAATTATACAATATACATAAAAAAAGTTGACATTTTAGATTCTAATTTGCAATTTTTTTAAATAGTCGACTAAAAACTACGAGCTCACTGATTTATTAGACTGATCTTTAAAAGCCCTTTCGTTGCGACCTTTGTAACTTGCGCCTTTCTCACAAGTAAACGTCTACTTACGGTAATCGACACATCCGTTATATTATCCATTCCCGTTACTAACTAACTCACGACTTTGAGCAAACATAAACAAATACCCATATTTTGTAAACATTGTGACAGTGCTGCCAAATGTTTGCAATGGAATTTATTGGCTGTAGAATGACATTTCCAGTGATAACAACTACACTGTTTCCGTTTCGGTTAATATACCCTTTTCATGGACCATTAATATTAGGTGTGTCTGGTTACTTTTCCTGCAGAAATTGTCCAGCAACATCTTTCTGAGATAGTAAGGTAGTTTTATTCTCTTTTGCAAGGAAAATGCGAAAAGTAAACAGACGGGATTCCTGCAGAAGCTTGTAATCACGCTAGAAGAATATAGGTAGATGCATCAACGCTTGGAAACATTGATATTTCAAAATTTTTAAAGTGTTTTGTCAAAAATAAATAGGTTTGTACATGGTACAATGAATACAAGGTAGGCCAACTTTGAAAAAATTGCAAGTATAGAGGTCTACCTGTTTGGCTTGTAATGTCAGAATTACTATCAAAACTACAAAAAAGCAAACAACTTTTTGCATCGATTTTGAATAAATAATTTAAAACCGCGAAATCTGTATGAAAGGTCGAAATTTCTTTTCAAAATCATGTTCTGTATATCTCTTATGTTTTATTTCGCGACAAAAACTGTATGTTTTATTTTCGTCGCAATAAGAATTTTGAAAACATCCGAATTTGAATATTTTCTGAACAATTTTTTTATTATTGAAAAGAATACACACACATAAACAAATAAAGTTGACATATTAAGCCAGAAAAATAAAAAATTAAAATACCCCAACATACCAAAATGACTTGAGAATAATATTACAATAAGCTTATGAACATAAGCCTTAAGCTTGAGAAAATCTTGAGAAAACATTGAAAAATGTTTGTGTAACAAGTATAGAATAATCGAAATGGAACCCTTACTTATAAGCTTATACTTGAAATTGTAGAATAAGCTTACGAAAATAATATTATATAAAGCTTATTTTTGTAATATTATAAAATATTTATTTATTTTTAATCATTTTACACATTTTTTTTCTTCGATGGACATCCCAGCTGTCACTGCCTCCTGTTTCCTTGATACCCTGACGCTTTCTTCTCCCTTATTTGAGCTTCTGCATCTTTTCCACTAGTACTACACTTCTATTGAATTCCTGCAACTTTTTTGATCCATCCTATCTGAAATGAGATTGAAATGATATATAGCACAGAGTACCAGATTTGTTATTCATTATTACCTTAAGAATTCGGTCCGGAAATGGGTCCTACATTCGCGTTATTTTGCGTTTTAGCAAAAGAAAATTTTTAGCTAACAATTTTCACAAAAAATTAAAACTAATTTGTCAACAAACGATTTGAGAAAAGTTTGTGAAACATAATTTCTATTTTTATAATAATTTCTATTTTTATAATATTATTCTCAAGCTGTATTGTATTTTTGGTATGTTGGGACAATACAAATTAAAAATACAATACAGCTTGAGAATAATATTATGAAAATAGTTTATCGTAAGAATTCCTCAACAATGCTAGAGAAAAACTTTTTTGCACAAACTTTTCTCAAATCTGTCCTTTGTTGACAAATTTGTTTTGATTTTTTTTTTTTTGTGAAAATTGTCGACAAAAAAAATATTTTCTTTGGTTAAAATCAAAATCACGCGAATTTAAGACCCATTTCTGGACGAAACTCTAAGGTAATGATGAATAATAAATCTGGGAATCTGTAGTGTATATTATTTCAATCTCATTCCAGAATAGAGGCGTCAAAAAGTTGCAAGAATTCAAGAGAAGTGAAGAATTAGTGGAGGAGATGCGGAAGCTCAAATAAGGGGAAAGAAAGCATCTAGGTATCAATGCAACAGGAGGCAGCGACAGCTAGGATAGCGATCAATGAATGAAATGTGTAAAATAATTAAAAAAAAATTAAAAAATAAATATTTTATACCATTGAAAAAATAAGCTTGATATAATATTACTTTCGTAAGCTTATTCTGCAATTACAAGAATAAGCTTATGAATAAGGGTTCCCTTTCGATTTTTCTATAATTGTTAAACAAGCATTTCTCAATACATTCTCAAGATTTTCTCAAGCTTAAGGCTTATTTTTGAAAGCTTATTAAAATATTATTCTCAAGTCAATTTGGTATGTTGGGGTAGTTCTGCCCTACCTTGAAGTCATTGTACCATGGGTTTGTATATGTTTTCCTATACAACGCCTATAGTATTTAGCTTCTTCAGAAAACGTAAAACGCTATTTTTTCCGGTTTGAAATCACTTTTGTTTTTGCAAGTGAAATTTTATTTGTATGGAAACTTGTAACTTTAAAACAGACTCAAAACACTTTGGAATAATAAATAAATAAAATAATTATCTTAAGATATGTTGAATATGTATGGTAGAATGCTGTTTAATAAATTAATCATTAATTAATATTTTAGGGGCAGGTACAAAAATTCAGCACTAGAAACAATTGCCATAGATTTTATAGAAAGCCACCAGGACCTAGCGAGGGGCTATATCAAAGATGATTGAGTGGTTGCCGAAACAAGTTAGTCACAACATACCGAACGTACAGTGTACGTTAAAAAAATGTGTCACAATAAAAAGAAAAATGAAAAAAACTGGCGGTGGTCATTTCAACAAATGTATGCTCAGTGAAATTGAGGAATCCACTGCAATTTTTCTTTTTGCACAAAAAACTCTTTTAAGCAGAATTTTTACACTTCTACAATATTTTCTAATTATGTTCATTCATTCATTCCTTCTTTCATTCCCCTTATGTCACCATATTGAACGTATAATGTTGCCATATTTACCCTAAACTCGTAGCTCACAGTCGTACGAAATCTGAAGAAGCTAAAACAAAAACGAACGATTTTGAATTGCGGAATTCATACCATTTCGATACGATTTTGTGACATGCCTGATATTCTTATTCGCGTTATGATTACTGAAACTGTTGACTCTTTTAGGGGGATATTCTGAAGGAGTGGGCCAATATTGTCCATATGACATGCCATATATAGACTATATCGACTACTTCCGTCAACATTTATGAGATATGGAAAATGTTAAAGTATTGGGATATATAAAACTTAAGCCAGCAAAAAACGTTTTATGTATTCCCATACTACATTTGAAAGGACTCGTTGCAAACCATAGTGGGGGAGGTACCAGAAGCGGTAGGGCGATATCTATCATATTCACACCACATCTTGTATTAGTAAAAATATTAAGTGTGAAATTTCAAGAGAAATATTGTGACAATCGGACTCTTTCACATTTTGTAAGAGTTATAATTATTTAAAAATTTGACCCTTGTGGGGGAGGTACTTGATGGAGTGGGCCTATATTATCCATTTTCACACCTCAATTAGCACTGATAAAAATGTTTTCACTTTTTCATTTTGAACTGCTTAAAACACGTTATGAAAGCTTTGCACTGCATTGCACTGCTTCTAATTGCTTTGATCTAGCAGTCTCAAATGTTCTTCTTCTAGTATTCATTTTGAAAAATTCCTGCGAATTTTGCTTAGACGTTTTTTTTTTTAAAAAAAATTGATAACTTTGATTTCAATTTACCACCTATAGGTGCTTTTAGTTTGTTTTTAAGAAAATCTTTTTTAATCCAGTTAATACCTATCTTTTTGATAGATTTCTTAATTTATCAATCATGCTTTTATGTGGCAAATAAGTTGATTTCAAAACTCAATTTTGTTTATTGTAATGGGGATGTTAAAAATGTCCGAATAAGGGCACATACAAAATGTTGATGCAAAATAAGAGAATACAAAACCAAAAACTCTTATACCATTCACTCAAACCGAAATTGCTCATTTCTTCGCATACTTTTTGTGTTATTTCGACGAAACCGTTAGAAGCGGTTATAACAGAGTTTTTACATACATACTTTGTCTTATTTACTTACATAGCTATGACTGACTGACTTTGCACAACCATTAGCATTTCGTTTTTAGTCTAAAGCTTGGTTTTGTCCTGTAAAGTGCAATATGTCTGTGATTGTGATTGTTCATTTGTGATTGTCCCATATTGTTGCTCAATTGGTGATTTTAACTTAAAAGCCTCTTGTACTGTTTTATTATATTGATCTATAATAAAATTTGTTCAAACTATCGGGGAAAAAGTTATTGATCACATACGACAATAATTTTTGTGTATGTGTCCGTCATATTGTGACTGTCCCCCGTACGGTTTGTGGAAAAGTATCAAAATTATTATATAAGATAACAAGAATGTAAATGACATCGGTGTGTGATGTAAAATTTGGAGATGAAAATGCAATTATTTCACATGTAAAATGCATGCGGGAGATCAAGTACAGGAACAAAATAAAAAAGTTCTAGCGTTGCGTGCAGCCGTGGAAGTTCAACAGGACTTGGCTGAAACGAGTACACTGCAAACGGAAATCGTTTGGGACGTGTAAGTTTTTTATTTTCTTTTTTTTTTTTTTAATATTTGTTCCTATTTTCTATCCACATTTGCTATGTAGATTGGGTCCCGATCAAGAAGATGTTTTGCGCAAGAAATTGGAGTATATGTTTCCGGATGATAGAACGGTTTATACATCCAAACAAGATATACGGCGAGCACGAAGGCATAATGTTAACGTCAAGGAAATCCGAGCTAAATTGTTTCAAAATATTTGGCAACAGAGTAAGTTTAAAAATAATTGTAGTGTTTTATTTTGAGAATTTGAGAAAATAAGTCTATTTTTACCAAAAATGTAGCGTGTTGTCATAAAGTTTAAAAAGTGAAGCAGAAGACCTATAGCCTCATTTTTGCCATTTTTGAGACTGTTGTACGTGAAGGCTATTTGATACAATGGTACGGTACCAAAACACATCTGACTTAAATACACACAGAAATTCTAGGGGAAATTAGCACACGCCTATAGTTGCGTTTTGTTTTGAAACTCTAATGCCTTGGGTAAAAAACAATCTACCCGCCAAAGACGCAAGAAATTCAGTCTCTCAACTCCATATGAAGACTTTATAATGGTTTAACCTCAGTGTTGCTCAAAATAGATTTGCTCTATACTTTATATTATATCATGTACTTTATATTATATTTATATATTTCCAAATTATTTTCGTTTTATAGGGAAGTTTACAAATGGCGTTCTACTACACTCTATTATATACGTAATAGTGACATCAGATACTGATGTGAAAAATGCAAAATATTCACATAATTATACCATACATCCTATATTTCGTACAAGACGATGTCTAAGTAAGTTGTGCATTGTACCACTTGAGTGATAGCTGTTAAAAATAAAAACTAATTTCTTTTTATTTTATATTTTTCCAGATTCGAACAGCAGTTCGGGCTGCTGTATGATATTTATAGACGAACAGTCTCGTATATATCAAAATTGGAATGATTTTGTGAATAATAATGAATTGCCTATTGGCGCTATGGTTGCACCTGCCAACGGATGCTATTACTTGGACGATAACAACACGGTATGTTAAGTACGTATTCTTTCACGTTCGTCACAATATTTTACTAAAAATACATGTTTAGATATATACCCAGCAAAAATACTATTTACAAATCAGGTTACGAACCCACGATTTTGTCAAGGGTATGTCGCACAAAAAAAAATAAGTTATTTTCTGGCCATTAAATTCCGATAAATAAGTAATTATTTAACCACATTTAGTGACCAAAGTAGATAAATAATCATTTATCTAATTGACTTTGCGACATACCATTGTTAAAATAATGACTTGGAAACAGGATTTGTAACGAATAATTTCACTGGGTACAATGAAATCAAGGTAGGACATGGCTACCAAACGATTTTAATTTCTTTATTTGCTTGTCTGAACATATAAAATTAGTGGTGTATGTATTCTTTTTAATTATATGGAAATATATAAAAAAATTTCAGTTGCATGGCCTATACAGGGTGAGATAAAAAAAACTGCAACAATGTCAAACGCCGTAATTTTTATTTATTTTTTTTTTTTTAATTTTATTGAATGATAGTAAATATTGTCGGAAATAGCATCACATTTTAGAATAATTTTGTATTTGTTCGCATTGGTCACCTTTGACACGAATTATGGCCTTCAAACGGCCAATGAAACCGTCACACGCTGCCCGAATGTTGCTCTGCGATATTTGGCCATTTGTGGCGAAGCGTTTGCTTGAGGTGATCGACACTTTGGTATTTTTTAGTGCAACCTTACTTTCCAAAATACTCCAGACACAATAGTCCAACGGATTGGTATTCGGAGATTTTGGTGGTCATTGTGCGCTGGAAATGAAGCAAGGAACCTCATTTTGTAACCATTCTTGGGTGGCGCGTGCTGAGTCCTGTTGTAATGTCCAAGGTCTGTGGCCAAAATATTTGCGTGCCCAAGGCTTTAATACACCCTCCAGAATATTTTCGTGATAATATTCGCCATTTATTCTGATGCCACGGTCGATTAATACGAACGGCTGTTATGGCGGCCCACACCATCACCATGGCCGACGCTTGAGTTCTGGTGGCAAGTAAACACGATCATTTTCTTTGTTTGTTTACAAACTGCTGGACAACTGTGGAGAATGTTTTCTCATCGGAGAAAACCAAATTCGGAATTTCACCACTTTAGGCCATGCGAAGCTACTCTTTAGCTCTTTTGAGTCTAATTTCTTTCCTTTGCGGTGTAAGTTCTTGCACTTTTTGGAATTCCAATGGCTTTACCCCGAGCTCATTTTTCAATATTTGCCGAATGGAATAATACGATATGTTCAGCTCTCGATCCATTTTTCGGCGGGTTTCGATCAAGTCGGTTCTTTTCTTTTCGAACCATTTCTGCTGATGTTGCTGTTTTCTTTCGTCCACTTCCATGACGTCGGGCTACGCTACCAGTATCACGGTAATGAACGATGGTACGAGACACAAAATATTTATTTACATTTAAGTGCTGGAGTGCTCTAACGATAGCCACTTGTGGTTTTCCAGCCAAATATCAAGAAATCACACTATCACGCTTGAATTCAATTACGAATAACTTTTTCTCTGGAAACTTCTCACTAAAATGCTTTTGTACGCTTGTAAACAATATAATGAGCTGTCACTGGAATTTTTTTAAAAGCTGTTGGACGAGTGGCTTGGAAATGACAGCCGTCAGAAGTTGGTTGCTGTTTTTTCATCTAATCCTGTGTAAGGTCGTTTACAAGGTCCATGGCCCATGACCTATGCGTTGTCGAACAGTAAGCCCGTCTGACAACCAAATTTCCTGCCAAATACATAATCGTGATTTGATATTTCAAGCAAGTCAAATCACAATGGTGTCAAAACTACTAAGTTTATTGTCAAAAGTAATCTTCTTGGCCGATCTTATAAATAGGTCTTGTTCAGTTGCATCAAAACACTTCTTACAACGTACCAATGGACAAAACTTACCCTTTTTGTGACGAAATAAATATTTTTATATTTTTTATTCAAAACCACTTTTTGCATTTGTTTTGGTGTAACTCTTACATTTCAGATAGTCATCTTTATTTGCAATTTTCTGTGACTTGCCTTGCAATTTTCTCTGACCTTGCCTTCATTGTACCATGCACAGTACTATTTTCCACTTTTTTCAAGGCATTGTTTTCAACAGATTTTTCTTCTCATTTGCTATCAATTATAGGTGCAACTAGAGTGTGGTCTGACGCCGGCGTATTATAAAAAAGGTTTGGCAAGAATGGATGCAGTCTTCTCAGCGGTCTCTGCAGTTGGCCAGGCTTCTTCTTTGGTTCATCCTATGTTTTCTCTATTAACCATTGGCGCCAAGACCTATGAGACATTACGAGATTATCAAAAAATGTCCGATAAAGTTAAGCATGGCACTGCAACAAAGACTTCGGCCAATTTGAATTTAAGCGGAAACGTCATATGTTTGACATCGTCAGTTGCAACTTTTGGAGCCTACATGGTAGTTCCAAATGGCGGTTCTCTTTCGTTTGTAAGTATTGTCTTAATATAAATAAAAACACAATAATATAATCTGTTCGATTTTTCATCCAGCTGTACAAAAAAATAATTCTGCTGAATAAGACGAAATGAAAGGAACAATCTATTACAAGATTCTGTTGTGAATATTGATAAATACCAAAATACCGAAAATTTTATTCCTCAATATGTGTAGAATCTGAGAAAAATAGATTAATTAAAGAATTTCTTTCTGAAGATATGGTATGCATTTTTCAAGATAAATAAATTAGAAAATTAGAAAATTATTTTTACGTGACATATATATATAAATATACGCTCAACATATGGCTGATTATATGCGTGTATATAAAATACATACTAAAGCCAGGATCTTCTCGAAAGGTATTTCAATAAAAAGTTCTTCATTAGTATTATTTTTTTTTGACCATGAAGAATAAGGATGTTCTTAAAAATTTCAGGTTTATTTACAGGAAGTCCTTAGAAACATTCAGGTAGCAAAGTCAAAAGCATTTTACATTTTTTTAAAATTTTATTGAATGAAAGCAAAAAATGTCGGAATTATCATCAAATTTTAAAATAAGTCTAGATTTGTTCGAATTGGTCAACTTTATATGGCCTTAAAAAAATTAACGGCCAATGAAACCGTCACACGCTGCCGGAATGTTGCTCTGTGGTATTTTGGCCCGGGACTGGAAAGAAAATAGACTCAAAAGTGCTAAAGAGTTGCTTCGCTTGGCCGAAAGTGGTGATCTGCCGAATTTGGTTTTCTCCGATGAGAAAACATTCGTTGTCCAGCAGTTTGTAAACAAACAAAATGATCGTTTTCACTTGCCAAAGAGGTCAGCTGAAAATGTGCACCTTCGGTTGGCCACCAGAACTCAAGCGCCGGCCATGATGTGGATGGGGGCCGCCATAACAGCCGATGGTCGCTCTCCGCTCGTATTAATCGACCGTGGCATCAGAATAAATGTCGAATATTATCGCGAAAATATTCTGCAGCGTGTATTAAAGCCTTGGCCACGCGCTTAGCTCGCGCCGCCCAAGAATGGTTACAAAATGAGGTTCCTCGCTTCATTTCCAGTACACAACGACCACCAAAATCTCCGGAAAGCAATACGTTGGACTATTGTGTCTGGAGTATTTTGGAAAGCAAGGTTGGCACTAAAAAATACCAAAGTGTCGATCACCTCAAGCAAACGCTTCGCCGGGAATGGGCCAAAATACGGCAGAGCAACATTCGGGCAGTATGTGACGGTTTCATTGGCCGTTTGAAGGCCATAATTCGTGCCAAAGGTAACCAGTTCAAACAAATCTAAACTTATTCTAAAATAGAACAGTGTTGGCTTGTTAGTATTTTGTTGTTGCAAAATGTTCAGGCTTAATCCCTTTATTGTTGTTTTTTAAAAAACAATGTTTATTAGTGAAGAACGATGGTAATATTTACCAGAGGGTAAGGCAGGAAGTACCTAGGTTTCGGAAAGAGTCACCAATCCTCATCAGTTCCCTTGTTTTTTGTCTATGAAAAAATTTTTTTAGAATTTTATTTTTATGTGATTCTTTGGTTCCTGATGAACTTATAGAAGAAGATGAACTTATAGATATGTAAAATTGCTGTCCGATTTGTTCTCAAACTTGGTACATTTCAATATTTCTTTCAATATAAGATCTAATTTGAAAACGAGATACTTGGGCCAACGTCTTTCAGTACTCTCATAACACGTGGAATAGTGTCCGATTATCTGCAAAATTCTTGTATCTCAATATTTTTCTTCATACTATATTTCTCGTGATATATACATCCGTTCATTCTGATACATTATGGCAAACTAGGCAAAGTCCAACCGTAACCGTAATATAAGCAAACTGAAGACAACCGATATGCTGAGGATTTCTCTATGCCGATAAACAACAAACAACAAAATGTTGATACATTTTGTAATGTAAGATCTAACGTGAATATGGTCCAGAACGTCCCTATCGTAATATAAACAAACTAAAATCCTCCCTTTTACTGAAGATATATCTGTCGCTAAACTGTCTGATGTTTCGTAATATAGAAATATATTATGATACATTTTCTGATGTACATATTTAGTTTATGTGTTAAGTTATAAAAAGGTTTATTTAAATGGAAAATTACAAAGACCACTCACTTATCTGCATTTCTTGTATATTATCTGATTTTCAGACAACAAACATGTCAATTCAAGCGATTAATAGCGCAGCAACTTTAATAAATTGCACCAAATTTATATTAACAACTTACGACATATTTACGGTAATATATTTAACTTTTATATTCTTTTTTTATAATGTTTATAACAGGTTATTTTGATCTCAGCGTTATTTCAGCGATGAAGATGACCTTCAGTTTAGCGATCTCGTAGCATTTGGTTCTTCATTATTATTATTAACCAATTCCGTTAATAATATGGTTATAACATCCCAATTGGGAAATATCGGAGGAAATTCATTGAGGTCTTTGTTACAAACTAAAATAAAGTAAGTCTTATCGAGCAAACAAACTTAGATAAAACTACTTGAACTATTAAATTGATTTGACAAGTATTTTACTGAAATAACAAGTAAAAAACATTAAGTTCGGCCCTCCACCTTAGGGTAAAGGAAACATTAGAACCCATTATGACCCACAAATACCAATTTGTAGACATATTCGTGAGAAAATGTGGCAAAATCATCAAAATATCGAATATCGGGAGGTACCGCTATATGGGGCTATACAAAAACGTGAACCTATACATACAATGTTTCGCCAACGGAGCTAGAACCCATTAGGACACACAAATACCAATTTTTAGACAAATCCGCGAAGAAATGTTACAAGAATCATCATAATATTGGCTGTATCGTGATTTCAACAGACAGACAGACAGACAGACAAACAGACGGACATCGTTAAATCGACTTGGAATTTTATGCTGATTATGAATATATACTTTATGGGGTCTACGACGAATATTTAGGGAAGTTGCAAACGGAATGACAAAGTTAATATACCCTCCTTTCCAAGGTGGAGGGTATAAAAAAGTTGAGTAGCTATTTGTGTTAATGATAATAATAATTGTATTGTGTTGAAAGTTAGCTGTAATAGGTTTTCCCATTATTCGAACTGCGTTTTGTGAAGAAATTGGGAAACTGGAATAAACGCCCAATTGTTTAGCTACCTAAAAGTACTTCCTAGATATTATATTATTAATTAATTATTAATCGCTATATAACATTGTATTAACCATAACTTTTTAACATTTTTGTAGAGCTGGTCTTTCATTGGTGGCAGAAGAAGCAATACGCCTAACGATGCAAAGTGGTGATAGTTTTGACCTTTTGCGTATGGTTAATGATATACCATTCAGAGACATTCTACGTTCAATGCATACCATTTGTGAAAATCTAACACCAACTGGCTTCCTAACAACTATCTCGGCTATCGGTACAGCAGTTCTCGAAATGGCACCTGGTCTGGTAGTTGAAGTAACAAATAAAGAGATTACTCAGCTTAACTTTATTGAATTGGCCAAAGTCTATGGTTCGAAGTTTGTCAAGCATATTGCAAACGCCAACAGTCTTATGGATGTCCTTAATGGAATGGGCATATATTTTTCAGAGGCCGTGACACAATTGATTTTCAATCAAGCGCGTCTATTTGTCGATACCTGTGTCGATGTGATCGACGAACAGCAGAACACGTTCTTAACAACGGAAATGATCATTTTCAAAATGTTTTCGTTTGCGGTGAAGAACTACAAGGATTTGAGCTATGAGTATTTGGATAATAAGAGGGATGAACTAATACAGGGTGTCACAGAATATTTCCAGTCATTCAATCCGAAACCGCATCAATCGTCGTTATCGGAGACTGAAAGCGGTTCAAAACGCGCTTGTGATGTTTGTTGTGGTTATTATTTTTTAGTCGAATTATAAATGAATAGAGGAGGAAGATGTGAATGTAAATGTGCTGTGATTGTCAATGATTTCTTTTCTTTTTTCTTCAGTTTGTGATTGTGATTCTCTTTCTTAACTTAGGCATTAATTATTTAAGTATTCTGGTTATCAATTCTTTGTAATTTTGATTTGCTAACGAATGTGGCACACGTCGATCGAGCAAATCAAAAATTAATAATTATATTCTATATTGTGATAATTTTAGTTAGTAACGTATAATAATAAATAATAAAGTAATGATTCGATATTCAAAGTCAAAGTTGTTGTCATTTATTTGATAATTGTCCTGATTTTTAAAATTAGTTGTAAAACGCAAAAAAAAACGAGATGCCTTTATCCTCAGCCATATGGCTACAGAGGGTATATATCATTTGATAGGTCAAAACGTGCCTAGTCGAAATAACGGTTTTAGACCGTAGGTCTCTTTGGACCAAATCCGTTTCAGGACATTTGGAGTCGATCTAGCGATGTCCGTCCGCCTGTCTGGTTGGCTGGTGCGCACGATAACTCTCGAAGGGTGTATCCGATTTGGTCAAAACTTGGTACATCGTAATATTTTTGTCAAACTTAGGTCGAGTTCGGGATGGGCAATATTGGTCCACTGCTACTGGTACCACTCCCACAAAAGGCCGAAACTTTTAAAAAAGAGAAACGATAGTCCGATTTTGCTCCATCTTTGCAATTCCTAATATTTGTGTTTGTGCTACGTTGAGTGCGAAAATGGACAATATCGGTCTACTCCATCGAGTTCCTCCCCCACAAAGAGTCAAAATTTTGAATAATTACATCTCTTATAAAATGTGATGTATGAGTCCGATTGTCTTCAAATTTCACACATCCCAATGTTTTTAACAAAAGTTCTGGTGTTAAAATGGAAGATATCGGCTCACTCCTTCTGATAGCACCCCCACAAAGGGTCGAAATTTTCAAAAATATATATTTTTTTCTGCATTGAAATTATCATTTTTATAAAGAAAAGATGTGTTAAATAAAAAAATATTAAGAAAATATTTAAAATTTCGTGTTTTTACAAAAAAAATATTCAAGCCTAGGGACCTTAAAAATATTTTCTTACATAAAAGGTTTGGCATCATAGCATGACATTTTATTGACATATTATAAAGGAATGCCGGAGCCTCTCTCGAAGCTAATCCTTTTATATATAATACTAGCTGAACCCGGTGCGTTTCGCTACCCCTTTTGATTTTATATGCATTTAAAATTTTATATACGACTATTTGTTGGTTAAAAAAAATAAAACAAATTCAAAAATTAAAAAACCTAATTATTGTAATACTTTAAAGCGTAAACAAACAAAAAGCTCGGCCTACCAACGCTTGAACATGCCAGGAACAGCTGGACATGAGAAAATCAGGAACATGCCAAATTTAGTCCGTATACACGAAGAGTTTGTCCTTCTGATTTATTAATTTCATAGCAAATGTCAAGCGTGCAGGAAACTGCAATCTTTTGAAGTTGAGTGGCATTTCTGTTGCAATTAAAGAATTCGAGATAGCAACATATTTCCCCGCAATAATCGTATCCTTAATTAAATTGTTGTGTAGTTTTCTACTGTTACCCTAATACCATTGCAAATGCGTCAATACTGCTTAATAAAACATATCCCAATCTTTACACCAAAATCCGTCACACCTTCCACATTTCATTGAAATTGGAGGTACATACCGTTTTTGGTGCATCAGACATGTGAAATCGTCTGAGAATATATATGGGAGCTATATCCAAACCTCAACCGATTTCAACATACATAACTTGGCAATTTTTTTTTTTTGGTTCCAAATTCTGTCGCTGGATGCATCAAATGTGCAAAATATGGAAGCTATATTCAAATCTAAACCGATTTCAATATAATTTGGCAAATATATTTTCTCAAATCAAATCCCGTCACGATATCGTGACATAACATAATTTCCACTACCAGTGTCATCTATTGAAGAAAAGTAATGTCCCATCTTATTGTATAATATGTCTTTGACTACATATTGTGTTTGGGGCATCAATAAAACGAAATCGGACGAAAATATATACAGGGTGAGATGAAAAAACTGCAAACAACTTCAGACTGCTGTTAAAATTATTCCAGTGACAGCTCATCATATTTTTTACAAGCGTACAAAAGCATTTTGGTGAGAATTTTCCAGAAAAAAAGTTATTCGTGATGGAATTCAAGCGTGATAGTGTGACTTCTTTATATTTGGCTGGAAAACCACAAATGGCTATCGTTAGAGCACTCCAGCATTTATGTGTGAATAAATCTTTTGTGTTTCGTACCATCGCTCGTTACCGTGATACTAGCGTAGCGTAGCCCGGCGTCAAGGAAGTGGACGGAAGAAAACAGCAACATCAGCAGAAATGATTCGAAAAATAAAGAAGCGACTTGAACGAAACCCGCGTCGCAGTGACCGAAAAATGGCTCGTGAGCTGAACATATCGTAATATTCCTTTCGTCAAATATTGAAAAATGAGCTCAGGGTAAAGCCATTGAAATTCCAAAAAGTGAAAAAACTTACATCGCAATTGAAAGAAAATAGACTCAAAAGCTAAAGTGTTTCTTCGCTAGGCCGAAAGTGGTGAACTGCCGAATTTGGTTTTCTCCGATGAGAAAACATTCGTTGGCCAGCAGTTTGTAAACAAACAAAGAAAATGATTGTGTTTACTTGCCAAAGAGGTCAGCTGAAAATTTCCACCTTCGATTGGCCACCAGAACTCAAGCGCCGGCCATGGTGATAGTGTGCGCCACCGACAGCCGATGGTCACTCTCCGCTCGTATTAATCGACCGTGACATCAGAATAAATGCCGAATATTATCGCGAAAATATTCTGGAGGATGTATTAAAGCCTTGGACACGCAAACATTTTGGGCGCAGACCTTGGACATTCCAACAGGACTTAGCACGCGCCAGCCAAGAATGGTTGCAAAATGAGGTTCCCAGCTTCATTTCCAACGCACAATGGCTACCAAAATCTCCGGATACCAATCCTTTGGACTATTGGTCTGGAGTATATTGAAAAGCAAGGTTGGCACTAAAAAATACCAAAGTGTCGATCACCTCAAGCAAACGCTTCGCCGGAAATGGGCCAAAATACCGCAAAGCAACATTCGCGTGTGATGGTTTCATTGACCGTTTGAAAGTCATAATTCGTGCCAAAGGTGTCCAATTCAAACAAATCTAAACTTAATCTAAAATTTGATGCTATTTCCGACATTTTTTGCTTTCATTTAATAAAATTAAAAAAAAAAATTAAAAATTATGGCGTTTGACTTCACACCCTGTATTCTTCATACTTCCTTGAAACAAAAATCCTACACCACTAAGGCGATTCTGCTACTCACTTTTTACGTTAGCGACAAATATTGCTAAACTATAAAGCCAAAATTATGAATGAAAAGTGTATATAAAAGTTAACTGCGCTGTTTGTATGAATATTTTGCACAAACTTCTCTCTATTATTTGCAGGAAAATTTCGTGACTTACCAAAATGATAGGAATTTTATTTTCTCCGATATTTGTCCGTAACTCAAAAAATGAGTGTGATAATCAGACACCATACAGACACCAAGTAAACAGACATACTTAATGTGTTTAGACAACAAGAGAAGACAGCTTGTTTTTTGTTTTCGCATCAAATTTTGACAGCTTGAAACAGCTGTGTTTTAATTAAACCGGCCCTTTGGCAGATATGGCAAGCTCTTTTGTGCGGACAGCCGCTTTGTTGTTTATTAAATTTTAATAATGAGCTGGTTGATAACTTTATTGGCTAAATTGTTATTTATTGTGAATACCGCAAAATCAGAGGGAAATTTATATACAGTGGCAAAATGTCCAGGATTGGATGTTGCGCAGATCCGGCAGTTCACGCAGCAAAATGAAATATCATTGATTTTCTACTACACTCGCTGGAGTGCTGATAGCCTGCATGCACTGGAGGAATACAATGATGTGGCAATGTACTATGGCGATAAGGTGTTCTTCTCATCTGTTGACTGTTGGCATCTGTCATGTAATTGCTCCAGAGCACTGGGGCCTGGTGTAGGATCTAGTCCAAATAAATGGCCCACTTTAATGGCCTATTATGGCAGACGTGGTCAGCTTCAAGTACAATACCATGGCTTGTGGTCATTTAGGGGAATTCAACAATTCATTGATAACCTATTGCATCCCCTGAAGAGGTTTTCAACAGTGGAATCAATGCAGCAAGCACACCAATTGTCGGACGCCCTAATAATGGGTGTATTTCAAACGCCTAATTGCAAGGAATATAAACACTATCTAATGGCATCTTTAAAGTGGTTAGAGAGTGATCCGCTTAGAACCTATGTATTTGGAGTAGATTTTGTAACAAACACAAGTGAAGCTAGTGGGATTCTAAAGTACGATCACATTCCAGATCTAATCTATATGGGTTCATCAGGAATTAAGAAATTTAGCGATGTTGGTGGCTATTTATGGAATGCAAGTCATATTTTGTTATGGCTGCACAGGGAGCTGAAAGAAGATCTTACAAACTTGCATGGCTATTCGACTCCCATAACCATTGCCCAAAAGTTACAGGAGAATCCAGTTTTAGCTGTATTCGTAAATGATGCATACCGTTTCTATGGCTATATGGAAAAACTCATCAACACGAGAAGCTTATTAAGCTGCAATACAAAACCCTTTATATGCTCGAGAGTGACGAAAAATAAAGAACGTAGGGATGTTAATGTCCAGCAACTGGACATTGAACAACTGTTCCAAATTTCTACGGATGACAAGAATTCTTATTGCAACGTTAATAAGGTATTGAATAAAAATCTTGGCTATTATTATGCTATTAACAAGTACTTAACAAATATAATGCCAAATTTGGCGTATCCTTTTAAAAATGGAAACAGTGACATTGCTAAATCAGACATTGAAAAATTGGCCGATTTCCATTACACTACTAAATGTTTAGACAGTGACCCCAGAATTTCGAATTCTCTGCAAATAATTACTGCGAAATATTTGCAAAATCTAATTGATAATCATAAAATGTTGTATAATAGTAATCACACACTTTCAGTTGTTTTATTAGATACTGATAGTTACAAAGATTATTTGCAAAATCTTGATATAGAGACAAATAAATTTAGTTTAGCCACAACTTTTATTGTGGACGTTAAGCAGGAAGGCATTTTTCCTTTGGCGTATGATTTCGACATTGAAACCCTTAAAGAATTTATACAGCAATATTACAAACATAATTTATTGCCATATTTTAGAAACGAACATATCAATGGCTATGGTTCGACAGTCAAAACTCAAATGCCGTCTCAAGACAATACCCACAACTTCGAAGTCAAATCATTAAATCGTCTATTGTTGCTTAATAGTTTACAGTATGCACATAATCAGACTCTTGTACTTCTTGTTCACACCCCCGAATGTGCACTATGTGGCAGTTTGCAACATACATTTATACAACTATCTGGGGCTCTGCGACACATGTCTCCTGAATTGCAATTCGCCCGGATAAATGCCCATTTGAATGATTTACCATGGCAATTCAATATGGCCTCTCTTCCTGCCCTTTTGGTATTTCCCAAACATCGTTATGGCGATTCACGTCTATTTCCATCAAATTTAAAACCCGACTTTAAAAATGTTTTCGGTTTTATTCTGAAGCAGATTCCCGCTGAAGATCAAATCAAGACGACTGTATCATTTTGTCAAAGTCGCATATTAAATACTCTAAATACGCAATCTTGTTGGCGTTTCGCTAAAAACTTGTTAACACAACATATTGACAGACATTTGCATTATTGGGAGCTATTCGAAAACGAACGAAATGTAATATTCGAGAGTTTGCGTGCCTTCAAAGATATAAGTTTAGATGTACAACGTAATTTGAATTTGTAGTAGTGTAACTTTGTAGAAAAATGGTCTCGTATTTATAATGGAATAAATAATATAAGCAATGTTAAAACAACCATGTTGGGTCTTTTCTTTAAACACAGTTGATGATACATTGTTATTTATGTTTCTATACCCCGTATTAGTGTGTAACAGAGTAAACTATGGTAAGTATAAATTATTAATCATAAAAATTATTTGGCAAATCGTTTTAAAAATGGAAACAGTGAAATTGCTAAATCAGACATTGAAAATTTGGCCCAATTCCATTACACTACTAAATGTTTAGTTGTGCAATTCTGGAACTCATCATTTTGCATAAATTACTTGCGATTTTTACAAGAAGGTGCGCTGTTTTTGCTTTATTTTCATGGCTCCACGACATATCATATTGCCTACAAGAAAAATCAAGTTCGAATAACTTAATGTTGTTTTTTAATTTTTTCCGCTATTGAGAAAATTTTGGTAACAGTGATGAGAGTTTTCAGGGATAGACTCGTAATTTTACTGAAGATTTTACAAAAATGGAAAGGTGTTGCTGTTCCGGGTACTATAAAAAGCTTAGTTCTCTAGCTAAATGTTGAATACCCTTAGCTTACATTTTCTTTTTTAGAACATTTTCGAAAATACATTCAGGTCCTTATGTATTAATTAATAGGATTTCTATGGAATGGACGTCTTTAAAATATCCAATGTTCACTTGCAATTATGGAACAGTGGGGAAAGGAATTCACAGCCTTAATCTTTGATAAGCGAAGTTTTTTCCTTCCCAAAAAGCGAAGGTCGTTCTTATAAATAAATATTAACTTTGTCATTCCGTTTGTAACTCTTCGAAATATTTGTAATAGACCCTTCAAAGTATATATATTCTGGATCAGTGTAAAATTCTAAGACGATCTATCACGCTATCTTTCGAGATAGAGATAGAAGACTAAAATTTTGCATACATGCATAGTTTACCGGTAGGCAGGTTTAGTTCGTCGGTCCACGTTTTCGTATAGCCCCTGTATAACGGAACCTCCCGACATTCGGTATTTTGTTGATTTTAGCGACATTATTTTCGGAATTGTTTCAAATTTAGTATTTGAAGTTCGTAATGGGTACTACAGTTTATGACAAAATTTCGTAAGCAGGTCCACGTCAGAACATTTATAAATTGTGCATATGAGTGCTTATGCGAAATTAAGGGACATAGCCATGGTATTAAAAACGTAGATTAAAATAAAATCACCTAATAGAAAATCAAAGATAAATTACGTATGGACTCCTTTGTCAGTTTGATATGTATGAAATTATTTTGCTTTGATAAATAAATAATTTTGCTGTTAAAAGTTTTCATAAAGGGATGCCAGAGCCGCACCCGAATGCTGCTGGAGTTTCCCCTTATAAATTGACATTAATATGCCTAGCCATGATGGCAAGCTTCTTATGTAGCCTAGCCTTAAAATATAAAGGGTATATATTTTAAACTCCATTATTTATTATATATTTTTATTAAAAATGTGTGTGTTCGTTTTAAAATGGACAACAGTTGGCCTTACCGTTTTGCGTTGTAAATATAAGTAGATCTTGGTCATCTCCACGGAGAGGAGCACTGCAATTACTTCCAATACAGCAGTGATCTTTTTAGCCAACACAGCAGTGGAATGTCAACATAGATGTAATTCATCAACTTTGTATATTATTGTTTTCGATCAGAAGTTGATATTGTTTTCTGGCATCATTTAAAGCCGCAGTTATCTCTTGAAAAGTATCACGCAAGCCATCATAATCTAGAACTCCTATGCAGCTAATTGATGCCTTCTTATACAAAATATATGCTAGTTGTCGTCGTTGGAAAATAAATACAATGGGAACTTTTTGATCTTGACATATACTCTTGATTGCAGAAATGGTTTCATCTAGACCAGCTAAGTATAAAGATTTTCTATTTATTTTGTACATAAACAATCAAGTGGGCACTAACATACCTTCGCCTTCACAACGTTCACAATCCGTTGCGATAATCACCAGCTTTACTTTATTTACGGAAAGAAAATTATGTACTTCTCTGAAGCCCACAACAAAACGTCGATGTGCTTTTGCTTTTATTTGATTCTGTGCATAGGCTCTTCTCTGAAAACGATTCAACTCCCGTAACAAATGCTCCGTGTATTTTTCCAAAACCGGAGTGGTACAATTTTCACAATACCTGAATAATTATGGTTTCATAAAGTTTTTACTCGAAATTATATTTGATATTAACCTACTCTCGAAAACGGTTTGAATGTATACGGTTCTTAATTCCACTCACTTCTGATTGTTTATTGCATCCTGAAGCTATAGTGAGGGTTTGTAATTGATTAGAAATTTGTGTCTCAATTTCATTTTGTAATTCTTCCTTTACTATTTGTTGTTCTCTCTTTATTTGTCGATATCGCAAAATGGATTTCTTTAGACGGTTTATTTTCTTTTTGTGACCGTTTTCCCGCTGCTTTCCTCTTTTTTTAAAGGCCGGTCTAATTCGCACGTCCACAATCCGTTTGGAGTTTTTGGGTTTGCCTTTGCAGATCTTAACATTTGACTTAGGTTTCACAAACTCCAACAAACTGAAACCACTGTTACTGGTCAATCGTTTGTATTTCGCATTACGGATTTTAGCAACTCTAGTACTCGGAGAACTGTTGCTAGATTGATGTATACTCTCAAATGTTTCATGGTCAATAAGATTAAATTTTCCCGACATAAGTTGTGGTCGATTGAAAACCTGGAAGGCGAGGACTTATGAAAACAGGACGATCAAACAAACAATACTTACCTTAGAGGATTTTTTTTGTTTTTGTTTCTTCTTTCTATGCTACTAAGAAGCACAAAGCAAATACAAATATTTGTTTAGAAATAATGCAAAAGCAAATTAGAAACAACATATGATTTATTTCGGAGATGCATATAGCCATGTTTAGACTGGCCATAATATGTTGATTTGACTTGAAAATTGAGAAACCATGGTAGAATAATACAGGTAACAGCAAGTGTTGTCGTATAACAATCGTAACAACAACCACATACAAATTTGTTTTTGTACGTAATACAAGTGTCAGAGTTATATGTCCAAATATGTAAACAAAGTTATTAATTTTCTAAAAATTATTTTAATTTCATATATACTTTTTAGGAATTTAGATTATTAAATTTAAAATGCAGAAGAATTTTTCCTCAATTATCTGGTTTGAATGCTTTATTATCTTACCTTTCCAAAATGCTACAATTTGTGCTTATACTTTTTTCGGGTCCAGAGATATGGGTCTTTACATCCGCATAACCCGATTCTCTAACCAGTTCATTAAAATTATGTTTCCAATAAAAAAGGGTTTATTTCGCGTAGCAGTCGTTAGAGTTACAATTTGGCATAGATTTCGTTTTCCCCCATAATGGATCCTTTTTTGATTTTTTGGGGTTTTATAAAAAAGTCAAAAAAGGGTCCAAAAAAATTATAATTACTATAATGTGACCACTTGTTGGATAGATATTTTCATAAGCTTTTCAACGATATTGTCTATATCGGGTAATAGGATCCGGGTCCAGTCAGGGTCTTGAACCTGGACTTTTGGGTCAAAAATCTGTGGTCCCGGGTCCGTCTCCCAAGAAAAAAATAGTTTCACGGGATCAGGGAAAACCACTGGAAAAAAATTTGGAAAAATTTAAGAGTTTTTACTAAACTAGAGTTAAAGGCATGTTTACGTTAGAGCTTTTTTCCGGGTTAGCCTTCGTTATGACGATTTATTTGAGGTATATACAATGGAATTGACAATTTAAACCGACTGGGGTTTCCAAATCCTTTACAACAGACCAAAGGTAACAGAGTTTTAAAAAGGTCCCAAATTGCAACTTTAGTCATTTAACTGTAACCCTGATGATAGGTACATTGCAAATGAATTTTGTAATTACCCGAATAAAATACCAAAATAATGATTACCCGGTATTTAATCATTGTGTTGAAATACCCGGTAAAGACATCTCTAGTCATACTATCTAAAGCTAAAGTACCCTCTCTTTGCTTATTTATATTTTAAGATTTTAGGAAAAGGTGACACAATGGCCAAAAGACAAAAACCAAAAATAGTAGAAACCATTCTCCAGTACGATGAGAAATTAACAAAGAAATTTGTGGGCTTTTTACTTAGTCAAACGACCCTCAAATCTTTGAAAACACACTGCAAAGCATTAGAGATCTCCTGCAATGGAATTGTCTGGCTGGCATCTTGGATTGGGCTTATTTGGCTTTTGAGCGATAAGGACCTCTATGAATCTCAATTGAATATGCTGGTGGGACTGATTTTCGATATTATAGTTATTGCCGTAATGAAAGCGGCGTTTAGACGCAGAAGACCAACGGCTTGTAATGATATGATGCAACTTGGACCTGATAAATTTAGCTTCCCGTCTGGCCATGCATCCAGAGCTGTTTTTGTTGCCACGTTCTTTATACTGTTAAGTCCCGTTTCAGCGATTTGGTGGATGCCGCTCTTGGCTTGGTCCAGTGCTGTGTGTATGTCGCGTATCATTATCCAACGTCACTATATCCTTGACGTTGTAGCCGGCATGTTGGTTGGCTTATTAGAGGCCGGTGTTATGTGCATTTTGTGGATTGGGAAGGACACTGCTCAAAGTATAATTGCCTCAATGTCAAGTGATAATTTGCCTGGAGGAGAAGATGAATAACGAAACGCGTAGACTTCTTTTTTATTCGTCATCTAAAATATAACATTTTTGACTGTAAATATGTACCTATACATTTGTTTTTTTTTTTATATGTATGTATTTACGTATAATTAAAAAAATAAGACGAGAAAATAAAATAGCTACATTTTTTATATTGTGGTTAGCCCCGTCATTTCATGGTTAAATATAGATTTTTAACATCTTAAAGCACGATAGTAAATGGTTCTTTCCCGGTCTCGAATAGTTTCTTGATTAAGTCAATTTTCTTCACAGTAGTATCCAAGAAGTTCCTTAAGTCTTTGCAATCTGAAAAAAGAAACGATCTGAAACAGTAATTACCTACTTTACAATTTAGCGTAATAAGTTTAATATAAAACTGGCAATCAATCCAATAATACAGTGGCATACCAAGGCTTCTTATCTCGCTGATACTAAATTGTAGAAAACTTCTGAGCATTCTCACGAAATTTACCTACACAGTGTTTCTCCATTGTTGTCTGAACTTTTGAGTAACAATGTTTTACAAATATTAAAAAAATATCGAGTAGTATTGAGCTCACAATTTTCCCCTTCCCCTTTGCAGTCTTTTGTCGATTTGCGCCAAAATCGTTTGAAACTCACCTATATAGTGTTTGTTCGGTTCGATATAGTAGTTAATTTGTTAAAAAATCGAACTTCTGCTGATTTACATTAGGCAATTATAATTGCGGCAAATAATTGACAAAATAACTTGGTATGAATTAATGTTCATATTACTTACCAAATAATATGCCGCATATGAGTATGGATTTAATTCTTGCTGGAAATTTATCGTTGTTAATCAAAGTAGAAAGGAAGGGAGGTTCAACGAGTTCTTTGAGGATATCACAGTTTACTGTTAACTCCAATTGCGGATTTTCAGACAGTAAATCGAGCCAAGTGTTAAATGAAAATTTAAACAAGTTCTTGGTAATATTCAATTTTTTCAGATGCGTTGATAAACATGTTGATGAAATTGGTTCCTCCGGGTAACCTTCCAGTGATAGAGTTTTTAATCCAGAATGCTGTAAAAGTTTTGAAAAATCATTGAGCATTCCACATTTGGTGAGTGTTAAGTCGTGTAGTTTTGAAAGGCACAGCAAGTCTTGAATATTTGCAGCATTTTCAGTAATAGTAAGAATTTTCAAATTTGGCATATACTGATGAAGATTTTTGATATTTTTATAGCAATTGGGCCACTGCAATATTTTTAAATTGGGAAAACTTTTTTCGAATGCATTAACAAATTGTTCAGCATTTAAATCCAATTCCAATTGCTGCATTGAATTCGAATGTATTGTTTGGCTGAAATTTCCCGAATATTTCGTCCTTAACGTGGTAAATTGTCTAAGGTTCATTTCATTAAGAATTTTCTCGAGGTGAGTGGCAGATAGACCTTCGCAACACTTGAGGCTCAGTTGACGAAGATTTGCTAGTATTACAAAATCACTTATACGGATGTCTGCCAAGGATAAACTGCAAAGTTGTGTACAATGTGTGGAGATCAAATCGAAAAACTGCGCGTTAATAATAACTGTAGATGAAAGAGGGTAACCGCCAATGCTAAGTTCTGCTAAACTTTGGAATGACTTTAAAAACGTTTTGGTAAATTTGCAAAACTCTTCATTTTGAACAAAAAACCGTACACTCAGCTTTTTTAATGGGTCCATTGCGCATGGATGTGATTTCTCGTTTTCTTCCTCCTCATTCTCCTTAAGGTATTTGGCACTTGCAATGTTATCCTTTCGAAAATCACTGCATAAATATCCATCGACATCTGAGTAAATGGCCATATTCAAATATAATTCTTCAGTGGGTAAATTTCGTACAATATCTCGTAGATGCCGATAATTATATAAATGCATGTCTGAATTGTAAAGGGTGGAACTTATTACCCTAAACGACTTTAGATTTCTAATTTGAGCTATAGTTTTAACATTAATGTCGTGGCCAATAATCAGGGTTTGTAGTTTAGCATTTACACAATTTTCCAGCGACAGCACCTCTAAGTTGGGACAATTTTCGGATACGATTTTTATATCGTAATTCGATACGATAACACCAATCAAACTGAGAGATGTTAATGTCTTTAAATTTTGCAAATCATTGTGGCATCCCAAATATTCCATATCTTGATATGAACCACATCCACATTGTAACTCAAAATGTTTGATATTGCCTGTATTTAGAGCTAGAAACTCTTTCAAATAATTTGTTTTCAATAAATGGCTTCTTTTGGTCACGTGTTCGCTGGATACGGCCGTTATAAGACTTATGCGGGACTCCTTTAGGATTTTCACGTGACAATATATTTGCTTCCAAACAAAATGCAAAACTATATTTTTAAAATTTTCACAGGCACGTGACAAATTCAAGTGGTCGTCCAATTCCAGGTATGATAAGATATGCTTGGCTATGTCCAAATTTTCCATCAAACATTCCAAATTCAACCACTGCATTTTACACATTCCATTATTTTTGTTTTCAATTGTTAACATTTCGCCAGAAAACTGATTGCTGTATTGGCACCTATGGGAATCAATGAAAGCCAAGGAATTAGCAACAACAAAAACAGTAACAAGTGAATCATGTTTGAGATCAGGTTAATACAATCAAGGTCAATTGTACTAAACGCTACACAGTGGGCATAAATTATTTCGATCATTTGCATGAAAAACCAAAAATAAATGTATTTAAAACTAAAATCATTTTATGGGTTTCTCTTTCAAATTATTGGTTCCAGAATCAACAGGTTGGTCAAAGATCGCAAGTGGAAAATGTTACTAAATTGTTGTGACATTGTATCGCATATTAGAAATTCAGTCCAATTTCACATTTTATGAAGATTAACTCCCAAGGTTAATTGAATCCAGTGGGTTCATTTAGTGTGTTTGGATAAGCCCTTAGGAGTATATAAAGGTTAACTAACGTATACGTACACAACCAAAAGATAATACAAACAAGTTAAATAGTATCAGTCGGTTTTCCCGACAGATGTATGCCAATCCCACGGCAGCGGGTTCTACGATACCGGATTGACCCGAAACAACAAGATTCCAGTTTCGGCCAGCGGCTGCCAACCCAGTATGTACATGTTTGTGTTTGTTTATTTTTCTGCATTGGGAGCAGCATATCCCGGAATGCTTGCTCCGGATTTTATTGGTCCGTGCCGGGATTGAGGAAAACCCCGGACCTTGGTTCTGCTCGGTTTGTCAGAACGTCATCCACCACAGATCTGTCTCGGTGCGATGTAATGGATGCAGAGAGTGGGTGCACTTCAAGAACTGTTCCGGATTAAGGCGTTTGCGAGACTACAGCGAAAGGGATTATGTTGCGACTTGCTGCAGTAACGTAGTCCCCAGCGAGTCCTCTTCTTCGTCGTCCTCGTCAGAGACGTCGTCGGAGTATGGCACTCCACCGCAGTCTCCAGAACAGCAACCAACACCGCAGCACCTAACGCCACATGTTGCTGTTCCAACTCCGGATTGTGCATCATTCTTGCAATTCAATTGCAACGGACTTCGAGGCAAAATAGATGAGATAGTGGAATTTATGAGTCGGAGGAATATTAAGATCGCAGCGGTGCAGGAAACCAAGCTGAATGAAAATTGCAGCCTACAACGTTGTTATGGTTACAACGTACTAAGGAAGGATCGCACCAGAAGTGGAGGTGGGGGATTAGCGTTCCTGTTACACCATTCTGTTCAGTACAGACCTATCTCGCTTGAGCTAGTCTCTAGTGACCCATACATGGAATGTATGGGGGTAGCAGTCAAGTGTGGAACTGCCGAGGTAGAGGTGCTTAATGTGTATATCCCGCCGATTAATAGCTGTGAACCACGTTATTTGCCTGATATTAGCCCATTATTGGTAGGCAATAACCGCCTGGTACTAGGGGATTTTAATGCCCACCATGAGTTGTGGCATTCCGTCCTAGGTAATGACCAGAGGGGATCAGCGCTGGCAGAGCAGATTGACTGCTCCACATTCTGCACGGTTAACGAGGATGCCCCCACCCGAATAAGAGGAGAGTGTCACAGTTCGCCAGACTTAACCATAGTGTCACCCGGTCTGATAAATGACGTGACTTGGCAACCCGTCATTTCTCTTGGCTCAGACCATCTCCCGATAATCGTCTCCATAAGCAGGTCGCCCGATTTCATAACCTCTGAACGCCGCACTTTCCTTAACCATGGGAAAGCTCACTGGCCAGAGTTCAGAGAATTCACCAACCGCCGCTTCAGAGAACTGCCCAACCCTTCTGATGTTCGGGTAGCAGAAAGGATTTTCCGAAACATCATCAGAGCTGCAGCCGCTCGCTATATACCTGCTGGTCGAATACCCGAGATAAGACCAAATTTCCCAGCAGAGGCAGCGGGATTAGCAAACGAGCGTGATGATCTCCGTCGTACCAACCCTACTGATCCTAGAATCAGTGATTTGACAGTGGAAGTCAACCGGTTGGTACAGGAGCATAAGAGGAAAAAGTGGCTAGACCATCTGAAGTGCTGCAACATTGGAACCGATATGAGTAAGCTGTGGGTAACGGTTAAGTCGCTCTCGAACCCTGGAAAAAAGGATGATAGGACCTCAGTCACTTTTAACGACGTAACGGTGACTGATCCGAAGAGGTGCGCGGAATATTTTAACCGACAATTTGTCGAGCACCCCGAGAGTGATAGGGCGAAGCGAAGAGTACTACGTCGTATCAGATCTCTTCCCGCCGAGGAGGAACCACCACAGTTTACGATGGGTGATGTTGCAAATGTCATCCGTAACGCTAAGTCATCCAAAGCGTTGGGCCCGGACGGAATCTCAATGGTAATGTTGAAGCAGCTGGATACGCCGGGAGTCGAGTACTTAACGAAAGTTCTCAATTTGTCGCTAGCCACCCACATAGTGCCCGAAACCTGGAAAATGGGCCGGGTGGTCCCGCTACTGAAGCCAGGCAAGGATGCCAGTAAAGGCGAATCGTACAGGCCGATTTCGCTCTTGTCGCCAGTAGCAAAGACTCTTGAGGCTTTACTCCTCCCCAGCATTAGAGGAAGCTATGCAGTTGCCAACCACCAGCACGGATTCCGTCCACAACATAGTACCACAACAGCATTACACGCCATTTCCACACATATTAGTAGAGGACTAAACCAGAACAGGCCGTGTGACAGAACAGTGTTGGTAGCCCTTGACCTATCAAAGGCATTTGATACGGTCAATCATGCCACACTGTTTGAGGACGTACAGAGAACTACCCTCCGGCCAAGTTTGAAACGTTGGATAATCAACTATATGTGTGGACGCCAGTCGTACGTGGAATTCCGGAACAAGAAGTCCAAAGCCCGTAGAGTGAAACAGGGAGTTCCTCAAGGTGGGGTGATATCTCCGGAACTGTTTAACCTGTACCTTTCCGGAATTCCTCGCCCTCCAGACGGCATTGAGATCGTAACGTATGCGGATGATTGTACGATCATGGCGTCGGGTCCAGTGGTCGATGACATATGCGAAAGGTTGAACCCCTATCTCGCGGAGCTTGCCGCATACTTCCACGCGAGGAATATGAAAATATCCGCCACGAAATCAACGGCCACACTCTTTACCACACGGTCTGCGGAGATGAGAACACAGCTGAATGTTCAGGTCGAGGGGAATTTAATACCGACCACGAACTACCCCAAGATTCTTGGGGTAACGTTCGACAGCATGTTCAAGTCGTCCGCGCAACCACAGCTATCTGCGACAAGATGAAAAGTAGGAACAAGGTCCTCAAGGCGCTAGCCGGCAGCTCTTGGGTGCGGACAAAGAAACCTTGTTGACCTCTTATAACGCGATAGGTCGGTCTGTGGTCAACTATGCGGCTCCAGTGTGGTCTGCGAATACTAGTGCTACGCAGTGGAAGAATATCCAGACCTGCCAGAACGCTGCCCTGAGAACTGCGACAGGGTGCCTCCTCATGACACCAGTGGACCATCTACATGAGGAGGCGAAAGTCCTTCCCTTACGTCAGCATAATCATATGCTTTCGTTGCAGTACCTGCTTGGGTGTTACCGTGAGAGCCATCCCAACCATCATATGGTGGATAACTCTCCCCCACCCAGGCGTGTCAGGAAGGACATACATGATCTAGAGAGGGAGGTCCAGCGCTACAAGAGAGAGCCTCTAGATCAAGAAGCCTATCAGGCAGGTCTGAGTGGCATTCACACCGATGCAGTCGCGGATGCTATTAGCAGTTATAAAGTGAATGCCGTCCTCGGAGTCCACCCCCCATCCATTGCAGCCGAAGAACGTCAGCTGCCTAGACAAACCAGGGTAGTTTTGGCGCAATTACGTTCAGGATGGTGTAGTCGCCTCAATTCGTATTGGGCACGAATTGATGAAGATGTGCGTGACGCCTGCCCGGCGTGTGATACAGGCCCGCACAATACGCTACACCTTTTTAATTGCTCAGCCAAACCTACCCAACTCACTCCAGAGGATCTCTGGCTACAGCCCGTTAAAGTAGCCGAATTTCTAAACCTGGAGCTGGAACCAGATTAGCAGAACACAAACACACACATATACTACTGCTACAACAACAACAACAACAACAGATGTATGCACCCAGCCACGAGTTATGATTATTCTAACTTTTGTCCCTTTATGGGGGAGGTTCCGAAGCAGTAGGCCTAAGTCAAAGTGCCATATTTGGACTATATCATCTACTTCCTATACGTTATATGATTTATGTGCAAATTTTTGGAAAGTGGGGAAATATGCGTGAGGTAGATATAGCGGATCGAAATATTCCACTTAATCTAATACAAATTAAAAAAATTGGTACGTGCAAAATTTAAATGAAATCGAACATGTATGTCCAATTTAAAACGAAATTATAAATTCTGATTAATATTATATCAGATTTCTGGCTTATGGACATATTTAGATATTTAGAAGTTGTATAGAAACGTCGACTTGTTTCGCAATTACGACGGATATATGTATTAGAAATTGTGATCCTTTTGCCGTTGAGGTACCAAAAGGGTTGGCAGATATCTATCATTTTCACAACAGATTCTGCGTTAGCAAAAATGTTTGGATGCGTGAAATTTGACGAGAGTTGGATGCTTATTTCGATTTTTATGAGCGTTTTGTTGTTCATAATTTTGAACTCTTTGTGGAGGAAGTACCAGAAAGAGTGCACCGATATATCCCATTTTCACAACAGATCTTGTGTTAGTAAAAATAATGATGAGAATCGGATTTTTATTTCGGATATTACGATTTTTTTGGTTATTCAAAATTTAGACCCTTTGTGGGACAGGTACCAGAAGAAATGATTCAATTTCTATCATCTTTATAACAAATCTTGTGTGGATAAAAATATTTAGATTTACCAAGTATGACTGGAATCGGATGTTAATTTCGCGTTTTAGGATATTCAAAATTTCGACTCATTGTGGGGTCAATGGCTGGCTGGTGCGCACGATAACTCTCGAAGGGATTATCCGTTTTGGTTCAAACTTGGTACATCGTAATATCTTTGTCAAGCTTAGATCGAGTTCGCTGATGGGCAATATCGGTCCACTCCTTCTCTTATAAAATGTGATGTGTGATTACAACTCTTATAAAATGTGAAGTAAAATTTTCTTCTTCAAATTTCACATATACCAATAATTTTATTAACCCAAGGTCTGGTGTGAAGATGGGATATATCGGTCCTCCGTTTCTGGTACCTCCCCCACCAAGGCTCAAAATTTTTAATAACAATAAAGCTCATAAAACGGGAAATTAACATTTGATTCTATTTAGACTTGGCAGATCTCAATATTTCTGTCAACACAACATCTGTTATAAAGATGGTAGAGATCGGACCATTTCTTCTGATACCTCCCCCACATAGAGTTCAAGATTTTGAGAAAACAAACGCTCAAAGTAAGCCAAATAAGCATTCAACTCTCTTCAGATTTCACACATACAAACATTTATGCTAACACAAGATCTGTTGTGAAGATGATATATAGCTGCGAACCGTTTCTGGTACCTCACTCACAAAGGGTCACAATTTTCAATACTTTTATCTGTCATCACTTACGAAACAAGTCAGTAATTCTTTTTAAATTTGCTATATCTAAATATTTCTCTCGATCAGAAACTTGGGATGAATATGGATTTTATGATGAAGTTACCAGTCATAGACCAAACCTGGCACGTCGCAATATTTATATCGTATTTATTTAGGTCCGATATGTAATGGACAATATTGCCCCCTTTCTTCAAACCCCACTCCATAGAGGATCATGCGTTTGAATAATCCTAACAGAAGTCAAAATATATTTAAATAATCGAACATTGGCTGAGGGTATATGTCTGTCGGCAGAACCGACTGATACTTTTTAAATTGTTTTTAAATCCATTACATACACGGAAATCAGGGATGGAAGCCTGTTTTTATTCAGTGAAATTTGACAAGGTAAATTCAGAAAATGATGAGATGGACAGTCTTGTGTGAAATAACTTTAACTTCTTAAATTTACCATGGTTCCAATGCGAAATGCGGAAACTTTTGCGACTTTGGAGTGTATAGCAGTACTAATGCTGTACCCAGTGATGCTTTCCCTTAGTATGTAGATTCCGCAACGGTTTCAATATAAATTCGATCGGATTAAATTTTATATGTAAACGTGCTATTATTTAAACAAATATATTTTATTTTAAAGATCAATTATCATTACACATTTTCGAATTATCTTTGTTATATTCAATTTTCGCACATAGTCCAAACATTATCAGAGATTGCTTATTTAAAATATTAAAGTTAATTTGAAAGTTAATGCTTTGTAACACTTCTTAATTGAGAGCTGAACTGCTAGCCGTTATTATTGTACTTGCCGTCGATGTCATTAAGGTTGTCAATGCTGTGGAGTAGTCATTAACGTCTTCTGATGAATTATCGGCTCCATTTGATATTTGAGATGGATCGTTGGTACCGTGACTGCTAGCAGCATCCTTTGCCTGCTGAGCAGCCAAATTGAATTGTATTAATATTATCAAATAGCTGGTAATACCGCCGGCAACCTGTAAAGAAATGTACAACACACGTGGCTTAGTTGTAAATCATAGCTGATAATCAAGGTGTTCTACAGCACCAGGCTAATTACTCTTAGTTTATGTTGTAAAAATATTAAATAATTTGTTATTATACCCTCCACCATAGTATGGATGGTATATTAAGTTTGTCATTCCGTTTGCACCACTTCGAAATATACATTTTAGACCCCACAAAGTACAGGGTGAGATAAAAAACTACAACAAAGTCAAACGCCATAATTTTTAAATTTTTTAATTATATTGAATGAAAGGAAAACATGTCGGAAATAGCATCAAGTTTTAGAATAAGTTTAGATTTGTTCGAACTGGTCACGAATTATGGCCTTCAAAAGGCCAATGAAACCATTACACGCTGCCCGAATGTTGCTCTGCGGTATTTTGGCCCATTCCCGGCGTAGCGCTTGCTTGAAGTGATCAACACTTTAGTATTTTTTAGTGCCAACCTTGCTGTCCAAAATACTCCAGACACAATAGTCCAACGGATTGGTATCCTGGTGATTTTGGTGGCCATTGTGCGCTGTATATAAAGCGAAGAACCTGATTTTGTAATAATTATTGGATGGCGCGTGCTGATTGCGATGGTGCTGTGTCCTGTTGGAATGTACAAGGTCTGCGGCCAAAATTTTTGCGTGCCCAAGCCTTTAATACGCACTCCAAAATATTTTCGCGATAATATTCGGCATTTATTCTGATACCACGGTCGATTAATATGAGCAGAGAGCAACCATCGGCTGTTATGGGGGCCCATGGCCGGCGCTTGATTTCTGGTGACCAACCGAAGCTGCACATTTTCATCTGAACTCTTTGGCAAGTAAACACGATCATTTTGTTTTTATTTACAAACTGCTGGACTACGAATGTGTTCTCATTCAAATCAAATCAAATCAAATTCGGCAGTTCATAACTTTCGGCCAAGCGAAGCAACTATATAGCTCTTTTGAGTCTATTTTCTTCCGGCTGCGGTGTAAGTTCATGCACTTTTTAAAATTTCAATGGCTTTACCCCGAGCTAATTTTTCAATATTTGCCGAATGGAATATTGCAATATGTTCAGCTCACGAGCCATTTTTCTACCACTGCGAAGCGGGTTTCGATCAAGTCGCATCTTTACCTTTCAAACTATTTCTGCTGACGTTGCCGTTTTCTTCCGATCATTTTGTTTGTTTACAAACTGCAGAGTTGGCAATAATTTGTTGGGAGTAAAAACGGACGAGGATGTATATGAGAGCTGTGTCCAAATTTGAACCGATTACCACTAATTATGTCCTTGGACCAAACAAATTAACTATGCAGTCATTTCTAAGCCACTCGTCCTACAGCTTTATTCCAGTGACAGCTCATTACATTGTTTACAAGAGTACAAAAGCATTTTGGTGAGAATTTTCCGGAAAAAAAGTTATTCGTGATGGAATTCAAGCGAGATAGTGTGATCATCACAAATGGCTATCGTTAGAGCACTCCAGCATTTAAATGTGAATAAATATTTTGTGTCTCGTATCAATCGATCGTTACCGTGATACTGGTAGCGTTGCCCGTCGTCAAGGAAGTGGACGAAAGAAAACAGCAACATCAACATAAATGGTTCGAAAAAATTGAAAAATGAGCAAATGAGTAGCGGAACAACATTTGTAGGTCCATTTTTTGCCACATTTTTTGATTTTTGTCACATTTTCCGAAATCTTTTCAAAATTGACATTTAAGAGTCACAGTAGAATATGTTGTAGCAAATGTTGCCTATATAGGTTCCCGTTTTGGTATGGCCCCCATATAACAGTTTCACCCACATTATGTTTTTTTTAAAAAGTTTAACTGCATTATTCAAAACGCTCTTACTCGTATTTGTAGTTTAAAGTGGAACACGCTTGAATTCAGATACTTTTATATAAAAATGTTTTCTTTACCCAATGGTGGAGGGTATTAGAAGTTCGGACTTAATGCATTTTTTACTTATTTTTCCTTAAACCATTATCTCAATATACATAGCTTCTATAATTTAATAAAACTTTGTGAACCTTAAATATTATGAGTTTTGCCTTGTTAAGGCGAAGATCATATGTTTTATGATTTAAGTGTTTGTTTTCTCTTTCGATACGAGCTTAATGATCTGAAATTTGGAGTGAAAAGGAAAGCCAGATAGACACTATCACACACTCACCACTATGCGACGCGTTTCGCCGTTGGTTAAGCGGCTCATCAGGCATATTTGATGTGGATGATGGCTTACAAGGGCCGTTCTCTGGAAAGTAATATATATTTCGAACTTATTGCAAATTAGCATATGCGAATTATACACTAGAAACTCTCCAGGTTCGACTCAAGTTCTATTGGCAGATCTTTTTCACAGCAACGTTTTGTTTTTGTAGTGATGGATTTTTTGTCCACAACAACTACATTGCTTCCAATGCATACACTTGTTTTAGTGCTGCTTTAGGAAGACGGGTTAATGGCTCTGAACGTAGAGACGGCAACTTCTAGTTGGCTGCACACAGAGGTCCGCGGTTCAAATCCCACAGCCAGGCTCGGCTGAATTTTTGAGTTTTGCCTTGTTAAGGCGAAGATCATATGTTTTATGATTTAAGTGTTTGTTTTCTCTTTCGAGACGAGCTTAATGATCTGAAATTTGCACCAACGGCGAAACCCGTCGCATAGTGGTGAGTGTGTGATAGTGTCTATCTGGCTTTCCTTTTCACTGCAAATTTCAGATCATTAAGCTCGTCTCGAAAGAGAAAACAAACACTTAAATCTTAAATATTATATATTATAAGCGACTGTCCGGAGAGAATTTGCTAACTTTCAGTAAAGAACACAATTTTTGTCTCCAATTGACCTTTTTTGTAGAGCTTCAGTAGCAATTTCCAACAAGTGTTAGAATATGTTGGGGCAATTGAAAAATGCTAAACTTGGAGAAATGTGTCCGACTTTATATTAGGCCAGTTTAATTGTAGGGCGTACTGGTAATTTTCTACAAAAAACTATACAATAATTTAAATTTTTGCATAACTGCTTCCAGATCATTGTGACCGCTTAATACGACAAATTATTTGTTTTAATTTTGAATTTACAAACGTTACAGGTCTGTAAACTTTGTGATCCGATTAAAACGAATTTCATTGTTTGCTTCTTACCCCATATAAAGTCTCCATATCCAATGAGAAGAATCCACAGGCTGTAAAGTCTACCGAATGATTGAGAAGCTTTAACGACAAATGATTGATCTGAAATTAAATTGCGTAGCGAAAATGAGTAAATATGAAATGTATGTTAAATATGCGAAATCTTGAAATACACCGAAGTTGTTTACATATGCTTTGAGATAATGTAAAGACCCTAAATTTTTATACCCTCCACCGTACTATGGAGGGTATATTATCATTTCCATTCCGCTTGTAACTCCTCTAAATACTCAGATCATCTATACAGGGTGAGATAAAAAAACTGCAACAAATTCAAACGCCATATTTTTTAATTTTTTAAAAAAATTTGTATTGAATGAAAGCAAAAAATGTCTGAATAGCATCAAATTTTAGAATTAATTTAGATTTGTTCGAATTGGTCACCTTTGGCACGAATTATGACCTTCAAACGGCCAATGAAACCGTCATCGTCGCCAAAATACCGCAGAACAACATTCGGGCAACGTGTGTTGTTCTGCGGTATTTTGGCCAATTACAGGCGAAACTCTTGCATGAGGTGATCGACACTTTGGTATTTTTTAGTGCCAACCTTGCTTTCCAAAATACTACAGACATAATAGTCCAACTGATTACTTTTCGGAGATTTTGATGGCCATTGTGGCCAATGAAGCCCGGAAATTCATTTTGTAACCATTCTTGCGATGGTGCTGAGTCCTGTTGGAATGTCTAAGGTCTGCGGCCAAAATGTTTGCGTGCCCAAGCCTTTAATACACCCTCCAGAATATTTTCGCGATAATATTCGGCATTTATTCTAATGCCACGATCGATTAATACGAGCGGAGAGCAACCGTCGGCTATTATGGCGGCCCACACCATCACCATGACCGGCGCTTGAGTTCTGGCGCCCAACCGATGGTACACATTTCAAGCTGACCTCTTTGGCAAGTAAACACGCTCATTTTGTTTGTTTACAAACTGCTGGACAACCAATGTTTTTTTTTTTTTTTTCATCGGAAAAAATCAAATTCGGCAGTTCACTTGCACTTTTTGGAATTCCAATGGCTTCTACCCCGAGCTCATTTATCAATATTTGCCGAATGGAATATTGCGATATGTTCAGCTCACGAGCCATTTTTCGGCCACTGCGACGTGGGTTTCGATCAAGTCGCTTCTTAACTTTTTCAACCATTTCTGCTGATGTTGCTGTTTTCTGCCGTTCACTTCCTTGACGTCGGGCTACGCTACCAGTATCACGGTAATGAGCGATGGTACGAGACACAATAGATTTATTCTCATTTTAATGCTGGAGTGCTCCAACGATAACCACTTGTGGTTTTCCAGCCAAATATAAGAAATCACCTCATCACGCTTGAATTCCATCACGAAAAATTCTCAACAAAATGCTTTTGTACGCTTGTAAACAATATAATGAGCTGTCACTGGAATAATTTAACAGCTGTCTGGACGAGTGAAATGACAGCAGTCTGAAGTTGGTTGCAGTTTTTTCATCTCACCCTGTATATATTATACCTATTTTGCTATATATCCGATTTCTTGGCTATCAGCATCACTTTAATGGTCAGAAGTAACCTTTTAAGGTATTTGTGATTTGGCTGGGATTTAAAATATTCGCAGTTTTCGTATTTTTTGACATACAAGTTAGGACTTATTTTACCCACTAAATACTGACCGATGATAGTCCAAATTGGTAGGCTTCTGCCTAGCCTGAAACTCTAACTCAATGCATCGATTGCTCTATAATTGTGGCCTCTAGAGAAACATCAAAATCAACATTTTTTCTGTTTTGGTCCATTTGCGATCATCTCCAAAAACAATAGGCTTCTATTCTGACCCCACCTCCATTTTCAATTTCGTGAGGATCGGGCCATAATTGCGTCCTGTAGCCGACTCAGCTCGGCGAGATAGGAAGATCCATATGTCGGGAATAAATATTTCGAGGTGTTACATAATTTTGACCCAATCGAACTTATAATACCCCCAACACATAGTGTTGTAGGGTATAAAAGCTAATTTTTCCCAGCTGGGAAATACATTTGAATGGAGAATGAATGAAAACTTTGGCTAAAATGTGTTTCCGAAGAAGTTTATTTTCCACATGGAAAAAGTTTTACTTGTTTCATAGGGGCAGCTGAATAACAGCTAAATATGTCGGCAGATAACTCACAATTTCATAAAGATTGTTGTCATCGGCAACCACTCCGCACTTGTGTAAGCATATTCCAGTGTGTTTCGATTCCAATGAGGTTCTCCAACTCAAGTAGATTATGTAGACACATTTGCCAGCGGTGTAAAGTAGAAATGTTGCGGTAATCAAAGCATTTTTAGCCGAAAGGAACAAAGACGGAATGGGCTGAAAATAAAATTATAATTTCAATAGGTCTTAACAGATCCGATGCACAAACACCACCCCATTACTTACCTGATCCTGAGTAGCACAGTAGAGGAAATAAAGTTGAGCGGTGAAAATTAAAAATCCATAAGCCATCAACACCAAAATGGAATAACTCCACAGTTCATTTAATTTTTTACCAATTTCGCAGATCTCATCGTGCAGCTGACAGAAATCGTTTAGCTTGTCCTCAACTCGGCTCACATTAGACAGTTCACTCTCGTAGTGAATGTTTATGGCCGATTTGGTGGGTTGTTTCTTAATCGATTGAAATTGATTAAAGTTATTCATCGAATTGGCCACCGTAATTACCGGTTTTACACGATTCTTGCCAAGTTTTCCCGCAAGACCACTACCCCTCAATTCGTTTTGTAAATAGTTCAGTTTCAAACTTTCCTCATGGCCAAGGTCGAACAATATGTCATTAATTACGTTTTTGTTCTTAACCATATTGTTGCTGCCGCTTCTTTTTCGGTGTGCCATCATTGCCTTATATCTCTCATGGACTTGCACCATATCCTCCAAAGCTCGATTTATAACGGCGAAGCGCTGTTGCAGCGCATACAGTGTGGTGGAGAACCATATTTTATCCAACGAATTGTAAAGGGTTGGCAAACAGGAAAATATCCACAACAGAGAATTCCATTTGGTGTGATCCAGCAGAACAATGTAGGCCGCAATCATGATTGTTATTTCGCACACAAACGTCAATGCGATCATGATGCGTATGCGTAGTTCCAGAACAGAATTATTGACCACACAGCCAATTCTATAGAGACGTTCGTCCACTTTGCGTATGCGGTCGTAGATCTCACCCAAGTGTTTTTGGTTCCGTATTGCACTTAGTTGGTCAGTTATCATCATAATCAAGCCAATGTAGGTTAAAAAGATTCCAATGACAAATGTCAGAGTACCTGGAATATAATGAGAGTGCTTATTAACATGTCATTCGAATCAAGGTCAACTCTATAAAGATGATGATTTCCAAAGCAAAAAGAAGCTAGTTTCTTTTATTTAAAATGCAGGGTGGGATGAAAAAACTGCAACCAACTTCAGGCTGCTGTCATTTCAAAGCCACTCGTCCGACAGCTTTTAAAATTATTCCAGTGACAGCTCATTATATTGTTTACAAGCGTACAAAAGCATTTTGGTGAGAGTTTTCCAGAAAAAAAGTTATTCGTGATGGAATTCAAGCGTGATAGGGTGATTTCTTTATATTTGGCTGGAAAACCACAAGTGGCTATCATTAGAGCAATCCAACATTTAAATGTGACTAAATCTTTTGTGTCTCGTACCATCGCTCATTACCGTAATACTGGTTGCGTAGCCCGACGTCAAAGAAGTGGATGGAAGAAAACAGAAACATCAGCAGAAATGGTTCGAAAAGTAAAGAAGCGACTTGATGGAAACCCGCGTCGCAGTGGCCGAAAAATGGCTCGTGAGCTGAACGTATCGCAATATTCCATTCGGCATATATTGAAAAATGGGCTCGGGGTAAAGCCATTGCAATTTCAAAAAGTGCAAGAACTTTCACCGCAACATAAAGAAATTGGACTCAAAAGAGCTAAAGAGTTGCTTCGCTTGGCCGAAAGTGATGAACTGCTGAATATGGTTTTCGTCTATGAGAAAACTTTCGTTCTCCAGCAGTTTGTAAACAAACAAAATGATGGAGTTTACTAGCCAAAGAGTTTAGCTGAAAATGTGCACCTTTGGTGATGGTGTGGGCCGCCATAACAGACGATGGTCGCTCTCCTCTCGTATTAATTGACCGTGGCACCAATATAAATGTCGAATAATATTGCGAAAATATTCTGGAGGATCTATTTAAGCCTTGGGAACGCAAACATTTTGGCCGCAGCTCTTGGACATTCCAACAGGAGTTTGTTGCAGTTTGTATACCCTCCATCATAGTATGGAGGGTATATTAAGTTTGTCATTCCGTTTGTAACACCTCGAAATATACATACGTTTAGACCCCACAAAGTATATATATATATTCTTAATCAGATTAAAATTCTATGTCGATTTAGCAATGTCCATCCGCTTATTCGTCTGTCCGTCTGTGGAAATCTCTCTAGCTTCCGAACGAAATGAAGTCAGTTGATAAAAATGTACTCAAAATTGTATTATGTCTGCAGGACTTTTGGTATTGAAAATGGCCATGTAGGTTCACTTCTTCGTATAGCCCCCATATAACGGTACCCCCGATATTCGGTATTTTGAAGATTTTAGCGACATTATTTACCGAACCAAACCAAATGTTGTGTTCGATAACCTACTTCAGTTCATAAAAGTGCAAAGTCTTAAAAGCGTTAACAGAGGCCTACTAGGGAAAGGGCAAAGAAACACTCATTGCGACCCCAAGGAACACAGGTGGATAAACACCATGCAGCCCCACGGTTGACATCCAATTTGAGTGATATCTAATGGCGAAATCTGCAAGTGGCCAAAATAGTAGATTATGGATTTCCTGCGGAGAAATAACAACAACTGGTTATTTTTGATTTATTTCCTTTACACCAACTAACTTTTTATACCCTCCACCATACATAATATTCTCCATGTATATTAAGTTTGTCATTCTGTTTGTAACTCATCGAAATAATAATTATAGACTGAAATAAAAAACTGCAACAAACTCAAACGCCATAATTTTTACAAATTGTTTTAAATTCTATTAAATGAAAGCAAGTATGTCGAAAATAGCATCAAATTTTAGAATAAGTTTAGATTTGTTCGAATTGGTCACCTTTGGGACGAATTATGGCATTCAAACGGCCAATGAAACCATCACACCCTGCCCGAATGTTGCTCTGCGGTATTTTGGCCCATTCCCGGCGAAGTTCTTGCTTGAGGTGATCGATACTTTAGTATTTTTTAGTTCCGTACACTTCCTTGACGTCGGGCTACGCTACCAGTATCACTGTAACAAGCGATGATACGAGACACAAAAGATTTATTCACATTTAAATGCTGGAGTGGTCTAACGACTGCCACTTGTGGTTTTCCTGCCAATAACTAACGAATAACTTTTCTTCTAGAAAATTCTCTCTAAAATATTTTTGTACGCTTGTTAACAATATAATGAGCCGTCACTGGAATTTTTACAGCTGTCGGACGAGTGACTTAGAAATGACAGCAGTCTGAAGTTGGTTGCAGTTTTTTCATCTCACTCTGTATATTCTTGATCAGCGTAAAATTCTAAGACGAGTTAGCCCTGTCCGTCCGTCTGTTGTAATATCGCTAGATTCAAAACGAATTAAGATAGGAAGCTAAAAATTTGCACAGATCAGATCACAGAAAATTACTTATGCAGGTCCATGTCTTCGTATAGCTTCCATATAAAGTGGTATTTTTCGACGGCAAAACTTAACTGCTTTTTTAATGTTTAAATTCACCCATTGTAATATTTTCCAATTGCAAACATTCACATTTTTTATATCATTCACTTGTATTTTCTGTTACATGTTATATTTTAATATTTCAAATAAAATGATCTTTTCCAATATCCAATACATACTTTGCGATGCCTTCAGCGTGCTATCCTCTTCAGAAAACGAGAATATCAACAAGTTATATAACACAACAATCGCGAGCATTACGAAAATAACAAATAGAACACCAACATTGGATTTTTTCAAATCATGATATCTTTGAAATACTTTCCAATTTTGTGGATAAATTCCCATTACTTTACAGAGTAGAAACAACTCCGAGAAATGTAAGAGGATTGTTTGAACCGTTTGTTGTTGAGACATGTTTGTCCAAAAATCATCCGCGCACTAAACTGCGAACTAGAGAACGTAACAGAACATCTACCAGTTTGGTAAAATATTAGCAACGGTTTTGTATGCATGTGGCTTTATATTAATTTTAATAGAAATGTACCTATCTCTAGCAATTGCACTTTATTTAATTAAAATTGACAATAATGAGCAGGAACGGCCAGTAGCAAACCTGCCAGCCATCAATTAAAGTACAACAAGATTTTATCGGCAAACAAATGTAAGGATATTAATTACATTGACACTCATGATTCGATAATAATTTCTGATACTTGACCCTGATGTAATAATATTTCCACACACACACCCATGTGAGGAGGCATAATTTGGTGACAATTGTATTGAGGGTCATCAATTTTAGGCATAAAATGAATGAGGGTCATCCATTTGATCTTAAAGTTTGTTTCTGCCATGGCATAATTACAGAAGGTAGAATAAAGCTACCCCTTAAATACATTTTATTTTATTTTGTTGTCCTATTCTGTCAAAACATATACACAGTTTGTATGTGTGTATTCTTTTGAATAAAAAAGAAAATAATTTAAAATTATTTCGAATTTAAAGACAACAAATTGCATATTTTCCACGTTAACGGACAACAAACTGTATAATTTTGGGATAAAACAATACTGTCCCCCAATCTTGGATTCAGTTTTGTGGTGAAACCCTTATATTCCATTCATGTTTTGTGGATTATCCGCAATATAAAAATTTTGTGAAAAAAAATTAAATAAACGAAACAGATTGTTGCATTTTTAAAAAGTCTATTTGACATAATAAGACTTCAGTACAGAGTTGCATTTTCCTAGGTTCCTTGAAGTTGTAGCATAGACAAATTAGGTATAGACTAAAAAGTTGTCTCATCTGTTATCTTCGAAAAAAGTGCTTCAATAGATGTCGTTCATGCTGTAAGAGAGGTTCAGTAGACTCACTCAATTCTCTCAAAATACAAAATATTGAATATTTTTATGATTCTTTATTATTTATCAATTAAAAACGAAACAGTGACTTTGTTTACTTTAACATTATCCAAATATGTAGTGAAATATAAAAATATAGGAATTAAATATCAGAAAAATGAGTAAATTGTTTTCGAAGTCGAGTGACTTCACTAGCCCTGAGTGACTTGACTGGCCCAAGATCAACTATAGTGACATCTGCCGGAAGGGGTAAATTTTAAAACTTTTTAGTCTATACCTTAATTTGTCTATGGTTGTAGCTTCAAATATGCCAATAGCAAATGCAATAAGTTTTTATACCCTCAGCTAGTTATATAGCCATATGGCTGTGGACCTCCGATTAGCAATATCGGTCCACTCCCTCGGGTACCTTCCCGCACAAAATATTGAAATTCTCAAAAAATATATTTTCTGCACAGAGGGAGGACCGATAATCCGATTTGCTCCAACTTTGTAAATCCTGATATTTGTCTCAGTTTTCGCCCAGGTGCAAAAATGGATAATATCGCTGCACTCCATCAAGTGCTTCCCCCACAAAAGGTCGAAATTTTCAAAAATATTTATTTTTGTTGTTGCAAAATGGTCAGGCTTTATCCCTTTATTGTTGTTTTTATTAAAACAACGTTTGTTTATTAGTGGAGAACGATGGTAATGTTTACCAGGGGGTAAGGCAGGGAATACCTAGGATTCGGAAAGAGCCACCAATCGTCATCAGTTCCCTTGTTTTTTGTCTGGGATATTCTCCCCAGAAGTTATTTTAAAAATAACTTCTATGACAAAAAACATTTTTTACCCAAGTGACGAGATCGTAAGCTCAATAGAAGAGGAACCAAAGAATTAAATAAAACTAAAATTCTTTTGGAAAGTCTTCTAAATCTTACAACCGCACTTATAAGCCTAGGTATTCCCTGCCTTACCCCCTGGTAAACATTACCATCGTTCTCCACTAATAAACAGACGTTGTTTTAATAAAAACAACTATAAAGGGATAAAGCCTGACCAATTTGCAACAACAAAATACTACGGTATCTCGAACAAACAAGCCACATTGTTCTAATATATTTTTTTTTTTGCACAGAAAGAGGAACAATAAACCGATTTGGCTCCAACTTTACAAATCCTGATATTTGCGTCAGTGCTAACTCCCCCACAAAAGGTCGACATTTTGAATATTGATTGAGCTCCTTAAACGCGAAAGTAACATCCGCTTCCATTCAGTCTTTGCACATCTCAATATTTCTATTAACACAGGACCTGTAATAAAGAAGATGGACATCCGACGTTTCCTTCTGATATCTCTCCCACAAAGAACCAAGGTTTTGAATAACCAAAACGATTATAAAATACGAAATAAGCATCCGGTTCTCTTAAAATTTTACACATGCTATTATTTCTACTAACCCAAGATCTGCATACATCGGTCTACTCCTTCTGGTACCTCCCCCACAAAGAGTCAAAATTTTGAATACCAATGAAGCTCATAAAATGAGAAATTATCATCTGATTTCTATTACACTTAGCACACCTCAATATTCCCATCAACATAAGACCTGCTGTGAAGATGGTAAAGATCGGGCCATTTCTTCTGGTCCTCCCCCACATTGGGTTCAAGATTTTGAAAAATTCGGCAGTTCACCACTTTCGGCCGAGCGAAGCAACTCTTGAGCTCTTTTGAGTCTATTTTCTTTCTGTTGCGGTGTAAGTTCTTGCACTTGTTGAAATTTCAATGGCTTTACCCTGAGCTCATTTTTCAATATTCGCCGAATGGAATATTGCGATATGTTTACTTTTACTTTGATATGTTTTACTTTTCGAACCATTTCTGCTGATGTTGCTGTTTTCTACCGTCCACTTCCTTGACGTCGGGCTACGCTACCAGTATCACGGTAACGAGCGACGGTACGAGACACAAAAGATTTATTCACATTTAAATACTGGAGTGCTCTAACGATAGCCACTTGTGTTTTTCCATCTAAATATAAAGAAATCTCACTTTCACGCTTGAATTCCATCAAGAATAACGTTTTTTCTGGAAAATTCTTAACGAAATGCTTTTGTGCGCTTATAAACAATATAATGATCTGTCATTGGAATAATTTTAACACCTGTCGGACGAGTGGCTTAGAAATGACAGCAGTCTGAAGTTTGTTGCAGTTTTTTCATCTCACCCTGTAGGTCCCCCCTTATTGTGTAGCTCTCATATAACGATATTCAGTATTTTGACAGTTTAAGCCACATTTTCTAAGGTAATTGTCTAATAATGTGACAGAAAATGGGTCCATGTTTATCTGTAGCCCCTATATAACGGTACCTGCTAATATTCGGTATTCTGGCATTCCAGCCACGTTTCCCAATCAAATTGTTTAAAGTTATTTAGTAAGCAAGTCAAATTCGTAAATAAGCAATATCGGTCCACGTTTTCGTATAGCCTCCATATAGCGGTACCTATAAACATTCGGCATTTTGCAAATTTAACAGCCAATTTTAAAATTAAACTCATTTGAATTTTAAATCCCATTAACTTTATGCTAAGGAATTTCTTCAACTTTTGGCAAGGGGGTTTAAAAGTGCGGTCCGACCGAACTATACTACAATAATTTCGATAATTTACGCGTTTGTGTTTGGTAAACTAGCGGCTAAATAAAAGTATTGGCTTTTATTTCACTTCTTTTTTTTTGTATTTAAAAATTAAAGATTTTCGTCGGTAACGGCAAAGGTTTACTTTTGTTATGTTCTATTTACTTCTTAATTCTGCATTAACAATTATAATTGAAACAAGTTTTTATAATTGAAAGAAGTTTTAAACTTATTTTGTATGTTAATATAGATGTCTTATGTTTTTTATTGATGTTGTTAATAAATTACATGTTTAACGAAAATATTGACTATGTAATAAAAGTCCTCTCCAAAATGCAATGAAAAGTCTTAAATTTAGAATTAGAGGTGTGCCCAATAATAACAAATATGAGTTCCAACTACAGACAATGGATGTAGATTGATAACCATGACCCATCAGCCTTTCGTGTCGACCCAAGAAAAACCCCATGCTCCTGAGTTTTATTTAGCGACGTTTGCGTTCATTTTCACGTCTACGTTCCTCCTGAAATAAGAAAAGGAAAACGGATATGAAAATTTGAATATTTACACATATTATAATTTTTATACCCTACAACACTATGTGTTGGGGGTACTATAAGTTTGATTGGGCCAAAAATTATGTAACACCTCGAAATATTGATTTCCCACATAGGAAAGTATATATGGATCTTCCTATCTCGCCGAGTTGAGTCGATCTAGCTATGTATGTCCGTCCGTCTGTCCATGTTAATTTGTAATCACTCTACAGGTCGCAATTATGGCCCGATCGTCATGAAATTTAGAATGGAGGTGAGCTAGGGTCAGAATAGAACCCTATTTCTTTTGGAGATGTTCGCATATTATTTAGGGGTCGAAATGGACCAAAAACTGAAAAATGTCGGATTTTGCAGTAGCTATACAGGTCGCAATTATAGACCAATCGACGCGGATTAGCTAGAGTTTAGGGCGGGGAAGAAGCCTACCAATTTGGGTGGTCATCGGATAATAATTAGCGGGTAAAATAGACCATATCTTTTGTGTTGAAAAAATTCAAAATTTTTCATTAAACCGCGAATCTTTTAAATCCCGGCAAAATCACAAAGCCTTGACAAGGTTACTTCTGATCTTTACATTGATGTTAACATCCAACAAAACGGATATATAGCAAAATATGTGCGATATATATGTCTATCAAAGAAGATATGCTTGAAAGATCTCTTATATGTCGAGAACGGCTGAACTGATTTCGACAGTTCTCATTAATTCAGAATGGCCTCTTGGCAGGAAAGAAACAACGTCTAAAAAATCGCATAAAAATATATCTCTAAAGATGAAAATATTGATTTTGTAAAATTTTCTCATATTTTTTCAATTTTGTCACATTTTTGGCATATTTTCATTTTGAATTAAACATTTGGATATATATACTGATCGCATTTATGGCCCGATCGTAACGAAATTTTACATGGGAATCAGTTGAGGGTCAGAATAGAAGCCTACTCTTTTTGGAGATGATCGCCATATATTTAGGGGTTGAAATGGACCAAAAAAAACTGCAAAATTGTCAAATTGTCAGCAGATTGTAATTATTGCCCGATCCTCGCGCACATTTGAATGGGGGTTACCGGGCATTGCAAAAGCCAAGCAGTTTTGGATGGCCATCCAAAAATATTCAATGTATGAAATAGTTTGACAACTTTTGTAGACAAGATACGAAAATGACCATTCCAGTGACTTTTTGTAGAATTCACAAATACAGGAAAGACGCACTTCTGACTATTTCGTTAACGCTGATTTCGTTGCAGAATATAGTCAAATGTCTGTATCTCATGTAGATGCGTTTCAGTCAAAAACCAATAATAAATGTTAATCTTTTGCCACTTCTGAGAGATTATAGGTCTTTGGGAAATATTGGTTCCAGATCTTGGAAGACCATTTACGTGCAACATCTACCAATAAATTGGAAATGAGCAAATTCGTTTAAGTTGCTATTATTCGAAAATTAGAGAACGAAACCTGATGGTTTTCTTTTATTATTTGACACAATATCTTGTGGAATTCTGTCGAGTATCTCGCCTATATAAGCTGTATCGTTTATTACTTGTTTTATAATCAGATGTTTAATGTTATATTGTTTTCATACTTATAAACTTTATAAAATTCTTATCGGAAACTGACTGTCAAAATTAGTTATTGACAAAAGGAATCATATTAGCTATGTTCCAAAACCTGCAAGAATCTACTATTTTTGCATTATTCCTCGATATCATAAAGGGAAAATCGGTTATCGTAGTAAACATTTTTACATTCTTGCAGTTCTGGAACAGATGAATTGAAATTCATGCTTTAGTAACATATATTAAAAATAATGTTTTTAGCATAAGTTCTAACAGATATTATTTAAAATGCATTTAAAGTCCTTTAAAATAAAAATCCGAACAAAAATAAGTTCAGAAAGGCGTCGGCGAATCACTGCATTTAGAGAATTTAGGTAATAGAAGCAATTGATTGTAGTGGCAATAACCGATTTGTATGGACGCAAAAATGCGATTCCAAAACTGAATCAGTAAATTTTGACCAATGTAAATTGAGAAAAAAACATGTCGCGTTGCGTTGGCTGGAAAACCACAAGTGGCTATCGTTAAGGCACTCCAGCATTTAAATGAGAACAAATCTTTTGTGTCTCGTACCATCGCTCGTTACCGTGATACTGGTAGCGTATCCCGATTTCAAGGGAGTGGACGGAAGTGGACGGAAGAAACCAGCAGAAATGGTTTGAAAAGTAAAGAAGCGACTTGGTCGAAACCCGCGTCGCAGTGGCCAAAAAATGGCTCGTGAGCTGAACATATCGCAATATTCCATTCGGCAAATATTGAAAAATGAGCTCGGGAAAAAGCCATTGAAATTCAAAAAAGTGTAAGAACTTACACCGCAACAGAAAGAAAATAGACTCAGAAGAGCTAAAGAGTTGCTTCCCTTGGCGGAAAGTAGTGAACTGCCGAATTTGATTTTCTCCGAAGAGAAAACATTCGTTGTCCAAACATTCGTTGTAAACAAACAAAATTATCGTGTTTACTTGACAAAAAGGTCAGGTGAAAATGTGCACCTTCGGTTGGCCACAAGAACTCAAGCGCTGGTCATGGTGATGGTGTGGGCCGCCATAACAGCCGATGGTCGCTCTCCGCTCGTATTAATCGACTGTTGATACCAATCCGTTGGACTATTGTGTCTGGAGTATTTTGGAAAGAAAGGTTGGCACTGAAAAATACCAAAGTGTCGATCACCTCAAGCAAGCCAAAATACCGCAGAGCAGCATTCGGGCAGCGTGTGACGGTTTCATTGGCCGTGCCAAAGGTGAACAATTCGAACAAATCTAAACTTATTCTAAAATTTTATGCTATTTCCCACATTTTTGCTTTCATTCAAGAAAATTTAAAAAAAATGTGAAAATTATGTCGTTTGACTTTGTTGCAGTTCTTTTATCTCGCCCTGTAGACATGGTATAAAATAAAATTAAACCATAGCAATATTTGTTTCAATCAATTTCAATTGTACATACCTTTTGTGTCAGAATAATTAGCAAGCGTCTGAACATGCTCAGCACATCAAAGAACAAATCCAATGCATGTTGTACGACATCCCGGTTGCCATAACGAACTTTCTCAACAATATTTTGGGTATCGAAAAGAATGAATCCGGCCATAACAATAACACCAACATAAAGTTGAGCCTATTAAGAACAAGAATAGAATGTTAGTATAAATAAACAGGCAACAACTATTTGAAAGGCTTACCATCTGCACAAACATTGATTTGAAGAAGATATTTAGAATGCTCAATAGTGTCATTGTATTGATCACACTAATCAAAATGCCTCCCAAAAATAGATATTGGCCACGTCCAGCCAAAAGTGCTGCTATGGACAACGATGCAAAGGTTATAAATGTTCCCACCAATGCTGTAACGATAATTGATGGATCAACGCTGACAACATAGCTCAATAGTGGTCCAAGAGTTTGTCCGGAACAGAAACCAAATCCATACAACATAGCAACGCGTGTGTAGTAATTTTTGCCATTGTCACGATAGAAATGTAAACCCAAAACTAAGAACAAAGTACCCAATGCTGCCAGTATTCCCAAGTCGACATAACGTTTCATTTGCAGTATAGAACCGATGGCTGTCACAGCAGATGTTCCACCCAACATCATGTAAACTTTAGCAAGATGTTGCTGGACATAGGGTTCGCTGGAAAGGAAGGAAACAAAATTATTTATGTAGAAATAAAAATATTACAACAATTAATGCGATTTATTTGGATTTCGTATACGGACACCTTTTAACCTGTGTTTATACAAATCTGCGAAGAAAAATCTGAAAACGTTCATTTCTTTATAAGGTTCACCCTAATTGTTCAGTTAAGGCCTCCAGTTAGAAGGATTTACGGCCATAATAAATTAATGACTTTTATACATTCCACCAAACTATAGAGTATTTTAAATTCTGCTTGTAACAGCTCTAAATAGTCGTTGGAAACCCATCAAGTGTATCTATCGATTATCAGCTTAAAGTTTAATATCGATTTAGTCAAATCCGTTTTATTTATTTATTTTTTTTTTTTTTTTTGGGTCACGATTAAGCTAGCACTATTAAAGATAGAGCTTTGAATTTGGCACAGACACTGATTTTATAACTAGGAACTGAATATATATCGGTTCACGTTTAGGTACAGGCCCCATATAACAGAGTTATTAAGTTAAGTTTTTGGTCCTAATGTCCAACTAAGTCAACTGTAATTGAACATTTAAATTTTCCAGAGGGCATTTCAACTCCTTTGAAATAATGGTCAAAATCGGTTTACATTTGGGGAGACCAACTCCTCGTAAAAATTTTCAATGTAGACTTACTTTTTGGTATAGCACTCATGTAACGCTAAATCCAGGTCTACTTTCTGTTATTGCCTCCTATACAGGGTGAGATGAAAAAACTGCAACCAACTTCAGACTGCTGTCATTTCTAGGCCACTCGTCCGACAGCTGTTACAATAATTCCAGTAATAGCTCATTATATTGTTTACAAGCGTACAAAAGCATTTTGGTGAGAAGTTTCCAGAAAAAAGTTATTCGTGATGGAATTCAAACGTGATTTCTTTATATTTTTCTGGACACACACCACAAGTGGCTATCGTTAGAGCACTCCAGCATTTAAATGTGAATAAATCTTTTTTGTCTTGTACCATCGCTCGTTACCGTGATACTGGTAGCGTAGACCGACGTCAAGGAAGTGGACGGAAAAACAGCAATAGAAAACATTCGTTGTCCAACAGTTTGTAATCAAACAAAATGATCGTATTTATTTGCCAAAGAGGTCAGCTGAAAATGTGCACATACGGTTGGTCACCTGAACTCAAGCGCCGGCCATAGTGATGGCGTGAGCCACCATAACAGCGGATGGTCGCCCTCCGCTCGTATGAATCGACCGTGGCATCAGAATAAATGCCGAATATTGTCGTGAAAATATACTGGAGGGTGTATTAAAGCATTGGGCACGCAAACATTTTGGCCGCAAACCTTGGACATTCCAACAGGATTCAGCACCATCGCAGCACGCGTCACCCCAGAATGGTTACAAAATGAGGTTCCTTGCTTCATTTCCAGTGCAAAATGGCCACCAAAATCTCCGGATACCAATCCGTTTGACTATTGTGTCTGGAGTATTTTGGAGAGCAAGGCTGGCACTAAAAAATACCAAAGTGTCGATCACCTCAAGCAAGCGCTTCGCCGGAAATGGCTCAAAATACCGCAAAGCAACATTCGGGCAGCGTGTGACTTTTTTATTGGCCGTTTGAAGGTCATAATTCGTGCGTGCCAAAGGTGGCCAATTTCGGACAAATCTAAACTTATTCTGACATTTGATGCTATTCCGACATTTTTTGCTTTTATTCAATAAAATTTACAAATTATGACGATCGACTTTGTTGCAGCTTTTTTTACCTCGACCTGTATATTTCGGTTCCGAGTTCCCGTCAAATTAGCTATAAATTCATATTTCTGGTTCTTTGTATGTAGATTACGTCCGCTCACAAATATTCCATGTAGGTACAGCATCTAAACAACGGATTGTGGTATGGTCAAGTTTTCGATAAGTGGGGGGTAAAAATGTTCCGTCCGATTGACGTGTTTACTTGTTTTACTAACTCTGTATAATCTTTCTTGTGGGTTCTGGAACGGAGAATATGTCTTCGACATCAAGCCAAAATGAGATCGAATAAACGTCCAAATAGGACAAAAAGTTATGGGACTGGAAAAACTTGAGTAGATCTACGCACTTTTATAATTTGTCACACTGAATCGTATAGGTATTGTATGAATTAATATTCATATTGATCTTGTACATAAAATGTAATAGGTTTGGAGAGGTCAGTAACACAAAGTCCAATGTTCGTACGAAGATTATGCATATTTCAAATACCAAAATAACAATCAAGTACTCGCACATATATGCGTATGCATACATGTATAAATGCACCTGTAAGTACGTACGCACTTACAAATTTCTAAAAATCTTCCTAGACGTCATACTTCTTGTACCAATTAAACCATTGGGTGCCAACCAATGTAGTCCAAACCAAAGAATTTATACGAAAATTTATTTTTCTTTTCCTAAAAATACAATATAGGAAAAGATAATTTACTTACTATTTCTGGTTAAGGCCATTAGTGAATCTTGTAAATTGTTGCTGAAATGCATCCATTTTGGCTATTTTCGAAATACACTTTCCTTTCTTGTATGTCTGGTTGATAAGCACTGAATGTAATTTTTTTTATTTAATTTGACCAAATTGATGTCAGAAATAATTTATTTTATGTATATCCAAAAATTGATTAAAAACACTTGTTTAATATGAGTGCGTTGTTCACAAACGACTTTGGTTAAACACTATTAACAGGTATATTAATGTTAATATATTCAATTGAGGACAGAGAATTCTTTGAATGTGAATTTCTAGATGTTTGTTTTGCTCGAAAAATATATGCAATTGACTTTGGTGGTGGTGAAATTCTAATTAGTAAAGTGGTGGGACACGTCAGTCACAATTTGTTGCAGAGTTGCCAATACCTTTTTGTTTATTTGTTTACATTTTTGTTGGTAAGATAAATCATACTGCGTTCACACAATTCCTTTTTACTATGAAACAGGAATGGCTTACAAAATGTTAGAAGATAAAGTACAACCCATGATAGAAGAATATAGGTCGACGCATCGACACATCTGCTGGGACAATGAATTGTCAAACCAATTTTGAAATTGAAAATGTTGAATGAAAAATTATTTAAATTTGTAAAAATTGTTGAAAAAGCGAATTATAAAACCTAAGAAAGTCTACTTATATTTGAAAGAACATTTAAATTTTTTGGACAAATCAATGTACCCATGCTTTGATGCATCTACCTGTATTCTTCTACCATACTACAACTTAAACAATTATAAGTATCTTTTCTATGTCTATACGTTTGATTGTTTGTTTGTTCGAAATCCGCTTGCTGTTGTTATTTTCATTGTCAAATTTCAAATACAAAGTGGTTAAAATATCAAGGTCGACTAAAAAACCACAATGTCGTCATAAATTTTTACGGACAGATATTCTCTAAAAACGACTTCACGTCGACTGTTTAATCGACAATGATAATAGCAATCTTTCATCGCTATCGACAAAAAACGACAACCGTAATACCGTTATTGTCGCCTTGTATTCATTTTGCGACGACGACAACGATAATAGGGCAAAATTGGCCCAATTACGGTTGTCGTTTCTAGTTGTCGACGTTATGTGTAAGTCGCCCTCGCCGTCGCTTCGATTCAAAAACGGTATTACGGCAAGGCATAGAAGCGACATCGACAGTTTAAAATAAAAGTTGGCAACAACTTAAAAAACTTTGGCAGCACTCCTTTACTATTGACAAAAAGATAAAACTTTGTATTTTGAATTTTAATTTCGTCTCTTTCAGAAAAAATAGAATGAAAACATGTATATCATAAATGCGTTACATATCTTGTCTGACTTCAAGTAAGTATATATTTTATTCAATTTATTTAAAACATGTACTTAATGTGTTTCTTTAGATTATCAAATTATTTCAGAACTAGCAAGGACTGCTTTAAACATGTGCTAAAAGAAATTTCGCCAAAGTTGCAAAGTGGGCGCAGGTCATTGGCTCTTAGGCGTGAAATTAAATTAGCCGGCTTAACTCCACTTTAGTAAAAACTCTTCAATTTTTTTAATTGTTTTCAGTTATAGGTATATTAACCGAATTCCGGGATACTATTTTTTTGACCCAATAATCCGGGTCTAAGACCCACTTTCCCATATATATTATATAATGAAGGGGTTATTTAAGAAGGTTCGGAAGTTATAGTCAAATTATGAATTTTTATAAAACCCCCAAGAAGTCGAAAAAGATCCCATAATGGGGGTCAACAAAATTAATGCCAAATTATAGCTGTCACTCTTACCTTTCCAAAATGCTACAATTTGTGCTAATGCCTTTTCTGGGTCCAGTTCAACCGGCAACGCAAACTAAAGTTTTCTAAATTTAACAGTTGTAAATAGCCGACCTTCGGCCCCATAATGTTGATAGGTATTTTCATAAGCAATATAGGTATAGACTGTAAGTAGATCCGGGTCAAGCCCGGGTCGTGAACCCGGACTTTTGAGTCAAAAATCTGTGGAATTATACTAATAGTATCCCGTAATCAAAATACCTACCTCTGGAAAAAAAATTCGAAGGATTTTTACTAGTAGGCCAGTGTCGGAAATGACTTCAATATTTCCAAATTGTTATAATCGGCCCAATTACGGTTGTCGTTGCTATAGTCGTCGTCGACTTTATGTGCGAGTCGCCCTCGCCGTCGCTTCGATTCAAAAATGGTATTATGGTAAGGCATAGAAGCGACATCGACAGTATAAGATAAAAGTTGGCAACAATTAAATAAAAGTTGGCAACACTCCCTTGTTATTGACAAAAAAAAGATAATTTTGTTTTGTATTTTGAATTCTAATTTCGACTCTTTCGGAAAAATAAAAAATATAGTGAAAAAAATGAAGATTATAAATGCATTACATATCTTAAGTTCAAGTGAGGATGAAAAGAAATGTGTATTAGTAGTGCAGCGGCGAGTGTTAAGACAACCAACAAACATATTTGCATTGCTTGGCTCTTGATTGTGTTGTTCCAAAAATTTATAACGCTCTTCCAAGAGTTCAATAGTTTGTACTTTCCTTGGTGACTTTTTACCATAGTTTTTTCTGGGCGATCGAGAAGTTTCAATAGTAGGTTACATCAGTCTCGTCTTCAGCATTGTCCACTTGCTCATTTTCATGAACTATAACGTCTATTACCCTTATGTTTTCCTTATTTTCTATTCCAAGTGCACCACCTGGTCTGTTCAGTAACTTTTGAAACTGCATTATATTAGCGACAGACTCATCCAATGGCGACAAAGTCATTTGCTTAAAAATGCAACCTCCAGAGCTGCTGGTTTCATCTTTGTTGTGCACAAGTTTCTTTTTAGTTTTAAATTTTTCCAAACCTAGAAGAATTTTAAAAAACCAACTAATAAAAACATACAAAAATAATTTTAATTTTTACATACTTTTTGCCAGCCATCGGAGTCTCTAATCGAGGCCCGTTTACATTTAATTTTGTAGCAATAGATTCCCAATCAGATTTAAAATTAGCTGGAACATGACCTTTGGTAAACCCTTTTACCAAACATGGATTTTTTTCCAATTCGGAAACCAAAATTTCAAATTGTTTTGCTATTGTTATTTTCATGGTCAAATATCAAATACAAAATGCTTACAATATCAACGTCGACTAAAAAATACTATGTCGTCACAATTTTTTCCGGCGACAGATATTCTCAAAAATCGACTTCACGTCGACTGTTGTACCGACAATGATAATGGCAACCATTTATCGCTATCGACAAAAAACGACAACCCTAATAGCATTATTGTCGCCTCGACTTCATTTTGCGACGCCGACGATAACCGTAATAGGGCCGAATATCAACGTCGACTAAAAAATACAATGTCGTCACAATTTTTTTACGGCGATAGATATTCTCAAAAATCGACTTCACGTCGATTGTTGTATCGACAATGATAATAGCAATCATTTGTCGCTATCGACGATAAACGACAACCCTAATATCATTATTGTCGCCACGACTTCATTTTGCGAGAACGACAACCTTAATAGGGCCGATTCTCTAAAAACGACTTCACGTCGACTGTTGTATCGACAATGATAATAGCAATAATTCATCGCTATCGACAAAAAACGACAACCCTAATACCGTTATTGTTGCCTCGTATTCATTTTCGACGACGACAACGAATATTTTAATCGGCGTTTGTTTCTTTACCATGGATATGTGGCTACCAGTAAGATTCATAGTATTCCCATTTTTCATGTAGTAATACACAATATTAAAAGTGTATATTTCAAAGGCCACATATTTAATCAATATGCATATTTTGTAGCGGTTTGCATATTTTTCCATTTTCTATGAGAATTACAAAAACTAATCTTAATTATTATTTTTGATATTGAAGTACAAAAATTATATCAAGTTTCCCCTGGCAAAAATTTACATAGTTAATAATAATGAAACAAATTTCAATTGTACATGGGGAAATGAGGAAGCTTAATTTCTAGAAACAATAAACTAAGTACATACATTTCTTTGGTACAAATGGTAAATGTGTTTTTTTTCTTTTGGAGTTTGTCAGTGATACGAATTCCAACACTTTTTTTATAATTATCTCATATATTTTGTATTTTTATTAATAAACTGAAATATCAATTTACAAACAATGTATGTATGTGTAGGCGTAGTTATTAGTGTCTAAGATTGATGATATTAAATAAGAAATAAAGGAGTGGTGAGAATATTGTTTTTTGCAGCGGACTGAGATTGGGATTAATCAGGCTTTTGATTTTAAATTGCAGCGCAATGTTTGCACACACAGTCCATATCTCAATTGTTCTTTCATTCCATATATGAATATCATAGCGTCATTTTGGGTATTTAGGTTGAAAGATCTTAATCCGCATTTCAGCTGTCCCAAAATTATATTAGATAGGATAGGTAGTCTCTTGTTTTTTTCAATACAATTTGAATTTCTGATAATATCTAAATCATAGGATTAGGATCATTAATTGGGTGTGGCTATTTATAAAGGTAACGATCGATGATCACTTGTTGCAAGTTAAATAATCTTCTATGTGTACTTCTGTCAATGTGACTAATGTCTGGAACGATGTTCTCTGTCGCGTTCACGCTCACGATCACGGTCGCGATCACGTTCGCGATCACGGTCCCGCTCACGTTCCCGATCACGATCGGATGATCGATAACGTTCTTCGTAGTAACTACGTTTCGATGGCGCTTCGGTGCCTACGTCTCCGCCCGTAGGCTCTGGTGTTTTTCGAGCTCTTGCCGAGCGGCTGGAGCTATCATCACGATAGTGGTCGTTGGCACTGGGTCGTTCTCGTTCACGGCTTCTTGAGCGATCACGATAACTAAAAATTAAAAAAAAGGAAATAGTTACAAATTAATATTGAGTTATTACCCTGACTGGTCATGCATACATACTTATTAGCTACGACATCAAGTTTACGGGATCTGTATTTGAATGAAAAAGGTTTTAAAATAATGAAACATATTTGTGAAGACAATATGCTATATAAAAATAAGTAGAACCGAATGGCTGAGATAGAGATTTTAAAATTAAATGGTCTGATCCACCACCACAAGGAATCGAATTTATAAAATGATTTAAATAATGTTTAATACCAAAACTTAAAAATATTTCCTCCACAAACTTTTAGTTTCAAAAGAATTTGGAAATATGTCCCACTCAGCGTACGAAAACAAACGAAACAAATAACGGAACGCTCAAACTAACTCACAAACTTTTAAATGTTTATATCCTCCACCATAGTATTACTCTCCATACTATTAATTTTGTCATTCAGTTTGTAAAACCTCGGAATATACATTTTAGACCCTACAACGTATATATATTCTTAATCAGCATAAAATTCTATATCGATTTAACGATGTCCGTCTGTCTATGGCAATCACTCTAGCTTTCGAACGAATTGAAGTAGGTTTATAACATTTAACTCAGATGTGTGTTTAGTCTGCAGGAATTTTGATATTGAAAATGAGGTACAAAGGTCCACGTTTTGGTATAGCCCCCATATAGCTATAACTCCCCATATTCGATATTTTGATGATTTTACCGACACAATTCATAGGAACGGTTACAAATTTGATATTTTTAGTTCGTAGTGGGTACTACATTTTGTGACAGAAAATTGTCTATACAGGTTCACTTTCTCGTATAGCCCCCATATAACGGTACCTCCATACAGGGTGAGATGAAAAAACTACAACCAACTTCAGACTGTTGTCATTTCTAAGCCACTTGTGCGACAGCTATTAAAATTATTCCAGTGACAGCTCATTATATTGTTTACAAGCGTACCAAAGCATTTTGGTGAGAATTTCCAGATAAAAAGTTATTCGTGATGAAGTTCAAGCGTGGTAGTGAGATTTCTTTATACTTGGCTGGAAAACCACAAGTGGCTATCGTTAGAGCACTCCAGCTGTTAAATGTGAATAAATCTTTTGTGTCTCGTACCATCGCTCGTTACCGTGATACTGGTAGCGTAGCCCGACGTCAAGGAAGTAGACGGAAGAAAACAGCAACATCAGCAGAAAGGGTTCGAAAAGTAAAGAAGCGACTTGATCGAACCCCGCGTCGCAGTGACCGAAAAATGGCACGTGAGCTGATCTTACCGCAATATTCCATTCGGTAAATATTGAAAAATTAGTTCGCGGTAAAGCCATTGAATTTCCAAAAAGTGCAACTTACACCGCAATAGAAAGAAAATAGACTCAAAATAGCTGCCGAATTTGGTTTTCTCCGATGTCCAGCAGCCAAACAGGTCAGCTGAAAATGTGCACCTTCGGTCACCAGAACTCAAGCGCCAGCCATAGTGATGGTGTGGGCTGCCACAAACAGCCGATGGTCTCTCTCCGCTCTTATTAAACAACCGTTACATCAGAAAAAATGCCGAATATTATCGCGAAAATATTCTGAAGGCGGTATTAAAACCTTGGGCACGCAAACATTCTGGCCGCAGACCTTGGACATTACAACAGTACTCAGTACCATCGCACTCAGCACGCGCCACCCAAGAATGGTTACAAAATGAGGTTCCTCGCTCATTTCCAGCACACAATGGCCACCAAAATCTCCGGATTCCAATCCGTCGGACTATTGTGTCTGGAGTATTTTGGAAAGCAAGGTTGGCACTAAAAAATACCAAATTGTCGATCACCTCAAGCAAACGCTTCGCCGGGAATGGGCCATTGCGTTTGACTTTGTTGCAGTTTTTTGATGTTAGCGACATAATTCACCGGAATTGTTTCAAATTTTGTATTTGTAGTTCGTTATAGGTACAACAGTCTGTGACAGAAAATGAACTATGCGGGTCCAAGTCTTAGTATAGCCACCATATAACTGTACCTCCCTATATTCGTCCTTGTGTAGACCTCAATATAACACTAACTTCATATATTCGGTATTTTTGTGATTTTAACAGTATTTTTCAATGTATTTTCCACCAAATGGTAAAGGGTATTCAAACAAATCAAAATCACCAAACAAATCAAAATCATAAACATTTCAATTCCAGAAATACACAAACAATACGATTGTCTTAATGTACATATGCTGTTGTTCTTTGGTATTAAACAATTTCTCAAGTACTGCTACTCACAAATTTTAACTACTTCCGTTGAATAACTCGGATGGGATTTGAAAAATACTAAATATCGTATGTTACCTTTATTTGGTAGACATTTCAAAAGCATGGCTATAAAAAATTGTAACATAAACCTCTTCTGCAGCGATCCAATTCACTATACTTTGATTTTAGAGGTTTAGGGGGACCATTTAAATGGGAAACACAAATGTCAGTGAAGAATTTAAAAATTCAATCTTAAATATTGCAAGCTTCCATGTGATTTCTACAGACATATAGATATACAGACAGGAATATATCATGCCTTAAACTATTATTATAATGTATAGTTTTTTTTACGATACAAATGCTGGTTTAAATTCTTCCAAATAAAACTAGCCTTAAACTATAAAACATTTTTAGATGTATGCATGCCACTCGATTATTTGCAGCTGAATACGGTTTGAAGGACTACTCAATACTCCTTTATGACCGTATTCACCTGCAACAACGTCGGCTTATTTACTTACCCTCCAGCATCACGATCTCGTTCCCTTTCGCGATCACGTTCTCTTTCGCGTGATCTTTCACGATATCGTGATGAAGATCTTTCGCGTCGCGGTCTTTGCCGATGTGATCTTTCGCGTGATCTTGACCGTTCGCGTCTGTTGTAGCTTTTTGTTTCAATGCCGTGTAATGTATCTTGTAACGAGCTGATCAATATTTTACAACGTTCATCGTGAGCCACCTTCGATTGTTTGATCAATGAGATTGCTGTGACTAAAGTTTCAATTGCGCTGGAATATTCACCGGCTGCGGCATCAGATACTGCACGCGCAATGGCCGAACTGCTGACGGTGCGATTGCGGCCCATTATTTCTTCAAATTCTGCTTCACTTAATTGAGGTCCCATGGGCTGTTGGGGATCTGGGAACGTTTGTTGCTTAACTGGTCCTGGCGGACCGGGCCAAGGCCCCCGAGGTGCTCCCTGCTGAGCGAAATGGGGAGGTGGACCGTGTTGGGGTGGCATATTCATTCCCTGTTGGGGTCCGGGTGGACCATGTGGTGGACCACCACTCATCGGCGGACCCCCTGGGTGTTGTGGAGGTCCACCGCCTGGCTGATTAAAGAATGCGGGATTTACATGTGGAGCTGGACCACCAGGTGCTCCATGAGGTCCGCCTGGTGGAGGAACACCAGGACCACCCATTTGAGGAGGGCCACCCGGAGGACCCCTTGGTGGACCTTGCATATGTGGTGGTCCCTGTGGTGGACCACCTGGCGGTCCCTGCGGAAAGCCTCCATGCATTGGAGGCCTCCAGTCTGGTCTGGGGCCGCGCATTGGCATGCCGCCGGGAGGTCCCTGAAACTAAAAACACAAATGTCAATTAATTCCTCCAAACGGTTCAATCTAGAAAGCAGCCCTCGAATTTTGAAACATTTACATCGGTTAATTATCTCAACATTCTGAATGCTTAATCTAACAACAGACAATAATGTTCTAATTAAAGGTAACAGTACTAATCATAAAAAAGTTGTAAAATTAAGCGGTTACCATTTGTGGCGGACGTTGCGGTGGCCCATTCATAGGTCCTGGTCGTGGACCATTCGGACGCGGCTGCCCCGGCCATTGTGACTGTTGTTGGCCAAATCGCGGTGGTCCTTGCATCCCTTGTTGCGGTCCCATCGGCGGACCCTGATGCATTGGTGGCTGCATTTGTCCATTGTTTTATTTGGTGGGTGGATGTGGTTTGCAAATGTTGTGCGGTTTTTTTTTTATTAACGTAATTTTTGTTTGTTTTTGGTTTATCAATTTTGTTTACAAGTTGTTGTTGGATGATGAGGATGATGAACATGGAATAAGAAATAATAGACAATAGTAACTATATCATATTGTAAATATATTGCAAATTTATATTATACAAATCTCAACTACTCTATAGACTACGATCTATGTAATGTTGCAATGTACGTAAGACTAAGACATTTGAAAATATGTATGTGTGGTGGTGACTTAATATTATGTTGAAAAAGATATGTATTAATTTTATTTATTTATTAAACATTATGGGCATAACAAAAATAAAATTAAAACGTTAAAAAACATAATCGTTATGTATTCTTTACATAAGAATGCAATTTGATTTTTAGCTGTCTGCAAAGTTTAGTTTTTTTTTTTTTTTGTAAAACATTTAGATTTACTTTTCGTGGAACGAATATGACATTCGAGAACATAACTTAAAGGGAACTATTGCCCCCCTAAATTTTTATGTATCCCAAATGAGAATTGCGTTGCGCTTGGGAAAAATTATAATTATCTTAATATTACGAGCATCAAAAATATCACATATATTGAAATGCATGACACCGTGAACATATAGTCTGTAGCATGATAAACTGCCTGAGGTATTTTCGACTCTTTGAGATATCAGAACATTAGAGATAAACAAAAATCTTATTCAGCTACTTGCAATTTGAGATTCAATTTTTGAATTACATTCTTCTCAAAACAGATAAATGCCATATGACACACCCAAAGTATGGGTCGGAAACACTAGAAAATATTGTGTGAAAACGAAATATAGGAACTTTCTTGAAATACGCACAGCCAAAAGCGCAAATACTACCTCTGTGTTTCTAAAATCTCTGTCCCCGACATTCCAAAACTCAAATTTTTAATGCGCTATATTAGCCTGCTACCCCTACCCCGCGTCTCCCCATATATTTGTTCTGTTCCAGTACCTGCAAGAATCTACTATTTTTGCAAATTATCTCCGATATCATAAAGGAAAAATCGGTTATCATAGTAGAAACTTTTGAATTCTTGTAATTCTGGAACAGATCAACAGATTGTCTTTCAATATTCTCTTGTATTAATTTACTCTTATTTACAAGGTTAGGCCCAGGATTGAATTATGGCAAGATAAGACAAATAAATACAGAGTGAGATGAAAAAACTGGAACCAAATTCAGACTGCTGTCATTTCTAGACCACTCGTTAAAATTGTTCCAGTGACAGCCCCTTATATTGTTTACAAGCGTACTAAAGCATTTTGGTGTGAACTTTCCAGAAAAGAAGTTGTTCGTGATGGAATTCAAGCGTGATATTGTGATTTCTTTATATTTGGCCGGGAAACCACAAGTGGCTATCGTTAGAGTACTCCAGCATGTAAATGTGAATAAATCTTTTGTGTCTCGTACCATCGCTCGTTGCCGTGATACTGGTAGCGTAGCCCGACGTCAAGGAAGTGGACGGAAGAAAACAGCAACATCAGCAGAAATGGTTCGAAAAGTAAAGAAGCAACATAATCGAAACCCGCGTCGAAGTGGCCGAAAAATGGCAAATATTGAAAAATGAGCTCGGGGTAAAGCCATTGAAACTCCAAAAAGTGCTAGAACTTACACAGCAACAGAAAGAAAATAGACTCAAAAGAGCTAAAGAGTTGCTTCGCTTGGCCGAAAGTAGTGAACTACCGAATTTGGTTTTCTCCAATGAGAAAACATTCGTTGTTCAGCAGTTTGTAAACAAACAAAATGATCGTGTTTACTTGCCAAAGGGGTCAGCCGAAAATGTGCACCTTCGGTTGGCCATGGTGATGGTGTGGGTCGCCATAACAGCCGATGGTCGTTCTTCGCTCGTATTAATCGACCGTGGCATCAGAATAAATGCCGAATATTGTCGCGAAAACATTCTGGAGGTTTTAAAGCCTTAGGCACGCAAACGTTTTGACCGCAGACCTTGGACATTCCAACAGGACTCAGGCACCATCGCACTCAGCACGCGCAACCCAAGAATGGTTACAAAATGAGGCTCCTCCAAAATCTCCGGATACCAATCCGTTGGACTATTGTGTCTGGAGTATTTTGGAAAGCAAGGTTGACACAAAAAAATACCAGTGTCGATCACCTCAAGCAAGCGCTTCGCCGGGAATGGGTCAAAATACCGTTTGAAGGCCATAATTCGTACCAAAGGTAAACAATTCGAACAAATCTATGCCTATTCTAAAATTTGATGCTATTTCCGATATTTTTTGCTTTTATGCAATAAAATTAAAAAAAAACTATGGCGTTTGACTTTGTTGTAGTTTTTCATCTCACCTTGTATTTGCCTGCCACCCATACCCCACGCCTTCCTACTTCCAGTACTTGCAACAATCTACTATTTTTACAAATTTTCTCCGGTATCATAAAGGAAAAATCGGTTATCGTACTGGAACAGACCAATTGTCCGTCAATATTCTCTTATATTAATTTACTCATATTTACAAGCAAACAAATATAGATGTTTTGTTCTGTAGGAACAAGCGACGAAATATTTAGTTCAATTGATTATTTTATAAAGAAAGGGGTCGGAATGGAAGAACTGTGTCGGTAAAATTGCAACGTGGCTACAAGAGTTCTTTGAAAAGTCACTGTGCTTTGTGAACTCATTGTAGTCTTCACAGAGAAGCACTGGTTTCAGAATAATTACCCAATGATTTAAAACTGTAACTGTATAACGAAACTAGGCTTTTACAAGTAGTCTTCATATATATTTTATATTTCATGCCGAGATACATTGGTTCTCCAGGGAAAGGTACCCGAATATATTAAACAAGTTTAAGAGGAAAAATTCGTGCTTAAATTAAGTGGAAGTGAAGGAGTGGTCCGATATATTCCGTCTTTACATCAGATTTTGTGTTGGTACAAATATTGGTATGTGCGAAATTTGAAGACAATCGGATTCTTATTTCACATTTTATAAGAGTTATTATTTAAAATGTTGACCCTTTGCGGGGGTGGTACTTGTTTTGGCGATATCAAATAGTATATATGGCTGAGGGTATAAAAAGGGTTACCATAAACAACTTGGGATATAAGATTACCTCTTTAATTCTGCCATGGATTCGAGTTGTGACATATTCTGTCATCTTTTTTCCATTTCATTGCGAATATTTGAGACTTAAATTTAAATACTAAAAAATATGTATGGAATCAGGGACAAAAAAGAGCATCTTCACTTTGAGTCACTTTTGGTTGAATATTCTCCCGTTTGGTAGCACTAATACTGCTAAAGATGGCAATGTTACGGAAAAAGTGGAATATTTACAAAAACCTTAGAAGGGGGTATATTGTTCCTCCAATTTATAGGCAAAATTGTAGTGCTACTACTCCTTTAAAATGATAAATTATTTTTCTGCAATTTTAGAAAATATCCAAGAGCTTTCTTCGCAAGGACACTTCCTCTCTCCTTAAACCTAAATAAAAAAGCCTAAATCAAAATCTCCTATCGGGGAAGACATTCAATGGGACATGTAATGCAACAGCGTTTTTAGTCTTGTATCGACTCTTCACTTGGGCTATGTCATGGATGCATAGACTTTACAAAATCTCAAAAATAACCATAACCATTCATCACTCAATGCTTGAAAGGTAAGCCCGAATTTATATTAGGCAAGTTTTCTTGCGGCAATTCTTTGTTTGTAGGAGAGAGGGGCAAGAGGAATTGAAATAGAAAAAATGGCTCGTACTGGCAATTCTTTTTGCGTTTTTACTTTTATACAAAAAACGATATAACAATGACAGCAAAGCAATAATGAAAAATAAAAATGACTGAAAACAACGAACGAGAACGAGAAAATTTGTCGCAAGTAAACTCGACTTGTCTAAATCAGGACTAAGATTGCGGTAGTAAGACTTGACTGAATTGCAAATCTTTAGAAACTAGAGATATTCCACAGCAAATTACTGCAAGTAACATCCAATTTTACATGAACGAATGATGAATATCTTGGGGAAAGTTGTTATCAATAAATGAACCGATGTTATCCTCATTTCTACAATATTTTTATTGTCTACTTCTATTTGTTTGAATACTAAGGTATTTATTTTTATATAAAATATAAAAAATATATATAAAAAGTATGTCATATATATTCGCAAACAAAAACCAAGGGAACTGATGAGGATTGGTGGCTCTTTCCGAAGCCATGGTATTCCCCCCCCTGCCTTATCCCCTTGGAAACAGGACCATTTTTCTCCACTAATAATCAAACGTTGTTTAAACAAGTTAAAAAGTGTCAGTCTGTTTTGTCGACTGATGTATACTCTCAGCCGATGTTCGATTATTTAAATATATTTAGACTTCTGTTATGATTTTTCAAATGGTTGACCCTATATGGCGTTGGTTTCGAAGGAATGGGTCAATTTCGACCAATTCGGATCGGACCTAAATAAATATGATGTAAATATTGCGACGTGCCAGGTTTGGACTATGTTAGTAACTTCCTTCATTTTACATGAGATATGTGATAATTTTTTGAAAATGTTAAATTGTGCGTGAGTTACTAGATACAGTCGACTGAAGAATTCCATTTTCATGCTTCATCCAATACAAATAAAAATATTGGTATGGGCAAAATTGCAAGAAAATTGAACATTTATATAAAATTTTATGCGAAATCATAAATTACATATTCATCTCAGCTTTCTGGTGGAGAGAAATATTTATTTATAGCAGGTTGGAAAGAATCGCCGACTTGTTTCGCAAGTTATGACAAATATAAAAATTATAAATTGTGAGCCTTTGTGACCAGAAAGGGTTGGAAGACATATATCATATTTACAATTGCGTTAGCAAAAATATTTGGATGTGTGAAATTTAAAGAAAGTTGGATGCTTATATCGCTTTCTTTGAGCGTTTTGTTTTCCAAAAATCTTGAACCCTATGTAGAGGAGGTACCAGAAGAAATGGTGCCATCTCTACCATCTTTATAACCGATATTGTGTTGATGGAAATATTAAGATGTACCAAGTCTGAATGGAATCGAATGTTAATTTCGCGTTTTATGAGCTTCATGGATACGCAAAATTGTTACCCTTTGTGAGGGAGGTACCAGAAGGAGTGGACCGATATATTCCATCTTAATACCAGACCTTGGGTTAATAAAAATATTGTGATGTGCGTAATTTGAAGAGAACCAGATGTTTATTTCGGATTTTATGACCGTTTTGGATATTCAAAACTTCGACCCTTTGTGGGGGTGCCTGATAAATTCCTAATAATAGAATTAATATAAAAATAACGGACGTAATTGTTCAGCATATAATGTTTCAAAATTTAATAATTAAAATAATTGGTAAAATTAATGCAATTTCTAGAAAAAATGGTTCGATTTGTACCATCTTTATAACATATCTAGTGTTGAAAGAAATATTGATTTGTACCAAATCTGAATGGTATCGGATGTTAATATCGTGTTTTATGAGCTTCACGGATATTCAAAATTTTGACCCTTTGTGAGGGAGGTACTTGATGGAGTGGACCGATATTGTCCATTTTCGCACCTGACGTAGTGCAATATTAGGATTTGCAAAGTTAGAGCAAAATCGGATTATTCTTTTTTTTCAGTGCAGAAAATTATTTTCTTTGAAAATGTTGACATTTTGTTTGGGAGGTACCAGAAGGAGTGGAAAGATATTGCTCATCTTCGAACTCGATCTAAGATTGACAATAATATTACCATGTACCAAGTTTGGATCAAATCGGATACTCCCTTCTGGCAAAAGACATAAAGTAAAATTCAAATAGTTTTGCCTGATCTAACGACGTTGTTTGTTATTTTAGTCCATTGTGGAAAAAAGGTTTTAAATCCAAACCAAAGATAGTACTTACTTAAATGCAAGGTTTAGAAGAAAACTTCAGCGGAATTTGAACTCTCAGAAGCCGACACATGTAACTTCAATTTCTACCCCCTTTTTCATAATCAGTGGTAGCGATTAGCTTTTAAGGCGTAACAAAGAATATTAGACTACAATTCCAAAGTTTTTTATGTTCCAGACTGTGATACACGACCAATTTTGTAGAACACCGTGTAACAGCTTAAAAATACTAGAATATATTTGTGGTAGCTTGCGATCAACACTACCACATAGTTCTAAAAATTACATCAAAATTAACAATACTTAAGTAAATCACTCGAAATTCGTTTCGTTTAGGACAAAAAAAAAGCAGGTGCAGGGATAAATCTAAATATGATTAAAATATTTAATTAGAAGACTTTCAGCGAACTTTTTTGAAAATGTTGCAGTGTTTTCAGCAAAATTATTCAAATTTGATGCAACAAAGAACGAAGGTAAACGCGTTTTTATTCTTTGAGAATGAAAAACTGGAAGTATACCCCCAAAAATAAAAATATTAATTCACTGAAATTTAGTTTTAATTTTTATTTGCTTGTTTTCATTTTTTCCATTAACAAAATAGTATTATCTGACAGTAGGTAATAAATTGATATCATTTTGGTTTCAATTTGAATTTCAAAAATAATAGGCAACAACAATGGAACAACAACATTTAAACATATGTATGCAAAGACATATCTCATCTATCATCACAATTTGTACTTAGATTTGAAGTTAAACAATTCCAACATATTCATTTTTTTATAACATATTTTTTTGTTATAGATTATAAGTATAGGTTTTTTAAGTACTAAGTACATATCACTGATATTTACATGGGTAATATGTGAGTATGTGTTGTTGTATATAAAAAGATATGAATGAAAAAAGTTGTTTGTTTAAAAAAGAAACATCATGCAATCTTACGATACTAAGAGTTTATGAAATAACAAAAAAAAAATATATAAATATGGTATCACATTTCAAAATTCTTTTGAGTGACTTTGATGTCTGTTGTGGCACGTTCTAAGTAATTTTTATTTTTCTTTTTTATTAACAACAGACATCACCACACGATCGAAAAAAAAACAAACAAATTAATTGGCAGAGAAAGATATTGACAACAAGATATCACTTAAAAATACATCTCTAAAAATACTTGTTTATTTTCTTTACATGGTAACTTGTAGTTTTCTTGAATTTTGGTGGAAATTGAATTGAAACAATGAGAAGAGAAGACATAATTTGGTTGTGGGTGTCGTTGAGTTTTGTTAATACTAACAAAAAGAAACAGGTTTTTGTTTGAGGCAACAATGAGTTTGCCGCTATCACATATCACAGATTTTCTTAAACAGCAATGTTTTTGTTTTACTGTATTTATATAAACAATGGATAGACTTAATATTATAAGTGATTAGATTCAGTTAAAAAGATAATAATTGCTACCGATTATTTATGTTTAATTGCTCTGAAATACATTTCATTCTTATGTTTAGCAAGAATTTAGAAAAGGAAACATCAATTCTCTACAATATTAAATTTGTATTAATTTTCAGGATCTTCTTTTGTTGCAAAGGAATGGTAGAATTAACAAAAAATAAATGAACAAGAAATGTATAGGAAATGAAACTTAAAGGCATTCAGAACAATTGAGATAATGTTAAAGAGGATATACAAAACAAATAGAAGATATGTATTGATAAAATAAAATAAAAATGAATAAGTGAAGAAAACCCATTACCACTTCAGTTATAAATTAAAAATATTGTAATTAAATGAAGAAGTAAATAACAACATGGAGTTATCCTTAATGTAGTAAACATCAGTCTTTTGCGTGTGTAGGAATACAAATTTAAACACTACCCATAGTTTATAATAAACAATACTTGTAATAATGGACAAATATAGAGCTATGATACGTTCTATGGTACTCGCTACACTTGCTTGTTATTTGACAACATACCTGCATTCTTGGAGGTCCCTGGCCTACTGGCGGTCCTTGGGGTGGCATATGCTGTGGCCTAAATTGACCTGGTGGCATATTTGGATTCATAGGCATACGTGGCTGATGTCCTGGCGGTACGCCTTGTGGTCCACCCGGGTGTGGTGGCATTGGGCCTCCTGGCATCATATTTGGTGGCGCCGGGCCTCTTGGTGGTCCATTTTGTTGTGGCGGCGGTACTGGACGAGTTTTCTGTAGACTCTCAAATTGATTTAAGGCCTGCTTTGTTGGATATGTGACAACTGGCGCCTGGCCATGCAACTCTTTTTTCGGCAAACGCTCCAAAACCAAGCGCATACTATTTTCCGAAGCCAATGATACAACACTGAATCCTTTGGACTGGCCATTGGCCCGATTCTCGAAAAACTTTACTTCTTGAAAATCAGTGACTCCAATATCGCGTATAGCATTGGCAATATCTTGATCGGTTGTCCACTAAAACAAAATTAACAAAGATTAGATTTATTCAAAGCAATTGATACCAAAATGAAAATCGAATAGGTGTTTTGAGAATAATTAGAAGAAAAACCACATCTACAAAATCGGTCAACGAAATACTTATTATACCCTTCACCATAGTAAGGAGGGTATATTATGTTTGTCATTCCGTTTGTAACACCTCAAAACATACATTTTAGACCCCACAAAGTAAATTATTCTTAACCAGCATAAAATTCTATGTCCATTTAGCGATGTCCTTGCGTCTGTGGCAACCGAACGAAATGAACTCCTTAAATATTGAGTTTTCGGCGTTTTTAACTATAATTTGTGGTCACTCTTTTAAGCATTAATTAATAAATATTTTAAAATGGCCATAACTCCTTAAATATTGAGTTTTTGCGATATTATTCACCGGAATTGTTTCAAATTTGGTATTTGAAGTTTGTAATGAATACTACAACCTATGACAGAAAATTATCTGTGCAGATCCACGTTTTGGTATAGCCCCCATAAAACGGTACCTCCCGATATGCGGTATTTTGATAATTTTAGCGACATTATTCACCGGAATTGTTTTAAATTTGGTATTTGAAGGTCGTAATGGAGACTACAGCCTATGACAGAAAGTCTGTGTCTGTGCAGATCCACGTTTTGGATCGGTATTTTAATGATTTTAGCGACATTATTCACCGGAGTTGTTTCAAATCAGGTATTAAGTTCGTAATGGATACCACAACCAATGACAGAAAATTGTCTGTGTGGGTCCACGTTTTGGTATAGCACCCATATAACGGTACCTCCCGATATTGGGTATTTTCATGATTTTAGCGACATTATTTAACGGAATTGTTTCAAATTTGGTATTTGAAGTTCGTAATGAATACTACAACGATGAATACTACAATACTATGAGAGAAAATTATCTGTGCAGATCCACGTTTTGGTATAGCCCCCATAAAACGGTACCTCCCGATATGCGGTATTTTGATAATTTTAGCGACTTATTCACCGGAATTGTTTTAAATTTGGTATTTGAAGGTCGTAATGGAGACTACAGCCTATGACAGAAAGTTGTCTGTGCAGATCCACGTTTTGGATCGATTTGATTTTAATGATTTTAGCGACATTATTGACCAGAATTTTTTCAAATTAGGTATTAAGTTTGTAATGGATACTACAACTTATGACAGAAAATTTTCTGTGCGGGTCCACGTTTTGGTATAGCACCCATATAACGGTACCTCCTGATATTCGGTATTTTCATGATTTTAGCGACATTATTTAAGGGAATTGTTTCAAATTTGGTGTTTGAATTTCGTAATGGCTTCTACAGCCTATGACAGAAAATTGTCAGTGCAGGTCCACGTTTTGCTATAGCCCCCATATCGGTATTTTAACGATTTTAGCTACATTATTCACCAATTTTTTGCATTTGAATGTTGTATTGGCTTATAACAAAAGTTGTTTATACAGGTCAATGTCGTCGGCTACATTCCGTATTTTCAAGATTTTAAAAGAGTTTTTAACGGATTTTACTTTTTGAAAACTGTCAAATTCGTTGCAAATTGTGGAGGGTATTCAAAGTTTGTAAGTAAGAGATTTTTTACTTGTTTTGGATTAAAATAGTGTATTAACCATCTTTATAAACGCTATCCTTTTAGTTGAATATTTAAAACCCATTATGCGGACATATTTTATAATAAAATGCTATTGGACTTAAATATTTACATGATAATAAAACTTCCCCTATTCATATGGCTAGGGAGCCTCTTATTATTTATATTTGTGATTATACACAATTTTTAATATTGTTTTTTTATGATAATAGTTACAACTTCGAAGGATACCCATAAAAAACAAGCGAACCTTCTTTTCGATTGAAATTAAAACAAATTCCCGGTAGAATGTTAAAACTGTTATGTTATAGGTATTCAATTTACATCTGCGGTTTGGAGGTGCTACATTTATTTTTAGATTAAGTTTTTTTGGGCAAGTTCGTGCGATCACAACTTTAATACCAATTTAATTTCATTTTTCTTAGGCAGAATGCTTGTTAAAACACTATGCCACGTCCTTGACCAACTTTTGCAAATAAACAACACTTACCCAAGTCAAATTTCCCACATACAATTGAAAACGCCTACCAGCTTGATTGGGAGCCAAACTACCAGCACCTTGATGGTAGACTCCATTTGTTCCGGCATTTGCAGCACCACCCTCTGCGCCATTATTGCCTGCGCTGGGACTTTCTCCACCACCCGTTGCTGGTGCTATTGCAGCACCACTACTGGATGCTTCTGGCGCCCCTCCTATATCATCATACAAATCAACCCCATCGCCAGCAAATTCATCCTACATTTAGCAATAAACACATTAGAAGCAAGTTTTTTGTTTAATTATCTGTCCATTCGACTTACCTGATTTTGTGTATCTAAATCTTCTGCATAGAGATCCAATACCACGCCGTCAGCCATATTTGTTTGTTTCGCCTATTTTATATAAAATTATTTTCCCAATATGGTCCGAAGAATAGTTATCCGCCGCAGACACACTATATTAAGTGTGGCAGTGTGACGGAGGATTAAAATCTTTTCCACTCTTTTCTCAAATATTTTTTCTACACATACATACGCGTACCACTTTTACGCGAGCACACACCGACCCGAAACCGGTGACAGCTTGCACCTTTTCAACTTTACCTCGTTTCACTAGAACTCCTTATGTACAGTTCTTTTTCCCAAATAACTAATAATTGGAGCAATTGTTAATGCATTCACTGATTCTATGTTTTTTAACTTTTTCATAAACTATATGAACTTTTATAAATTTTACGTTTCTTGGACAAAAATTGATTTATCTTTTTTTCCTGGCGAATTTGAAGCCAAAATTTCAGCGAATGAAAAAATAAAATGAAATCACAATGAGTGAGACAAATATAATTTGTTATACTGGCTGGTTATCGATCACATTTTCGGATAACCACATCCGTCTTGCAGGGTTGCCACTTGGTTGTCACGTTTGAAAAGTGTTGGCAATACCAATTGTTGCCAAAACAGAAATATTCCGGGGGCTGGATTCTCGGTGTAAGAAAACATAATATACATAATATTTTCTTTATAAAATTTATCATTTGACAATTTTTTTCCTTTATAAAAGTGCAACAACGCTTGGTAACATTAGTACGTCATGAAGTGTTTCGTAAAAATAAGTAGATTTTATATGTTTTGTTATACGGCGCAAATCAGAGGTTGTAATAATATGTATTTTAAACATTTTTTACAAATTTCAATAATTTTTCATTCAAGAATTTCAATTGCAAAATCGGTTTGACAGTTCATTGTCCCAGCAGCTGTGTCGATGCAACTACCTGTATAATATAATATAATATAATATAATATAATATAATATAATATAATATAATATAATATAATATAATATAATATAATATAATATAATATAATATAATATAATATAATATAATATAATATAATATAATATAATATAATATAATATAATATAATATAATATAATATAATATAATATAATATAATATAATATAATATAATATAATATAATATAATATAAGTTAGTTATTATACTTCATGTTTTTAAAATTTTTTTACAAATTTAAAAAAAAATTCATTTAACATTTACAATTCCAAAGTTGGTTTGACAGATCATTGTCCTAGCAGCTGTGCCGATGCGACTACCTGTATTCTTCTACCATGTCATTGAGCAAAAATTACAATAACAATGGGAGTCGTGTTGCAGCATAAACTTCTTTATTTGATGTCCCAAAAATGGTCAAATGTAAATTTTGTAGTTCTTCCTTAAATATAAGCATACAACTGGAAAGAAATTTAGATTTCATTCCGACAAAGTTTTTAGCTTAAGATACGATAAATAAAATAAATAAAAATAAGTATTTTGTACAAAATTATTATTTTTTTTTAATATTTTTTTACAAAATATTTTACTATAGTGGGGAAATAGTATGTTCCCAAACTGTAAGAATGTAAAAGTATTTAGTACCATAACCAATTTCACCTTTATGAAATCGACAGAATTGCCAAAATAGTAGAGTCTTGGAACAGAGCAAAATTGTAAACAAATCATATTAGAGAAAACGAAGTAGTTCAAACGACATTGAGAACATTGTATAAAAGAAAGAAAGAACTAAGTAATAATTAAATCGATAGTTGAAAACGATATTAAATTATCGATTGCAACCAAATTGCCATCGGGTGTTTGTCAGATCTATAAGGAATATAACAATAGTTTTGTTCATTTGGGGCATTTAGGAGCAAGTAGCCAATTAAAAATATGTGGGCATAGGGCAAATACGATATAAGACTACTGAAAATATAACTACGTGCTCAAAAGTTATCAAGTCAGTTAATAAGCCATTATTTAATTTTAATTTGCATTACACCTTAGCACCGTTTTCTTCCAGACGTTTTATTTCCTAGGATTTTTGTCCGCCTTTCTTCAATTAAAATGGACAAAATATTTGGGGCAAACCTAGAATTTGTTCGGGAAGATGATTACGTAGAATATTTCATATTTCCCAAATTGGATTTGGATAAAAATGAAGACAATGCGGTTCGCAAACAGTTGGAAGAAACACGCACAAAATGCATGAGCATTGTGGAGAAGTTGACAAAGGAGCGTGATTATATATGGCACAAAGATGAATTTGAATTGCGTGTGCGAACTTGTTCCCCACAGGAATTATTGCTTAACGATGAGTCAACGACGACAACAAAGGAAAAGGCAGCAAATATTACCCGAAAACCATCCGACCAAGGTATGTTTGCATTTGAACACATATCATATGTTGGTACATACATATGTATGTATTGGGCACACTACAAATTTGTTCATCTGTATGTGCTCATTTCATAAAAAGGGGTCAATGTAAGAGGGTGGAAATTGTGATGCTGCCATATATTTGGGTGTGCATTATTGAGGCGTCAACAAAAATGAATAAGTCAAAAATCCCGCGTCTGTTCATCAATGCGTACCTAAATTTGTTTGTGAATATTCTCATGAATTGGCGCTTAAATCAAATTTGAGAATGATGCATGGGTTTTTTGATTGCCGCTTATGACATAGTTGTCCACTATGTTGCTTTTGGCTAAATAAGTCATTGTATTGTAGGAATGTATTCAAACTCTCAATAATAAGTATTTTATAGCCAAGCAAAGTATTTGCCAACCTTCACTGGAAAAAAAATTATATTACCCAAGCTGCGCATTGATGAGGACATCCCATCTTTCATTTAAGGACATCACTCAAAAGCATATCAAAGTATTTGCAAATACGAATAAAAAATGGTTTATTTATTTTAGAACAGTGTTGGCTTGTTTGTTCGGGATACCATAATATGGTCAGGCTTAATCCCTTTATTGTTGTTTTTATTTATTATTTTTTCAATATTTAATTGTTATGATCACTAATGTGTGGAAATGTGATTTGCACCTGTTTTCCAGAAATAACTTTGAATGAACTCATATTTATTTGTTTTTTTTTATTAATTGCGGCATTGATTGTTTTCTACATTTCAGATCGATTGCCACCACATTTGCATGGCGTTACTCATTATGGTGATAATATAGCCGATGAATGGTTTATTGTATACTTATTAAGCAAAATTTCCCAGGAGTTACCTACGTTGGTAGTGCGTGTCATAGATTCAGATGGAGAATTTCTTCTAATCGAAGCCGCTGACTTTTTGCCTAAATGGGCCAATCCCGATACTTGCGAACAGCGTGTGTATATATGTGAAGGTTTTGTTAACTTGGTTCAGAACTCTCCCACAAATACATCAAAAATAATGCCTATCTCCGAAGCGGTAGAAAGAATTCACAATAATCCCACACTCTATAAGGTCTCTAAAGAAATACAGAATTGTATTACAGGCAGAATAAAAGAATTCGATAGCACCAAGAATGATGCTCTTCATCATCAAATTGTGCGCCTTCCTTTGGGCGTTGCCATGTTATTAAAAACGAATCCATCATTTATTTCGGCAGCAGTCCGATCATTTTGCGAACGGGATCCGATTGATTTGAAAGCATGCCGCTCGATGCGTTATTTCCCTCCCGAACAGAGAGTTCGAACTAATGTTTGCTTTACCAAGTGTCTATATGCCATGATTATGCATAGCAATTATGTTCCAGATCGTAATATTGGTTGGAATTTATCGGGCAATCCTAATTCCGAGGAATATAAAGAGGATTTGCTGGGCATTAAAGTTGCTTGTGGATTCGAAATATTAGCATCTCAGGCCAAAGATGCAAACAGTGAAGATAAATCACCAGCGTGGAAGGCATACGTCAGAAGTTTACAAGCCAAAGGATATTTTAGAGATAACATTGAGGGATCCGTTGAATATCAACGTTTGCTGGAGCAAGCCAAAAATTATTACAAGGATAATCAAAGTCGTTTTCGTACTGCACCATTAGTTGGTAAAGAAATCCTAGATTTATTGCGATCGACGGAAGTAAATATCGAAGAGTTGAGAGATGAGGAAAATAATTTGAGGGTAAGTATTCCATGTTGCGTTTTATCTGCTAGGAAAAGTCAATGCCTAAAATGCATTTTTGGATGTCTTGAAATTAATTAAATTAAATTAATTAAAACAAGTTAAAAAGTATCAATCGGTTTTCCCGACAGATGTATAACCCCAGCCTTGAGTTATGACTTTTCAAACTGTTAACCCTTTATGGGGGAAGTTCCGAAGCAGTTGGACAATATTGACCAAATCGTATCTGACCTAAGACTGAAATAAATATTACAACGTGCCAGATTTGGACTATATCGACTACTTCATGTATTTTATATGTGAGATATGTGCATATTTTTTGAAAATGTGGAAATATGGGTGAAGTAACAGATATAGCGGACCGAAGTATTCCATTTTAATACTTCACTAACACAGATAAAAATATTTATACGAAATCATAAATTTATTTAAATATTAGATACAGCAAGTTGTAAAGAATAGCGTAATTGTTTCGCAAGTCATGACAGATATAGGTATTGGATATTGTGACTCTTCGTGGGTGAGGTACCAGAAGGGATTGACAGATATATATGATCTTCACAACAGATTTTGCGTTAACAAAAATATTTGGATGTGTGAAATTTGAAGAGAGTTGGATGCTTATTATGCTTTCTTTGACCGTTTTGTTTATTCGCAAAAAAATCTAGAAGCCTATGTGGGGGAGGTACCAGAATAAAACGTCCGATCTATACCATCTTTATAAAATATCTTGTGTTGATGGAAATATTGATATTTACCAAATCTGAATGGAATCGGATGTTAATTTTGCGTTTTATGGGCATGTATAACATTTGAAGAGAACCGGATGCTTATTTCGGATTTTATGATATTTTTGGTTATTCAAAATTTTGAACCTTTGTGGGGGAGGTACCAGAAGAAATTGTCCGATCTCAACCATCTTTTTAACAAATCTTGTGTGGATAAAAATATTTAGATTTGCCAAGTCTGAAGCGGATGTTAATTTCGCGTTTTAGGATATTCAAAATTTAATAAAAAAATTTGGTGTTGTGTCTAATTTGAAGGCAATTGGACACTTACATCGCATTTTATAAGAGCTATTATTATTCAAAATGTTGACCCTTTGCGGGGGTACTTGATGGAGTGGAGCGATATTGACCGTTTTCGCACATGACCTAGCACTGATGAAAATATTGAGTTTTGCAAAGTTGGGGCAAAATCGGATTATCCTTTCACTTTCCGTGCAGTAAATTATTTTCTTTGAAAATTGTGACATTTTGTGTGGGAGGTACCAGAAAGAGTGGACCGATATTGCCCATCTCCGAACTCGATCTAAGTTTGACAATAATATTACGATATACCAGGTTTGGATCAAATCGGATACTCCTTTCGAGAGTTATTGTGCGCACCAGCCAGCCAGACAGACAGGCGAACGCACATCGCTGGATCGACTCCAAATGTCCTGAAACGGATTTTGTCCAAAGAGACCTGGGGTCTAAAACCATTATTTCGGCTATAACCACTCTAGCCATATAGCTGAGGGTATAAAAACGTGAGATAACCTACTTCTCAGTTTGCATTATCTAATAACAGTATGACTGCCTAATGTTGTGGTAGTCGTTTAAAGCCTTATTCCGAAAAAGTGTTTTTTCTTGGGGGACGGACTTAGGTTCCCGGAAATTTGTGCCGAAAGTCTGCGTTTAAGACCCGAATCTATTTAACCGATATAGACAATAAAGGTATCAAAAATACTTTCCCGGAATCAATGTACAAATACCTATCTCTGGAAAAGAAAGAAACTAAACTAGAGTTAACCCATAATAAGTTCCAAAGTCAATATTTTATATATATTCATTTCACGAAATCTTGCACACAAAACAAATATTCGATTCAAACTGATTTTGGCCTTGTTTTATTGGGTTAACTTAACTCAAACATATGCATAAAATAGTTTGTTGCTCTTTTTTCACAACTTGTTTTCGATTTGAGACTGATTTCTACATTCCCATTAAAATATTACGTTGTTTGCTTTCTTTCAGCCAAGTGATAGTGATGATTGGCTTAACATCAGTGCGGAACAATTGGATGCTATGCTGCTTGATCGTTACGGTCCCAAAAAACTTTACAAATCGAATGGAGATATTAATGCTGAAGAGTTCACTAAAAACATTTCAGAATTTCTCGAAAAAGAATCGGCACTGGAAGGTGTTGAACGTGATTCTGACGACTATAGTACAGGGGAAGAAGAGAAACATGCCGAGGAACAACGTAAAAAGAATGATGCTACATCGTCAAAAACAAAAGTGAAAAAGAATCATTCAATGCGCCAGGCAATGCGTAAAAATCCTGTCAATTTGAACAAATCAAACAATTCAGAACATGAAGATAGCTTTACTACGCAGGTGAAGAGTTTCTTAGATTTTGTCATACCCGAAGACAAATGGGACTCAAATTCGGAAATGAGTGACTACGAAGATGAAGAGGATATGGAGCGTAATTTTGCAGCCATGCACGAAGTAGATAAACAAATTGATGCCGACATTAAGGCCTATATGGATCAAATGGATCGTGAATTAGCCAATACAACAATTGGCAAATCTTTTGATAAAACTAAAACACATAGCAAAGCCAAGTTGGCCACAGCCGAGGAGTTTGATGACATTGAAGATTTCGAACCCATTAATATTAATGTGAATACTTTGAAAAATATGATGGACAGTTATAAGTCGCAAGTTGGCGGCAGTGGTCCAGTGTCAAATCTTCTTAATGCAATGGGTGTTGGTATGTCTGCAGCTGCTGCTGAAGCCATGGCCGGAGATGATAAGGATGATTTGAAAGAATCATCTGTATAAAATCACATATCTACATTTTCAATTTTGTATAAAGTATTTTGCTAAGCATTTCTTTGTATTTAAATGAAAACGGAATGGAAAAACAAGTTAAAAGGTGTAGCCCCGGAATACACTTTTTTCATTTACAATTTAAAGCCGTCGCAGTTTCCAATACAGGGTACTTATATTTAAATATCACTCATTTGAGGAAAATTTTAAAATAATTTTCGCTCTCTACACTCTATATTTATGAAAAGATAAAATAACGCAATTTTTTTTCCTAACAATTGTGATTTTTCAATAAAAGTTTTACTCTGGCTTAGTGAATGTGTGAAGTTTTAATAAAATTAATTCGTACGAATTTAAAGGTTTCATATTTAATGTATTCCGTTATTTTTTGCCATGGTCCGACATATCTTTCCAACTTGTGACCTGTTGAATTAAACAGTTTGCAGTGCCTCATGTCCAATTAATGTCTATTATCGAACCATAAACAACAGTACCCATGAATTTTGTTTGTTATTATCGTCGGATATCAAGGTATATCAAAAAGGCATCGGATTGTAATTTTTCGCTATACCTAGTACACGATTTTTATAAGTCATAGTTCATTCTATTTTTCTCGACCTTCCTCTTAGTATGAGTAATTATACCCTACAACACTATGTGTTGGGGGTATTATAAGTTTGATTGGGCCAGAATTTATGTAACACCTCGAAATATTGGTTTCCCATATAGGAAAGTATATATGGATCTTCCTAGCTCGCCGAGCTGAGTCGATCTAGCTATGTATGTCCGTCCGTCCGTCTGTCCGTCTGTCCATGTTAATTTGTAATCACTCTACAGGTCGCAATTATGGCCCGATCATCACGAAATTTAGAATGGAGGTGGGGCTTAGGTCAGAATAGAACCCTATTTCTTTTGGAGATGATCGCATAATATTTAGGGGTTGAAATGGACCAAATACTGAAAAAATGTCGGATTTTGCAGTAGCTATACAGGTCGCAATTATAGACCTATCGACGCGGAATTTCGCATGTAGCTAGAGTTTAGGGCGGAGAAGAAGCCTACCAATTTCGGTGGTCATCGGATAATATTTAGCGGGTAAAATAGACCATATCTTTTGTGTTGAAAAAATTCAACATTTTTCATGAAACCGCGAATATTTTAAATACCGGCGAAATCCCAAAGCCATGGTAAGGTTACTTCTGACCTTTACATTGATGTTAACATCCAACAAATCGGATATATAGCGAAATATGTGCGATATATATGTCTATAAAAGAAGATATGCTTGAAAGATCTCTTATATGTCGAGAACGGCTGAACTGATTTCGACAGTTCTCATTAATTCAGAATGGCCTCTTGGCAGGAAAGAAAAAACGTCTAAAAAATCGCATAAAAATATCTCTATGAAGATGAAAATATTGATTTTTTAAAATTTTCTCATATTTTTTCAATTTTGTCATATTTTTGGCATATTTTCATTTTGAATTAAACATTTGGTAATATTTCTACAGCTAACAAAACTAAGTAGTTAGGATATCAAGATATCATATACAGATCGCATTTATGGCCCGATCTTTACGAAAATTTGCATGGGTATAAGATGAGGGTCAGAATAGATGCCTACTCTTTTTGGAGATGATCGCAATATATTTAGGGGTTGAAATGGACCAAAAAACTGCAAAATTGTAAGCAGGTTGTAATTATCAACCGATTCTCACGCACATTTGAATAGGGGTTACCGGAAATTGCAAAAGCCAAGCAGTTTTGGATGGCCATCCAAAAATATTCAATGTGTGAAGGAGTTTGCCAACTTTTGTAGACAAAATACGAAAATGTCCATTCCAGTGACTTTTTGGAGAATTCACAAATACTGGAAAGACGCACTTCTGACTATTTCGTTAACGCTGATTTCGTTGAAGAATATAGTCAAATGTCTGTATCTCATATAGATGCGTTTCAGTCAAAAACCAATAATAAATGTTAATCTTTTGTCACTTCTGAGAGATTATAGGTCTTTGGGACATATTGGTTCCAGATCTAGGAAGACCATTTAAATTAGTTTAAGTTGCCATTGTTCGAAAATTAGAGAACGAAACCTGATGGTTTTCTTTTATTATATGTCACAATATCTTGTGGAATTCTTTCGAGTATCTCGCCTATATAAACTGTATCGTTTATTATAGTGTTGTAGGGTATTCAACGGTCGGCCCCGCTCGACTGTAGCCTTTGCTTACTTGTTCATTCGTAATTCAGTAAAAATTACACTACCATCGATATTTTTATTTTTGAAAAAAAAAAACTTAATTCCTGATAGTAGTAGTGACCTAAATAAAAAAACAGTAAGGAAAAGAACGGAAACTGGTAAAATTTAATTTTGATCGGACTTATAAACACGAAGGTTATTCCACGTTGTGCGTTGTGAAAATTGTACAAAAGAGCAATTGAATAATTATTTAAGTGGCTAATAGCCCTGATGGAAGAAACGAAAACGAAAACACGTTAGCAAAGTTATAGAAGCAAAGACCTAAAATGGTAAAGACTAGACAAAATGCTTTTTGAGCAGCTGGTTTGAGGCTATACTATCATGACGGAAGCACGTTAATATAAAAAAACACAATTATAGGAAAGAAAGACAAATAAGTTAACAATCCAAAAATTTTATTTCGAAATTATATTCCTTAGACTTTCCCATATTGTCTTAGTGATTTAAATTACTTAACATTGGTAGCTATGTTGTTACGATATCGTAACAGCAGAGGTATTTTTAGGATTGCCATATTTTGACTCTGTCTTGTCCTATCTTTACACTCTATATCTTTGATACCCGAGTTTCAAAAAATTTCACTCCATTTGGGCTGATGCAAAGGCATTTCCGAGCTTTGTAAGATATCTGGTAGCAAATATCATTGTTGTCGAATGCATATTACGAATATGAGGGACTTAAACACCAAATCGGATAAAACATATATATGGGGCTATAGCTATACCTGAACCTATTTTCTCCAAATTTGATTTACTTGCTTTCAGACTGAATTCGGTCGGATGTACCAAAATTCAGGACTTTTTGACTGACATTGGCAATTTGGTGCATAATTAACCCGAAATCGGTAGAGGATATATATGAACCGATGTTGATAAAATTTGGCAGAGGTATTTCTGGGCTGTATCTAATAACTGGTACCCGATGTCATTCTTGTGGGGTGCGAATGTGAGGGACTTAAACACCAAATCGGATGAAACATACATATGGGAGCTACAGCTATATTCGATCCGATTTTCTACGAATTCTATGTACTTGCTTCTAGGCTGAATAGGGTCGGATGTACCAAAATTCAGGACTTTTGGACTGATATTGGCTATTTGGTGCACAATTAACCTGAAATCGGTTCAGGATATATATGGGAGCTATATCCAAATCTGAACCAACCTTGATACAATTTGGCAGAGGTATTTCTGGGCTGAATCTGATATCTGGTATCAAATATCATTATTGTCAAATTAATATTACGCTTTTTAAGGACTTACAACCCCAAATCGGATAAAACATATATATGGGAGCTATAGCTATATCGGAACCGATTTTCTCCAAATTTGATGTATTTGCTTCTAGACTGAGTTCGGTGCGATGTACCAAAATACAGGTCAGTTGGACTTATATAAGCCATTTGGCGCACAATTAACCCGAAATCGATTGAAGATACATGGGAGCTATATCTAAATCTGATCCGATTGTCACCAATTTCAATAGGGAGATATTGTTTGCAAAGTTTCATCTCATTGGGTCTATGAGATAGGGAGATATTGTTTGCAAAGTTTCATCTCACTAGGTCTATCTCGCTTCCTTCTCCATGTTACAAACAAATGCACAAAGACATAATACCCTTACCACTATGTGGTGTTGGATATAAAAAGGCACCACTCTCCAAAGCGATTGGAGGCGAAGCTAATAAGAGGAGGAAATCAAAGCCTGCTAACCTTTCGAAATCGATTTTGAGGAGTCCATTAGTTGATTCATCAACGCAACAGATGGGCAGGCCAAATCAACCACGACGAAAGGTACAGTGAGTGGACATAAGGTTGTCTTAAAGGAAGGAAGCAGCATCAAAGGTAACCAAGTCCCCCTTCCAGCCATTGGCTATTAAGAGGATGCTGTCAGCAACCCAAGGCGAAGTAAATGGTAGCGACACAGACGGTACAACAGTCCGTCTCTTATGCTTCGGGGGAGGCACAAAAGCATAGTGGGAACCACACTAACGGGAACGCTAAAGCCGTTCTTGACGGCAATGCTTCGCATTAACCTTTTGACCCATTAACCTTGTGACCAGATTATTAAGCTGCTCAACACATGGTACCGGATTACCTTAGAGTAGCAATCATTGATCAGGCTAAACCCATTGGGTTCAGTTTCCTCGGGAATCACCGATCAAATGAGTCCATTTACAGGGTGAGATAAAAAAAACTGCAACAAAGTCAAATGCCATAATTTCTATTTTATTATACCCTACAACACTATGTGTTGGGGGTATTATAAGTTTGATTGGGCCAGAATTTATGTAACACCTCGAAATATTGGTTTCCCATATAGGAAAGTATATATGGATCTTCCTAGCTCGCCGAGCTGAGTCGATCTAGCTATGTATGTCCGTCCGTCCGTCTGTCCGTCTGTCCGTCTGTCCATGTTAATTTGTAATCACTCTACAGGTCGCAATTATGGTCCGATCTTCACGAAATTTAAAATGGAGGCGGGGCTAGGGTCAGAATAGAACCCTATTTCTTTTGGAGATGATCGCATAATATTTAGGGGTCGAAATGGACCAAATACTGAAAAAATATGGAATTTTGCAGTAGCTATACAGGTCGCAATTATAGACCAATCGACGCGGAATTTCGCATGTAGCTAGAGTTTAGGGCAGGGAAGAAGCCTACCAATTAGGGTGGTCATCGGATAATATTTAGCGGGTAAAATAGACCATATATTTTGTGTTGAAAAAATTCAACATTTTTCATTAAACCGCGAATATTTTAAATCCCGGCGAAATCACGAAGCCATGACAAGGTTACTCCTGACCTTTACATTGATGTTAACATCCAACAAATCGGATATATAGCGAAATATGTGCGATATATATGTCTATCAAAGAAGATATGCTTGAAAGATCTCTTATATGTCGAGAACGGCTGAACTGATTTCGACAGTTCACATTAATTCAGAATGGCCTCTTGGCAGGAAAGAAAAAACGTCTAAAAAATCGCATAAAAATATCTCTATGAAGATGAAAATATTGATTTTTTAAAATTTTCTCATATTTTTTCAATTTTGTCATATTTTTGGCATATTTTCATTTTGAATTAAACATTTGGTAATATTTCTACAGCTAACAAAACTAAGTAGTTAGGATATCAAGATATCATATACAGATCGCATTTATGGCCCGATCTTTACGAAAATTTGCATGGGTATAAGATGAGGGTCAGAATAGATGCCTACTCTTTTTGGAGATGATCGCAATATTTAGGGGTTGAAATGGACCAAAAAACTGCAAAATTGTCAGCAGGTCGTAATTATCGCCCGATCCTCACGCACATTTGAATGGGGGTTACCGGACATTGCAAAAGCCAAGCAGTTTTGGATGGCCATCCAAAAACATTCAATGTGCGAAATAGTTTGCCAAAAAATACAAAAATGTTTATTCCAAGGACTCTTTGGAGAATTCACAAATACGGGAAAGACGCACTCCAGATCTAGGAAGACCATTTACGTGCAACATCTACCAATAAATTGGAAATGAGGAAATCAGTTTAAGTTGCTATTATTCGAAAATTAGAGAACGAAACCTGATGGTTTTCTTTTATTATTTGTCACAATATCGTGTGGAATTCTTTCGAGTATCTCGCCTATATAAATAGTATCGTTTATTATAGTGTTGTAGGGTATTCAACGGTCGGCCCCGCTCGACTGTAGCCTTTGCTTACTTGTTTTTTTAATTTTATTGAACGAAAGCAAAAAATGTCGGAAATAGCATCAACTTTTAAAATAAGTTTAGATTTGTTTAAATTGGTCACCTTTGGCACGAATTATGGCCTTCAAATGGCCAATTAAACAATCACAACCTGCCCGAATGTTACTCTGCTGTATTTTTGGCCAATCAGCGGCGAAGCGCTTGCTTGAGTGATCGACACTTTGGTATTTTTTAGTGCCAACCTTGCTTTCCAAAATACTTCACCCACAATAGTCCAACTGATTGGTATGCGGAGTTTTTGGTGGCATTGTGAGCTGGAAATGAAGCAAGGAATCTCATTTTGTAACCAGTCTTGGGTGTCGCGTGCTGAGCGCGATGTTGCTGACTTCTGTTGGAATGTCCAAGGTCTGCGGCCAAAATGTTTGCATGCCCAATGCTTTAATACACCCTCCAAATATTTTCGCCATAATATTCGGCATTTATTCTGATGCCACGATCGATTATAACGAGCGGAGAGCGACCATTGGCTGTTATGGCGGCCCACACCATCACCTTGGCCGGCGCTTGAGTTCTGGTGGCCAACCGAAGGTACACATTTTCAGCAGACCTCTTTGGCAAGAAAACACGATCATTTTGTTTGTTTACAAACTGCCGGACAACGAATGTTTTCTCATCGGAGAAAACCAAATTCGGCAGTTCATCACTTTCGGCCAAGCGAAGCAAGTCTTTAGCTCTTTTAAGTCTTTTTTTTTTCTGTTGCGGTGTAAGTTCTTGCACTTTTTGGAATTTCAATGGCTTTTACGCCGAACTCATTTTTCAATATTTGCCGAATGGAATATTGCGATATGTTCATCTCACGAACCATTTTTCGGCCACTGCGACGCGGGTTTCGATCAAGTCGCTTCTTTACTTTTCAAACCATTTCTGCTGATGTTGCTGTTTTCTTCCGTCCACTTCCTTGACGTCGGGCTATGCCACCAGTATCACGAGACACAAAAGATTTATTCACATTTAAATGCTGGAGTGCTCTAACGATAGCCACTTGTGGTTTCCCGGCCAAATATAAAGAAATCACACTAACACGCTTGAATTCCATCACGAATAACTTTTTTTCTGGAAAGTTGTCAACAAAATGCTTTTGTACGCCTGTAAACTAAAAAAAAATGAGCTGTCACTGGAAAAATTTTAACAGCTGTCGGACGAGTGGCTTAGAAATGACAGCAGTCTGAAGTTGGTTGAAGTTTTTTCATCTCACCCTGTGTATCTACTCCCAACTCTAGATCTCAAGTTACACATGATTTAGTTTAGAATTGTGGTCAATACGTTAAAAATACCGAACGATCAGGAAGTAACGCTATATGGGAACCTTGCCGAAATGTGGACCAACATGTCCCAATTTTTAATACCAAACATACTAAGCTCTGAGCACAATTTCAATTTCAGCGAAAGAATGCTTCCCTGAATTCATCTCCGTTTTTTGGGGAACTCACCCCACTGTGCGACACAGGTGGGAACAACCATGGTACAATGAACTTTTAAAAAATTGCAAGTATAAACCTGTTTGGCTTGTAATGTCAGAATTACTATCAAAACAAAAAAAAAACCAAACAACTTGCTGAATTTATTTTGAATACATTATTGAAAACCGCAAAAATTTAATGAAAGTTCCAAATTTATTTTCAAAATCATGTTCTATATATTACTACAGGTTTATTTCGCTACAAAAACTGTAGATTTTGTCGATGCATACGTTGCAATAAGCATTTGAAAACATCCGAATTTGAATATATTCTGAACAATTTATTTATTATTGAAATAAATACACACACATTTGCAAATAAAGCTGACATATTAAGCCAAGAAAATGAAAAATTTAAATCATATGGTATCATAGCCCTACCTTGATTTTATTGTACCATGGGTACAACCATCGTAGAATTATAAGGTAACCCTATCAGGCCAGCTGGTGGCAACTTGATATGCCAAACAAATTAGTTGTGTTCCAGAACCTGCAAATTAGTACTAATTAGCACTAATTCTGCTACAACGCGTTCCCGTACTCCAAAAACTAGCAAAACTTGCAGCTCTCTCGAGAAAAAAATGGCGCTGAGTGGTGCACATTTCTGCTTGTTTTAGCTACATGAATTTGGCCGAGCAGAAATGTGCAAATTGTGAATTTGACATTTAATTGGCAGGGCTAACAAGGTTGAAAAATGTATTGATACATTTCAAAAAAGAAAATGATCAACTTGAAAACTAAAGGAAAAATTAATATTTGTCGTGCAAAAAACAAAAAGAGAAAATATGGAGCAACTGATGTATTCACTTTTGGATGATTCCAGCAGTGAAGAGGACTGGCTGAATGAGGAATCAGATTATTAATTATTATTATAAATTATTAATTTTAACTTATCGTCTTCAATACTCATTTTTTAAATGTTGGCGCTCTTTTCAGTAAGGTTTCACCAGTCCGATTTAGGCTGTTTATTTTTGGAATTTTGAATTTTGACATTTTATCGCATTTCTGCTAATTTTCCGTTCCCTTATTTTTTGAGCAAACCTAAATGAGAATGACATTTCGAACTGTTCTCTCTTCAGCTAGTTTTACTACTAAAAAAGTACTGGAACACAACTTATTTTAAGACATAAGAATCGAACTCCCAGATGTCCTCATAAAACAATTAACATTATGTGGCTTGAATATTTTAAATAAATGACCAGAGTGAAATCGAAGTACGATTTTATTTAGGATTCCATATCCATTAGCCACACACAAGCATCAATGTATACACCACATTTTAAGACATTGCCTGTTTCTACCAATACAAAGACCCTAGAATCCCAGATAGAATTCAACAATCTCCAAAGACTTTCTTTGAATGTTTATGTGAATCGCACAAATCGAGTTGAGTAGTTTGCCAAAATTGTGATTGCACCAAATATGCCTTATTTGGAGGGTAACTAGCCGCAATTGGATTTGTTTTTTGTCCGGGCGGCCAGAATTTTGTCGCAAAGCCGAAACCAAATGTCACAACACACATCACAACGACCATTGATAACTGATCTACAAGAGAGATATGTAAAACAAGTTTACAATGAGCTTAAGATATCCATGCACATTAGTACCTGGGGAAGTCGAAGAACATTTTTCCCACATTTATATCCGATTTGGAGAATGCTTACTATGATAAAAATGATACGCACAACGTTGATAGAGTTAACTGAAATCTTCTATGACAATTCGCAAAATCTCACAAGTTCTATGCAAATCTAAAATGTTTACAATTTTAATAAAAGATAACAAAATTGTTTGTATTTCAAAATGTAATTTTCTGATTGGTACAAACCAATTTGCCTCAAATTTTATACGTCAAGTAAATTCGCTTTGCTTACAAATTTGACATATCAAGTTTCCAGAAAATTTGCTTTGTTGTAATTTTCGCCTATGTTGCTACCTGGTATTTCTACCATGGGTACAGCGGTACGTCTCGTATGCTTCGTTATGTTTGGGTTCAGTTTCCTCGGGAATCACCCATCCATTAAGTCCATATTTATATCTCAGGAAAAACAAAATCCATTTTTTTTATTAGAGCATTTATTGTTGAAAGTTTTGAGATTATTTTTAATGAAAATGTACATAATAATATGTAAGTATGTATGTTTAATATTCAAGATTGAGTTTTTTTTTTTTAAAAAAAAAAAGAAGAAATTTTCAGATTGAAATTTGAGTTAAGAGAATTAGATTGCGTTTAACTACATTTTATATTTACAATGAATTGATTTGCTGCTAGATTAGTTTACGTTACATTCTTAATACTTGTAATACAATTGCAAATGCCTTTAGTGGACAATACTTAAATGTTAAAATATTTACATAGATTTTTTTTTTTTTTTTTGTTTAATATTAAAAAAACGATAATTGTGTATTTATGCAAAGGCATAATGCACTTGTTTACTTTTTGTAAAACTAAAGATATGGACAAAAAGATATCACACATATCAGTAAAATTGATGATGACTGCACAAGTATAGTATTTGTTGTTATATGACACAATAATGATAAAAATGGCATTTTAAGTTAAAAACACATGACAATGAAAGATTTGCGAGAAAAAAGTGCAGTGTTTTGTTATTAAGTGAAATGTGTGTTCATTGCCTATCGATCGAAATATAATAGTTTATAAAAAAATTGTGCTTATCAAATGCTTCCATTTACATAAAAAAATCTATAAAATACCAACAAATTAACAACAAATTTGTGTTTGAAACAATACGCTCGTCCACATGTAAATCGTTATCTACATTTCCTTAATTAATTTAAAAATACATAGCTATATGTATATTGCATACCTTTTGGTTTTTGTTAAAACAAGATTTGATATAATGTCTAATTATTGATTTTTATGGTAAAAATCATAACTCTGCCTAATTCCAAAGTTTGTAAACTAAAAATATTTTTGGTTCTTCTTTTTTTTTTGAACAAAATGTCTAGATTCTTGTCGAATTTCATCTTTTAATATTTGCTAATTTATATACATCACTTTTAGGGTCAGGAGCCAAGGTACTCCAGGATGTATCTCTACATAAGGGCAGCATTTCTAGGGATGCAGTAGACAATTTGGTGGCATCTTCATTAACTGCACATGTTTCCCGAAAATGATGGAATTTTCCCGTCAAATCGTCTACCCATTCATTTAGTTGTTCTCCAGTACGTAGGGCATTCCTTAGGGCAAGGTTCTTTAGCTGCAACGATTCTTCGTGGCCAGGCAAATATTGTATCCATTCCTCAGGCAGAGAGAAATCTTCGGACAGTGTTAAGCCATCACCGGCGTTAATGAGGCGCGCTCTTTCCGTCTGAATGGGTTGGTGGTTGTAAAATGCCAAGGGTGTTACCAAGAATTTAGTTTGAGCATAGATGGCAGAACGTCCAATCAATTTCACCGTCCATATTCCCGGGCACAATGGCTGTTTCAATATAGCCTTTGAATAGTTTATATTATCGGTTTGTGAATCCTCAATGTGCAGCTCATTAAAGTCCTGCAAACGGCCCATTGGATCTATCCACAACAATGTCAAGTTGTAGGAGTGTGAAGTATCCTTGGGCGAGTGCGAAGCTGAACCCACAAAGGTAAACGTTAAGACCAAATCGGTATATGGACCTAAAAACTTATGATAATTCCTAGAAACTTGCTCCTTCTGATCATAGTCACTGGATATTTCAAAGTTTTTCAGTCGTTTGGCAAATTTCGAATTTTTAGCAAATTTGGCATATTGTACTGGTCGTATACGAGATTCCAATTCATATGTTTTATTTTTAACAGCATCAGTAGTTTTAAACCTCAGCAAATATCCTTTGTACTGATCACTGTGCATATAATGGTTGAGTTCTAAAATTACACCCTGTTTGGTGTTCCATTGCCTTGACAAACGCCTGACCAAACTTTCGGCAATTGTCAATGTCAGATCATCTTGTTTTGTGGGCTTATCCTCGATATTGTAAAAACTTTGCCAGTAACTATGTAAATTCAGGGCATCCGTTGGATATGGGCCGTACAGCCATTCTTCGAGTTTCAATATAATGGCTTGATTTATGATCGGTTCAAATTTGCGAGCAAAAAATAACATTTTGCTTTCAGTATTCTGTAGACGTGTCCAGTCTTCGGGCTTAAAATCATTTGGACTACAACCACACCAATCGACCACATGCTTATATTGACATTTGCAACCCAATTTGCGCTTCCAATTGGTGACATGTAAATTGTTATCGACATAGGTTCCACAAAATTTAGAATTTCTTAGAACGGTGTGGAAGAACGATTCAGCCGGCAGAAGGGTGTGCCTAAAGATGATCATTAGCCCCTTAAGTAACTCATCGCTATCTTTATTTTGTATAACATATTCGACAAAAGGCCTTGATAAACCGATCCAGTCGGAACCACCATCTATTTGTATGCCTGTGGGCAGTTTACGATCTCCAATCCGCCACATATGGGTATCACATTCAACGAAGGTTTTGTCCAAACCTTGCTTTTGTATAAATCTTTGGGTTTCCCTTCCATGACCCTTAACAAAGTTTCGATTACGATTGGCCCATAAAAATTCTTCCAATTTTTCAAGTTTCTTTACGGGAAAATCACTTTCGCTTAAATTGATTACAAAATCCCATTGATATGATGAGTTCAGGAGATCATGCATGCACTGCATTAGCATGGTAAGTAGGGAGGCCCCACCCCATATGGTGGAGAAACGTTTGCGTGCCAATCGAATGTTTGTAAATTTCTTTTCCAATTCCAACAGATTTCGATATAAATAATCTTGACGCTACAAAGGAGAGGAAAATGTTATTGTTATTGTATTTCAGTGTAAAACATCTTGCTTACCTCATCTATATGAATGTAGTAAACATGCCTGGTATGATACAACGATTTCAATAAACGATGTACCTGCCGCAGAGCACGTCCATTTAATGTTAAGAGAAATGCAATTCTAATGTTATCCTCATCAGTTGCGTTACGTTTAACCCCACTTTCAGCTATTTGAGCAGTGAACTCTGAAAATAAGATGAACACATATAGAAGAAACAAAATTATAATAATAATAATAATAATAATAATAATAATAATAATAATAATAATAATAATAATAATAATAAATGATATAAATTATGGCAAAACCGACATGAATTTTGCATTTAATTGGGTCACATGCCTACATCTTTTTAATTTCAATAGTAATGTTCATCATTGCAGCAAACTTGTTTTTTGAAGATTCTGGCGTATCGCTCATGTGACATTGATGTACTTGCTTCTAGCCTGAATTCGGTCGGATGCACCAAAACATTTGAACTGATATTTGTCCTTTGGTGTACAAATAACTCGGTTGAAGATATATATGGGAGCTATATTCAAATCTGAACTGATCTTGATAAAATTTGGCAGAGGTATTTCTGGGCTGTATCTGATATCTGATACGAAACATCATTCTTGTGGGATGCATATTACGAATGTGCGGGACGTAAACCCCAAATCGGATGAAACCTATATATGGGAGCTATAGCTATATCTGAACCAATTTTCTCCGAATTCAATGTCCTTGCTTCTAGTCTAAATTCTGTTGGATGTGCCAAATTTCAGGTAATTTGCACTTATATTGGCCATTTGGTGCACAATTAATCCAAAATCCGTTGGAGATATATATGGGAGCTATATCTAAATCTGATCTTTTTATCACCAATGCCAATAGGGTTCGTCCTTGGGCCAAACAAATGTTGTTTGGAAAATTTCATCTCAATCGGATAATAAATTCGACCTGCATTTAGTTGACAAGAATACATACTACATGGCCTAAATCGACTCAGAAAGTGATTCTATGAAGATCCTCAAAAGTAACTTCTCTCTTCCTTCTCCATGTTACCAACAAATGCACAAAGACTAATACCCTTACCACTATGTGGTGTAGGGTATAACAATGCATAAATCGTCGACTCAGAATGTATTTCTGTGCAGGTCACCAAAATGGACTACATGTTTATGTAGCTCCCTTTTGTATGTTACAACTGGAGTGAAAAAAGATGTATGTAATTTGTTTTTATAGAAATGAAAATAAAAAGGATATTCTCGTTATGTATATAAAAATAAACAACATCTCGGTCACAGTATTGAACAATCCCTAACTGTTATATTTCGTAATGCTTACATTTTAAGCTAAATTTGACTACAGCCAAAATTAAATAAATATTAAGCATATTTGTAGCACTTGATTAAGTGGCATAACTACATTTTGCTTACTCTAGACAAAATAAATCTGAATAAGTGTTGAACAGAATTGCTGCCCGTATATAAGACAATTAAGTCTAACATACAGTGATTGCATGCTTAGTATTTAAACGAAATATGATACGAATTCATAATTAAAAGCATAGTTGGAAAGTCATGGATGATAATTATGCTGTACGTCATTTTTAATGAAACAAAGAGAATGTCTCCTCTACGAGTGGAGCTTAAAATGACCTAAGGGGACGGCATTGAAAATTGAAATCTAGAAAAGTCGCAATCATCAACCAGTATGCGACGGATTTCGCCATTGATTAAGCTGATCATTATTAGATGCTATTTTAGTGGCTAGAGGAAATTTTGGAAAATTCCATTTATGCATAATCATTTGATAAATACATACCAATTTTCAAAAAAAAATTAAATCCATTAAAAATTCTGTTAAAATCTTAAAAATATCAAAGCATATTAGATTTAGTCAGATTAGATTCAAAACGACTACGTGGACCTGCATAGGCAATTTTTGTCATAAGCCATTAAAATATTCAAATGCGAAACTTGAAAAAAAAATTCGGTGAATAATGTAGCTAAAATCATCAATATAGGGAGGTACTATGATATTTAGGCTGTACCAAAATGTGGAGCTGCACAGACGATTTTCTGCCTTAGGCTGCAGTATCCATTACGAACTTCAAACAATTCCGATGAATAACGTCGCTAAAGTCATCAAAATGCCGAATATTGGGAGGTACCGTTATATGGGGGCTATACGAAGACGTGGACCTGCACAGACAATTTTCTGTCATAGGCTGTAGTATTCATTACGAACTTCAAATACCAAATTTAAAACAATTCCCGTCAATAATGTGGCTAATATTATCAAAATACCGAAATCGGAAGGTACCGTTATATGAAGACTATACAAAGACGTGGACCAGCACAGACAATTTTCTGCCATAGCTGTAGTATTCATTACAAACTTCAAATACCAAATTTGATACAATCCCCGTCAATAATGTCGCTAACATTATCAAAATGCCGAATATCCTCCCGATTACCGTTATATGGGGCTATACCAAAACGTGGACCTATATGGCCCATTTTCAATACAAAAGGTCCTGCATACATAATATACATATGACTAAAATTTTATCAATCTACTTAATTTTGTTCGGAAGCTAGAGTGATACATACGGACAGATGGACGGACATCGCTAAATCGACATAGAATTTTATGCTGATCAAGAATACTTATGTATACTCATTACAAACTTCAAATACCAAATTTGATACAATCCCCGTCAATAATGTCGCTAACATTATCAAAATGCCGAATATCCTCCCGATTACCGTTATATGGGGCTATACCAAAACGTGGACCTATATGGCCCATTTTCAATACAAAAGGTCCTGCATACATAATATACATATGACTAAAATTTTATCAATCTACTTAATTTTGTTCGGAAGCTAGAGTGATACATACGGACAGATGGACGGACATCGCTAAATCGACATAGAATTTTATGCTGATCAAGAGTACTTATGTATACTTTGTGGGGTCTAAAATGCATATTTCGAGGTGTTACAAACGGAATGACAAACTTAATATACCCTCCATACTATGGTGGCAACATTTCAAAAAGCATTTCTGTTATTTCCGACATCTTCGACAGTCATCAGAGATCGTCTAAAAATTTCTTGCAGCACAATTAGCTCCTTAGATCGCAATGAGTTCTATTTTAAATTTTTCAATTATTTTCAGTTTCATAAAATGCCTTTCTCGTTTCGTTAAGGATACTTTAAAAAATACTTTTCTTGTCTCGTTAAGGATACTTACTTGCAATTCCTGTTTCATATATATTCATTGCAAAATATCCACCACAAATTGCTTGCTGATCACCGGAACACTTCATATTACACGTAGAATCGGGCAATTTAGACGCTTCTGGTGGTGCATCATAGCCACAAAAACATTCTGTACTATATTGCACTCCAGCATATGGATATCCAGATTGCAGACAAAGTTGAATACATTTCTCTACAGTATTCGATGTTTTGAAATTTACAAAATATCCCGACAGAAGACGAAACTTCTTTTCATCTCGAAAACAACCCAACAGATTGTTGGCAGTATGATTGCTCGGACAATAGCTTGGCAAAGTTTTCGGGTAGAATTTTCGTGATTGTATTGCACAAGCAATGCCAGCGATATGTTGGCGGCAGTCTTTGGTTTTTGCCCTCTGCAGGGCTGATATGGCATCTTTTGATATAATATCACATGGCGGTACAAAACCCAATTGTTGTGGTGAGATTAATGTGGCCGTGGCTAGGGTATCGCCATTCAAGTCCACATTGTTTGATGAAAAGGAGGATGAAGCTGATTGCTGCCTTTTATTACCTAATAATGAAGGGTTGTTGGAATCTTCATCATCACCTGTGCTATCAGCCCCTGTGGCGGATTTCGCCTTTATATCAGTCAATGATGATTGCCCCAAGTATGTTGCATCCTCGTAGCTGGCACTGTTAGATAGACTCAGTGACTTGTAGGCCAAAAATATTTGTATTCCAAATATAATGAAGCCCACAACAAAGAACACTTTATACCGACACACAAGACGCCAGACAAGATTTTCGGCCATTGTGTCCTGTAGACGCTACCGTATCACGCGCACAATTCACAACCGTAACAACAATGATAAGACGAGACGTTGCAGCTTTTATTATTTATTAATAAAAATGAACAATTAAGAATTATCATGACCGGAGGAGTTGATTAAAACGAAACGTTCTATATTAACATGCAAAACAAACGAGAAAAACAACAACAAACGGGACAAGGTGAGGCCGGAAAATACTATACGGATCGGATTTAGAATTATATTGCTATCTTCTTATCCAGTTATAAATGTAGTATTCATTGTTTTATCGGCAATTTTTTAATTTGGAAGATAAGAAGAAACACTTTTCTCGCAAGAATCAGACTGATATTGACAGCTCTATTTATTGTTGTATGGCAACAGTGATGGCAAATTATTTCAGTGTGGGCAAAATATTAGTACACTTATCTGGCGTTTACACAAGACAAATTGTCTGTAATCATAGGTTTTACCATGGTACAATAAAAAGTAAGGTAGAGCTACCAGCTGATTACAATTTTTTTCTAAGTGTACCCGATTTCTGTCAATTTTGTGCATGTACTTATTGTTTTGAAAAATTAATACAAATTATTTTCATAATCAATGATTGAAAGAAACGTACATTGCAGGACTTGCATTAAAAACATTAACCAGTTGTGTCATGAAATTCTACAATTCAATAGTTTGGATGATTCTTTTTGAGAGAAAATAGACACATTTCATAATTTTTTCGCGTTTTTTAAATAAATATCAATATTTATCAAATAAATGAAAACAACTTATTGCATATAATTTTGAATGAGTCTGACAGGAAGCGGGCATAGTCTCAGGGCTGTATTTCTATAGTTTTTCGAAGCTGTTTTAACTCCTTATTGTACCATGACTTTAACTACCATGGTGGAAGAATATAGGTAGATGCATGCATGGTACAATGAAGAGAAGGTAGGTCAACTTTGAAAAAATTGCAAGTATAGAGGTCTACCTGTTTGGCTTGTAATGTCAAAATTAGTATCAAAAAATAAAAAATCAAACAACTTGTTGCATTTATTTTGAATAAATAATTGAAAACCGCGATAACTGAATGAAAGGATAACACTTCTTTTCAAAATCATGTACTATATATCTCTAAAGAATTGTTTCGCTACAAAAACCCTTGGTTTCTTCGATTTTTTTGTCATTGAAAAGGAAACACATACATAAACAAATAAAGATGACATATTAAGCCAAGAAAATAATAAAATTAAAATCATATGGTATCATAGCCCTACCATGGTACAATGATATCAAGGTAGGGCTATGATACCATATGATTTTATTTTTTTTATTTTCTTGGCTTAATATGTCATCTTTATTTGTTTATGTATGTGTTTTCATTCAATAACAAAAAAATGTCCAGAAAATATTCAAATTCGGGTATATTCAAAATGTTTATTTCAACGTATGCATCGAAAAAATCTAGAGTTTTTGTAGCGAAATAATCCTTTAGAGATATATAGTACATGATGTTGAAAAGAAGTGTTGGCCTTTCATTCAGTCATCGCGTTTTTCAATTATTTATTCAAAATAAATTCAACAAGTTGTTTGATTTTTATTTTTTTTTTTTTTCAAAATCATGTACTATATGCTGCTCATTAACGTCGAAAATATGTATTTGTTATGTATTTGTTATGCATTTGAAATAAATTCAAATTATTCTATTTTTTACAAAACAATGTGTATGTGCTTTGACAGAATAAGGGCACCAAAAGAAAACAAGTAAAAAAAGCTGAAAGTACCAAAACGTGTACCTGCACAGACAAATTTTTGCATAGGCTGTAGCATGGCAGAAGAATACAGGTAGATGCATCAATGCTTGGGAGCATTGATATGTCAAAAAAATTTAAATGTTTTTTTCAAATATAAGTAGATTTTCATATACTTTCATATACTACATCATTTTGAGGCTATTATAATTCGCGTTTTTCAACAATTTTTACAAATTTAAATAATTTTTCATTCAACATTTTCAATTCCAAAATTGGTTTGACAGTTCATTGTTCAAGCAGCTGTGTCGACGCGTCTACCTATATTCTTCTACCATGGGCTGTAGTATCCATTACGAACTTCAAATACTAATTTTGAAACAAATTCCGGTGAATATTTTTACTAAAATCATCAAATACCGAATATCGTGAGTTACCGTTAAATGAGATACCATTAAATGCAAAAATCTACTACTTTTTTTTAAAGAACGGATCAGTTTTATTTTTCTTATTGGGGACAGTTTTTTCCATAAAAATTTGCAAATTCTCTTAAATGTCAAAATCTATTTCTCAATTCACTTATACCCACTTACTAGTCTTTTGGGTAAACGAACAACAATTTGTAAAAATTATCGAGAAAACGAATACTCCTACTTTTAATTTTTTTATAATGTTCGGTGCGGAGGAGAACCTGGTAGATTCTTCTATTTTTGCATATTACCTGATATATAGACACATTTTATCTGAAATATGGAAACACACACATATTAGGTCTGTTCTCGAACTTCAAGATCGATAACTGATTTTCCCTCCTATGATATCGAAAAAATGCAAAAATAATAGATTCTTATAGGTTCTGGAACAGAGCAATTGATATTTCAGATGTGTAAACACTAGTTTAGATATCATCTAATATGCAATCATGATTTTCTTTGTCTCTTTCGTAAACAAATGTTTTACGCATTCTTTCTGTCTCCTTAAGAACTATTTCTCACAGTTCATTTTAATGAATAACACTTTGAAATTGCCCGTCCCAAGAAAGGCACAACAACTCTGCAAAGACGTTTGTTATAATTTATTAATTTACAAATTGTGAAATATAGTAATAAAATAAAAAATTGTGCTGTTCAAAGGTCAACAGTAGAGACACAGTATGGTAGATCCTAATCGTAAAATAAATCGCTTGACCGACAGTGACTTGGAATTCTTGGAGGAATGTGAGCGTGAATTCGGATTACGATACTCTGAAGAAGACGCTGAATTTATGGAGCATTGCTCCAAACCATTGCCTGATCCACCTATTGTAGAGAACTGGTCGTCTGGTGGCGATGGGGGTCGTAACCACAATCAGCATCGGGGTGGCAATCGCAATCAAAGGGGATGGCGAGGAGGCCCAGGTGGTGGTGGGGGCGGCAATAATCGCAATTATAGACACAGAAGAGGTGGCCGTGGAGGTGGAAATCGATTCCAAAATGGCTATGAATCCAGAGGTAGTTCACAACATAATTATCGCCGAGAGAGAGATCCCTATCCAACACAACCTCCAATGAATGTAAGGAGAGACTATGGGAATTTTGTGGCGGCATCAAAAGATTGAATGGAAACACTAGTTTAGCAATCACACAATAGTAAAATTATAAATAATGCGAACATTTTTATAAAACAATAACTCTATTAAAACAAGACAAAACAATAATAACTCTATTAAAACAAGATTTATGTATGTAACATTTCAACCCAAACAAATAGGGTTTTTTTTAACTAAATGTAAAAATTTCTATATTTGCTAAATTTGCTTTTTTGTCAAAAGAACTCTTAGACATGGACTATATTGTAAAAAAATTATAAACATGCGAAAATTAAGGGCTTCCCTATAGTGGGTGGAAACATGCATTTTAATATTTATAACTATACAAAAGAAGTAAAATAGTGTCAGTCGGTTTTGCCGACAGATGTATACCCTCAGCCTATGTTCGATTGCTTAAATATATTTTAAAGTGTGTTATAATTATTCAAACTGTTGACCCTGAATGGGCTAATATTGTCCATTTCGTATAGGACCTAAATGAATATAATATATAAATATGATAATGAATATAATATATTAATATCAGAACTAGGGTTAATAAAAATATTGGTATGTGTGAAATTTCGAGACAATCGGACTCTTACATCACATTTTCTAGGAGTAATAATTATTTAAAATTTTGACCCTTTGTGGGGGAGGTACCAAAAGGAGTGACCCGATATTGATCATTTTCACATCGGACCTAGCACTGATAATAGGATTTGCAAAGTTGGAGCAAAATCGGATAATCCATTCTCTTTCTGTGCAGTAAATTATTCTTTTTTAATGTTGACATTTTGTTTGGGAGGTTCCAGAAGGAGTGGACCCATATTTTCCATCTCCGAACTCGATCTAAGTTTGACAATAATATTACGATGTACCAAGTTTGGGACAATTCACAGAGTTATCGCGCGCACCAGCCACCCAGACAAACATCGCTAGATCGACTCCAACTGTCAAATAGGATTTGGTCCAAAGAGACCTACGGTCTAAAACCGTTATTTCGATGAGGTACGTTTTGTATCAAATGATATATACCCTCTCTAGCCATATGGCTGAGAGTATAAAAATACGGTTCGCGGTTGAATGGTTATTATCGAATTTTTAAAACTCTGCTTGGGGAGATAGCAAGCTTGGTGGGTCGATCAAAACATAGTTGCTCTGTTCCAGAACTGCACGAATGTACAAATTTTTACTACGATAACCGAATTTTCCTTTATGATATCGAAAAAATTTCAAAAATAGTAGAATATTCCAGGTTTTGGAACAGAGCAAGTATTGTAAGGTAAGGTTTTTACTACGATGGAACAGACCAATAATTTCAAAAAATTGGGATTTAATATTATTCACTTTAATTATCAACACGCAGAAACAAAAATAGGTTCTGTCAAAGTGGAATTTGGCACATAAGTTGGCAATATTGTAATAACCAATATCCTTAATTTATTATTTTTTTAAGTTTCTTTGCTATTCACGTTTAAAACGCAATTCATCATTGTAATAATTAACGCGATAAACTTCTTTCACTGCATTCATTTTCATTGGTAACCAAATGTTCTACATCTTCAATTATAAAAAAAATATGTATAAATTATTACACTCTATATATCTAACTAAAGTTATGTATAATAATTAGAACTATATCCCTTAATTGCTGGCATGACTTAAATATTTAAATCTTCGTCGGGATCTTCATCATCAAAATCGTCGGCAGCATCGGGAGTGTAAATAATGTTGCTCTCAGTGGCTTCCAATGCCCTGCAAAGAATAATAAATTGCGAAAATAAGTCGGTTGCATTTGTTTTTTAAATTTTACATTATTTACTTTTCATAGGGCATTTTCATGGCATTTCGCGCCATAATTTCCTCTTCATCCAATTCGATTTTAAATGTTCCAATTTGTTCTTTTTTGTCGCTATCCATATCGGCTGCGTTGGCATTCTTTGACACAGCATCAGACTTCTTTAATTGGACCATAAATTCCTTTTTAGTTTTGGTATATGTATAACGGTTATTTGTAACTCCGCCGCCGGGTTTTCTTGTTAAAACCGTTAGCTCCTTATTCGTTTGCAGATTCAATACAATGTCTGCCATATATTCACAAGCAGCGACTAAAAACAATGCATGATCGTTGAGCAGATGCTGCTTCGAAATCCAAAGAAACGTTCTTTTAGTATTTTCGTTTTTCTTCAGCTTGTTTAGACAACAGAAGATTTCGCAAGGTTTTTGATATGCCAACCAATCGGAAAGATTTGGTAAAATAACGTTCCATTTTTTGCATTCCGATAACTTGGTGCTGCTATTCTCAGCTAGGAATTTTTGCAATTCATTGATACCATCTAACTGACCATTCAAGGGATAGGTTTTTATGAAACCATCTTCTCCTTGTTCTTTGAGAAGTTGTGTAAGAAATTTCTGTGAAATATTCTCTCGACCTACATCATCTAGAATTAAAAAAAACCTTTAGTCAATGGAAATCTCTAACACCAGCAGGATGGCATACAAGGTTTTGTTTCCTTACCAAGAATTACAACAAGTCTTTGAGTTGTTACAATTAAGTTGGACAACATATTCGCACAATTGAATTATGAAAACGTTGATTCATTTGGGGGAGAAATCACCGACGAATGCAAGCTATCACGTTGTGACGGTTTGTTTACATTCACATTCGCTCAATAGGGATCTCTAAGTCGAATTTAAATTTGCGCCGTAAAAAAATCCGAGAAATCAAATTCGACTTCGAATTGTTGGATTGCAAATTCGGAACAAAATTTTACCATTGCATCCATGGTATAATAAAAAGGTAAGGTAGAGCTACCAGCTGATTACAATTTTTTTCTAAGTGTGCCCGACTGCTACCAATTCTGTTTATGTATTTATTGCTTTGAAAAATAAAAACAGAATATTTTCAAAATCAATGATTGGACGACGCGTACATTGCGAGATGTGCGTTAAAGCTAGTCGCCTGTTTTGTTATGGAATTGGAGGATAGAACTGTTTAAATCATATTTTTGGAAGAAAATCCATGCATTTCAATCATTTTTTTCCACTATTTAACTGATTTTAAAAATGAGGAAGTATTTTATTATTTGCAGTTCTGACTTATTTCCTACACATCCATCTATTTTGAACCGTTTTATGTTGTACTGAACTGTAGATCGGCTTCTATTAACAATCTCAGATATCTCACTTAGCGATTTATGGTTTTTGTAATGTTTTATTACAAATGAGGGTATATTAATGACAAAGTTAATATACCCTCATTTGTAATAAAACATTACAACCGTTTGTAACATCCCTAAATATTGTATATAAATTTATAATCAGCATAAAATTCTAAGTCGATTTAACGATGTCCGTCTGTCTGTTAAAATCACGATACAGGCCACATTATTTGACGCAGAGCGTCAAAATTTATCAGAATAATTTGTATTGTGGTCCATGTTTTGGTATAGTACCCATATAATGGTACCTCCCGACATTCGGTATTTTGATGATTTTTGCCACACTTTTTTACGGTCTTGTCTGAAAATTGGTATTTGTAGATCATAATGGGTCCTAGTTCGTGTGGCGAAGCATTTGGTATAGCCCCCATACAACGGTACCTCCCGAGATTCGGTATTTTGATGAATTTTTCCACATTTTCCCACGAATATGTCTAAAAATTGGTGTTTGTGGGTCATAATTGGTTCTAATGTTTTCTTTACCCTAAGGTGGAGGGTATTAAAAGTTCGACCCGATCGAAATTAATGTTTTTTTACTTGTTCATATGTAGAAGTTGCACACATCGTGTGATCCATGGACGACATTTCAGTTTTGAAATACACGAGTAAAGTATATATATATGTACTTTTTCGATCACATCGAGCCCTAATTTCAACGGAAATATATTATTTAATCAAAACTGTTGTTTGTACCTTTTGAAGAAGAAATGTATTAAATGTATTAACAATGGTAAAATTGAGAAGGTAAAGTCATTTCAAATAAACATTCCCATTTCTGTATTTTCTGTAATTTACCTTGTCAAATTGTCAAAACAGGTTCCTATCTCACAAATATACAAGGAGTTATACCCATTTTTAAAATGCCCTATTTCTCATTCTTTAGAAATTGTAAATATATGATTTCTTGACTTTACCTTCTTAATTCTACAACGCTGAAAACACTAAAAAACATGATAAAAAAAGGAACATGTAAAAAAGCTGTAAGTTCGGCTGGGCTGAACTTTGAATACCCTCCATAATTTGGAATGAATTTGGCAATTTTCAAAAAAATAAAATCCGTTACAAATTCTGTTATAATCTTAAAAATACCAAATATAGCCGTTATATTAGGGTCTAAACGACGACGTGGACCTGCATAGGTAACTTTTGTCATAAGCCATTATAATATTCAAATGCAAAAATTGAAAAAAAAAATCGGTGAATAATGTAGCTAAAATCATCAAAATACCGAACATAGAGAGGCTATATGGGGGTTACACCAAAACGTGGACCTGCACAGACAATTTTCCGTCATAGGCTGTAGTATCCATTACGAACTTCAAATACCAAATTTGAAATAATTCCGGTAAATAATGTCGCTAAAATCATGAAAATACCGAATATCGGGAGGTATTATTACGTGGGTGATATACCAAAACGTGGACCTGCACAGAAAATTTTCTGTCATAGGCTGTAGTATCCATTACGAACTTCAAATACCAAATTTGAAACAATTCCGATGAATAATGTTGCTAAAATCATCAAAATACCGAACATCCCGAGGTACCGTTATATGGGGCTATATGAAGACGTGGACCTGCACAGACAATTTTCGGTCTTAGGCTGTAGTATCCATTACTTACCTCAAATACCAAATTTGAAACATTTCCGGTGAATAATGTCACTTAAATGACCAAAATACCGAAAATAGAGAGGTACCATTGGGGCTGTACCAAAACTAGGTCCACATGTTTTTCATTTTCAATACCAAAAATCCTAAAGACATAATATACATTTGAGTACAATTTTATCAACCTGCTTCATTTCGTTCGGAAGCTAGAGTGATTTTCACAGATGGACAGGCGGACGAACATCGCTAAATCGACATAGAATGTTATGCTGATCAAGAATATACTTTATGAGGTCTAAAATGTATATTTCGAGGTGTTACAAACCGAATGGCAAACTTAATATACCCCCATACTATGGTGGAGGGTATAAAAGAAAATAATCAAAACTATAAGCTTTATATTGATGATAATGCAATTTTCGGCAAGCTTATGCCACAAAGGCGAATTGTGGAATTTTGACAGTTAATACATAAACCATGGTAGAACTAAGAAGGTAAAGTCATGAAATCTTATGCCATGTTTACGTTAGAACTTTTTGTAGGGTTAACCTACTTTGAGAGGATTTATTTGAAGTAAAAGTAATGGATATGACATGTAACAACCGTGTTCCAAGAAAATGAACGAAAAATCGCTGTGGTGATCCTTAAGTGGCGTTGCCGGTATGCTGGCGTTTAGCGCGGCTATGGCTCGTCGGATTGGGGGTTGGTTCTTGCCACTTGTAGACCTTTTCGGTTGAACAAACAAAAAATCATACCGGACTTCACACAAAATCTAAAAGGGGGATAAAAGGAAGCCTGAAACATGTCTATAAAAAAAAGAAAAAGAAACCGTTCACCTAAACTACAACCCAAATCCCAAACTTACTTTACTTTATCACCACAGAAAACAGTGCTCCTGGCGGCTGACCAACCAGGAGATATCCCTCCCTCCGAGAACACCTCTCGCCATGACGTCTACTTATCCCTGACGTCCCAGATTTGACCCTTAACTTACCACATTTTATCCCATGGCCACCACCTTTTTAATAGGGCTTTAAGCCGAAAACATATTTATCTTTTCTATAAAAAATTTGTACATTTTATTCAGCCAATTTTGCTCTTCAAAGATATGAACAATTCAACAAGGCTTTTATATGTTATAAAAAAAACATAATGACAAAAAAATCGAAGATATAAATTTACAGCGCCAAAATTATTTTAAAATATCATATTTGCTCCTTTCTCCTTTCAGGTTGCGATGGCGGTCGACAAAAAGTATGGAACAGTAAAGGCTGCTAATGTTTGAGGTTCTTCCCAATTGGTAAGTACGAACGTATTGTTAATGTCTAGCTTTTTTAATTATATTCCACGTTCAATTATTTTTTATGTTTCTTTTTTTTTTTTCAATTTTAGGGAAGGACAAACAAAGGAGTGGTGTCGACAACCAAAAAAATCGACGAGCGAAATAAAATGCCTGGTTACCTAACCTTGAATAGAGCTCTTTTCAACGTCGTGAACCTGCACCTCAATCAAAATGTGAGTAAGATTTAAATTTAAATTCATTTGTTTACCCCTTCTAATTTCTATCTTCCTTTCACAGGAAAACAGCGGAATTTAATTATTTAGCTTCGTCGTCCGTCTGTCTGTCCGGAGTTCAGTGTGACAAATGTCGATTGGGAATGATACCAGGCCACGCTGGAGCAGCAATGGCGTAAAATCTGCGCCTCCCACGATGGATTGGACGGGCGATGGTGTGGCTCGTTGACCCCAGTTTCCTGGTCTGGATATTTAGGTTTAAGATTTATTTTTTTTTTTTTTAGTTTTAGAATTTCAATTGTTTTGTTTTCAAATTTGTTTAATTGTTTCCAAACTTTGTTCAATTTTTTTCCAAATTTTGTTTAAATTTTAAAATAAGTTTAATTTTTTTAATTTTCATGAAATTATTTGTTTTAGTTATAAGTTTTTAACTTTTAAACTTTTAGCCTTTTCTTGATAAATTTTGTTTAATCGTTTTAAGGCTTTCAATTTTGTGTAGAAAAAGTTTGTATTTTGTGTTGTTTGTTTATAAGTTTCAAGCAAATAAAAAAAATGAATTCACTCTTCAACAAGTGGTTCACCACAAAAACTTCTGTTGGTTTTTCCTTTGCTGGTTACGGGGAGCCACACGTCCAATCTTCTTCGCTGGTAAAATTAAAAAGGGCAGATTTTTCTGGCAATTTTGGCCAGGAAATTTTGGTTGCCATTTTCTGAATATAATTTTTCCATTTTCTTTCTAAATTATTCCCCCTTGTTGACATTTTGCTAATTGGAATAATCAGCTGTTTTCTAAAAACGGTTGGCAACACTCTTCTTCTTCTTCTGGCTATCAATTATTTTCATGGTTACCCCTTTAAAAGGCGCACACCACAAAGCCAACTATCCTGCTGATATCCTTATCGAAGGATAGGGGGAAAAAAGTGCGACATTCGTCTCAAAAATAAAAAAAGGTATCACTATTTTGATGGGTTTATTAAAAAAGAAATCTGTGTTTGGCATCCCTAATAATCATTTTCTGATTTTCCAAAATAAAATTTAATTTCGGCGTGATTTATTTATCACAGTGTTAATCTTCCATTAGCCCATAGGAACATGGTATAATGCTTACGTCATACGCCACGCGTTATCTTTTAGTCTGACGTAAGGTGAATATCGATCGTAGTGACTATCGATAGTAGTGACGTTTATGAATGAAAACAATCGGAGTACGCGTCTATTGTAAATTTTTTTTGGTGGATTGGAGCACGGACGGACAGAAAATTTGGAGCTGCGGAAATTATAAATTATGGGTAAGTAGAGTGAAAAAAATTAAAGTGAATAATAAAATAATTAAAATA